CAAGCTTTAGATTGGGGTTGGGGGTCTTTCGCCTTGACGGGTGGTTTGCGGCGTTAGTTCCGGCTCAGGCTTGGGTTTTGCAAAAGGGTTTTAAGGCTTCAGGGCTTAATGTAGACTACCCCTACCTTCACTTCGCCAGGCCCAAAAAGTCCCCAAGAAGGCGTGCTTAGAGGCGCTTCTCGAGCCTTTAAAGAGGCTTCAGAGGAGGTAGAAAAAGCCCATCCTGCAAACAAAAGAGGCCCTGAGAAGATGCTTACAGATGCAGAAGGCTTTTGAAAAAAAGTGTCAGAAAAGGCGCTTGTCGGAAGCGACGCTGAAAGACGAGAGGGCAGTCCACTGCCGTGCGATCCGGCCTCACCATCGCCGAACTCTCGTCCCACCAATGCACACATCTGTCGAAACAGATCGATCTGCAGGACCTGCTGCAGACATGTGTGTCCAACCATTTACAGAGCGCAAGGAACGCGGCCTGGGAAGCTGAATGTGGTGGGCAAATTATGGTGTTGACCAAGGTCATGGCACCTGCCCACCACCTTAGTGCTGGCTTAGTCTACCAACCTGCTCTAGTCCACCGGATCCATTTGTCGTCCACTTGTCGTTTAAAAACTGAGCTCTCGACTTCCCTGGCTTGGTGCCGTAATCGGGTCCTGAACATTCACGTTCGTGCTCGCGTTGGCATCATTGGCTCGCATGTGTGTTCCACTTTTGTTCCGGTCAGCTTGTACTGAGGTCGCCACCAATGAAGCTGACTAAATCTGTCGAGATGTCGATTCTCATCACCCGTCTAGCCTTCCGCTTTCATGCATCATTGCGATCCAAGTGTGTGTGTGTGTGTGCGCGTTAGTTGTGAGTCTTCTGCCTTGCGCACCTGTTAGTTTCGCCAATGCTTGCTTGGAGCTGGCTTTGGCAGCTTTGGGTGACTCCTGTGCCCGCTTGCGTAATGACGCTAAGCTCAGAACAGAATGGGGCGGACAGTAGATGACCTGAACTCCAACAGCGATCGGTGCACCAGAGGCTGAGCTCGGTTGATCTCATCATATGTCCTTCTGTATCTATGGGACGTGCCGTTCTGCCATGTGCTGCACTTCCTTTTGTTGGAGACGAGCAACTCCATCACTTCCCACCACAGCAGCACGGTACTTGTCTGGAGCCCAACCGAGGTCAGGGCCTCAGATGTCAGGGGGGTTTTCCTCACTTTGTCTCAGGTTGCTTGCCTCATTTGCCTCTCGGAACCCGAGCTGCTGAGGTCCGAGCCTATGAGTTCTACAGATCCGACTCGAGTGTCGATCTTGAGAACACGATTTGCGCACCTCGCGAGTCACGAATGGGATGCGGCACTGCTGCGTTTGCTTGAGCACAGCGGACTCCGGGTGAAGAGCCAAGGCTGACAGTACAGGCAGCCATTGCTTGCCAAAGTCCCATCCATCCATTTCCCTTCAGTCAGCCAAGACATGCTTGTGCAACACTGAGCGAATTGAAAGCTGTAACCGCCAGCTTGGCGCATAGCCCCAGTGTTCATCACTCAGGTCTCCATCACCATCCCCGATGCTGTCGCCAAGATCCTTCGGGCAGCGGAAGTACATGGAAGTACACTTGATTGCAGTAAGGGCCACCTGCAGCTGTCGCCCACAAGTGCACAATAACGCAAAATGATGCAAAATGGAGTCAATACTTGCCGTCGGTGCTCACATGTCTCCTGCGCCAGCTTGATGGGATCCGGCATTGTAAACTCGGGGCCGATGAGCTCCGATGTCCCCACCTGAAAGAAGCTTGGAAAGCTACATAAAGCAGGATGCTACGGCTGCTACGGGTAACAGCCGGTCTGGAATTCTGCCATTTGTCCAAAGATGGCTCAGATGCTGGCATGTGGGTCAATTCGCAGGACTTGCGAAGCGAACCTGGCACAAAATGTATTCAACGAGCTGCACCGTATGTATCCATATGTATCCATGTCCACACGCCCCATGGGTTTGGCAAGGCAGGGCCATTTGCACAGCGACGGATCGCAGATGGCGGATATCGAGCTCAACTCGTTGAAGGGCCTTGCCTGAGGCGCGCCTGTACAATGCCAGATAAAGTGCGAGGGGCTCAAAACCCCTTCCTGTACACTGTGAGCACTCGAAAGACCGATGCTCTCCAAAATCTTGCAGATTTATTGAGTGGTGGTGGGTACCTGCAGCATTGGCCGAATTTCCTTGGCCAAGCCGCCACGCTTTACAGTTCCAGCTGCTCTCCACTGGTCCACACGACAAAAGTTGCAACGACTTCCAATGTCAGCTGCCAGCTTCACCGGCTTCACCGGCCTTCTCCTCGCATATCTCCGATGCATTCTTCTCCCATCCATGAACCCGTCGTGCCCTGTAGTGCCTAGTACTGGAAGCCAGGTTGAGGATAGCCCATCCTTTGAGGCTGTGGCCTGATCAAGACTGCAACATGACTGCAAGGATGGCTCGATTTGGTGCCCATGGCCCGCACGCATACATCATAGGAGGCCCCATGGCCATCTGCTCTGGGGTGAAGCCTGCCTCAGGCTCATGGCCAGGTCGCTTTCCATTCGCTTTCCATGCGAGCACACGTGACGTCATTGATGATGCAGCCGAGCTACAGGATACATGGCAGGGCCTTGTGCCATTACGACTTGTGGTTCCTGACATGTGCATTCATGTGCGCAAGCCTAATAGGATTGCCAAGCGGTTGCCTAGCATAACACTGCCGTGAGCTCCGCTGTAGCCCTCATTCAACAACATCCCATAACCTCGACCTTTTCCCGGAGCATCCTTCTTGGATCGAAAGCAGCACGGACAGCAGCAACCGAGACCTGCATCGACTTGGCATCTAGGGACCCTAGTCAGCGGTGTCTTCTGTGTCACTGTGAACCGCTCTTGTCCACTCTTGACCACTCAAGAGACCTCAAGAGTTTTCTTTGCAGCCGGAGTGCAAGCCGCACAGCCAAGAAGCTCACAGCAGGCAAGCAGTCCACAGGCATCCAAAGCCAAAGTGCAACAACCTGGCAGCATGGCTCCACCATTTGTCTACAGTTGTGCTGATGTGGCCGAAAACCTAGCAGAATCACCCTGCCTGGGCTGTCCGGACCTGCCAAGATGGACATTAGGGGACATAGCCGAATCGTGGCCGAGTCTATTGCTAGAGCATGGAGCCTCCCCCGCAGCAGGCGTCACAGCAGCCCGCACAGCCCAAAGCTTCAAGGCTGCAGCCAGCACAGCAGAGTCCACACGTCTCTTCTGGGCGACCTCCCAGATGCTACTCGTGCACGAACAAGATCGTTACATCAAACTACACTCGCCTCCACAGCAGCAGCTGCAGCAGCTTGCGCAGCATGCCGCAACTCCCAGCGTCTCGACAGCAGCACCCTCCATCACCTCCCGAGCGCTGACGCAACATGACAGAACACATCGGATGCACACCTCCGACATGTGCCTCGGCCATGGCTTATATGGCTTGGTGACGCAAAAACGTACGTCAACTGAGAATTGAGAGCAGAAGCTGCAGCATTCCATGCAAGACAGATTCTATCTTGCGCGCAAACTAGCAAACGTGTCCAGATATCTGCACAATCGTTGGCAGGGCTCACCAAGGTGGGCAGTAGATATAGCCATCAGCCCCAAGAATGCCGGACCTCGCGCGCGAGTGCTCCCACGGACGGCACGTCATGTCAAAAGACGGCGGCTGTGGCGGCTGTTGAGCCGCGTTTGAGCCTTTGGCTTCCACTTCCCCGTGCCAGCTCCCAAGTCAGAGCCTGCAAACAGAAACATCCAAACGCCGCAGCATCAGCGACTGAGTATTCGGCTTCGCGAAGCCCTCGCCTGTAGGTTCTATTTGAAGCTGCTCGGGGTCATTGGCATTAATGCGCAGGACATGGGACGCATTCCTTGCAGGATTCACTGTGATGGTCTTCTACACTTTGCTGATGCACATTGTGAGTGCAGCGCCAGGGAGGACAGCACAGAATGTTGCCCGGAACCGGCACGACCTCGGATTTGAAATGGAAAATGGCTGGCATTGTGAGCTTTGCGGAAGAGTTCGGTCATGTTCGGTCCAAGGCTGCCCTCCACTTGTCTTCTCCAAAATCCTGCAAAGAAGGCCCTGCCAGCAGTCAGGAGCAGAGCAGACGACATTCGCGTTTCGGCAAACCCATGCTGCAGCTGCAATGCAAACAACCAGCCAAGCAATCTGCACTGTTGTACAATACAATGCTAGTCTGCAACGTGCACCGTGCCTATCAGCTGCGAGTACCACATCTTGTTGTCATTGACGCTCCTCAGTGAAGTGAGCAAACCAGATAACATCGAAGACATGCTAGCTTATGTAATCAGCTTCAGACTTTGCAGACCTGGGGGCCGTTCTCTGGCTCCTCTGGCTCAAACATATTCGTCCGATCAGGCCGACTGCCATCCAACTAGCGACAATAATTTTTTGGTGCGGACCGCACTCGTTCGACAAAGCTGCATAACACCCTGGCTGAGGCATGCTGAGAGCTTGAGTAGCAACATCATGAACAGATTTAGATCTCCAGCGGCTCCGAGCAGAATGGCTTGCAGGCGCACAACCGCCCTTCCGGTCAAGACATTCCAGCAGGCTACCGGCTTGCGACAGGCCACTTGCGCTCAGATCGCGGACCGTTTTTCTTAGCACAACCTTTTCAAGGTTGGCAGTCGTTACCAGAAGGGCATCAAGAGATGATGCGCATTGACATTGTGTCAGGGGCGTTGACAATTCGCTGCACAATCGGGTGGAAGCCATGGGATTATGCGTAATTTCTCCAAGTTTTCGCAGGATGGCAAGGACACACAATCCCGTTCAGCTGCAAACTCGTGTGCAGCAACGCAAGCATCGATGTCAAACCAAGGTGGGGCATCAAATACATAATGGCATACCTATGCCGATGTCATTATTCATGGTCATTCTCATCTTGACTCAGAAGTGCCGTGGCTCACATCTCCACTCCAAATCCTACAGGTGGGGCCCATGTAAAACCGAGCTCAAGGTCGCCAGCAAATGCCCCTCTCAGCACGAGGGCTCGTAGTTCGTGGACTTATTCTGTTCCGCGGACTCCGTGGGCTGCGAGGTCTCAAAGGGGGCTTGAAGGCTTGGCTCTCAGCGCCCTTCGAGCTGACTTCTTTGGACAGCTCTGACCTGCCAGCTTCCAAGCTTCCAGCTCAGTCGGCTCAGTGCGGGTGCACTGCAGGTGCAGACGCTGTGAGGTGCTGCCCGCCTGACGTCCTTGCTGGGCTCGATGGTTCTTGGACTTGTGGCTGCTTTTTCTGCTGTGTCACCAGTGCCTTCCAGGCACTTCGCACTTCGCTCCACCAACTGCCCATTCTTCCCCTGCCTGTTTTGCGAACAGGTGTGGACATGACAGCGTCAGCACGCTTGAGGCCTCGTGACAGGTGAAACAGAACTGACAGGCGAAGACGGCAAAGCTCGCAAAGCAGGAGAGCATAAACAGGTATGTCTGACCTGCGCTCTTTGTCAAGCTGGACCGCGGACTCTGTGGGGCTTTGGCTGAGTTGACCTCGTCAGGGTGATCATGCTATCCAGCTACAACAACGACCCTGAAATGCAGCCAAAAACGTGAAGCAAACGCCGTACCAAAGAATGCGCCTCTGAAGCTTGGGAGAGTATGCTCCTGGAGGAGAGTTTTCTCTGCTAGGGATCCCAAGGAATACATCAACCACGTCATTATCGGAGATGTCAAGAGCCCATATGAGCTGATGTGAAACATGCTGGATGCCCGGAACATGGCTCGGGCGATTTTGAGATCATGCACCTGCGCTTTGCGCATTGGCCACTGGCATGTTTTTATGATTGTTGAACTGTCTGCGTGGGAGTGGGTGGAAGGATGGTGTCAGTTTGTTTGTCTCTCTGTCCGTGGGAGTGACCGCAAAAGGGAAACCTGCACAAGCGCGACTTGGACCTGTCAGTTGGTCAAGGCTTTGCAAAACCAAGCCCCAGAAACGCTTGCGCCGCAGGCCCAACAACACCATCTAGAAGAAAATGTGCTGGCAAACGAGCGTGCTGCTTGTCCGAATGCTCACTACAATACACCTTGCGACTACTACTTGCAGTTGTAGGCCTCTTGCGACGATGCCCCCTTGAGACGACCTTGACCCGGGGAAGTGGGTCCCCTTTTCCGGGGGGGGCGAAGACGAAATTCGAAGACGAAATTTGAAAACGAAATTCGGCCCAGCCGAAATTAGGCCCTGGAGACGAAATTCGGCTCTGAAAACGAAATTCGGCCCCTGAAGCCTAAACTTTGGCCCTGAAGCCTAAATTGGGCCCTTGAAGCCGAAATTCGGCCCCGAAGACGAAATTCGGCCGCTGAAGACGAAATTCGGCCCTGAAGCCGAAATTCGGCTCCTGAAGACGAAATTCGGCCCGGAAGCCTAAATTCAGCCCTGAAGACGAAATTCGGCCCTGAAGCCGAAATTCGGCTCTGAAGACGAAATTCGGCCCCGAAAACGAAATTCAGGGCCATTTTATGCAGGCCTAAGGGGGACCGAAACCGAATTCAAGCTTCAGGCCGAATTTTGTCTTCGGGACCGAACTTCGTCTTCAGGAGCCGAATTTCGGCTTCAGGGCCGAATTTCGTCTTCAGGGCTGAATTTAGGCTTCCGGGCCGAATTTCGTCTTCAGGAGCCGAATTTTCGGCTTCAGGGCCGAATTTCGTCTTCAGCGGCCGAATTTCGCCTTCGGGGCCGAATTTCGTCTTCGGGCCGAATTTCGGCTTCAAGGGCCCAATTTAGGCTTCAGGGCCGAATTTAGGCTTCAGGGGCCGAATTTTCGTCTTCAGTGCCGAATTTCGTCTTCAGGGCCTAATTTCGGCTGGGCCGAATTTCGTCTTCAAATTTCGTCTTCGAATTTCGTCTTCCCCCCCCCGGAAAAGGGGACCCAGTTTCCCGGGTCAATGCACAAAGGGCCAACAAGAAACACCACACAGAACAACACTGGCTTGCAGAAGTGCTACGTCGCAGCAAAATGGTACATATACAAAATGCTGCATGTACATTTGAGAGTCGGGTGTACTGCCAAACCCAGCCCAAGCCGGCACACCTGTCACTTCGTGCCCAGGTGGTTTCGGGTTTAGGATTTCAGGCATTCGCTGGAAGCCTTGCACCTGGAATTCCGAAGAACCAAATGTAAATGAGGCTTAGCCATTCGGAGAATGGGCTTAGGGTTAATTGCTGCTCTGGTCCCCGAGGTGGTGGGGAGGGAAAGGTGATCAATCGCAAAAACTGTGCGCGACGCAAATGGCATTGTGGTAGCTCTTCATCGGATTCATAGGTCACTCCTGTGCGTACTTTTTGGCGACAATGGCATGGCATTCGCACGCGGTCCGAGACCTGAGTCAGTGCGGTGCATCTGTATGCAAGCGCCATCATCAAGATCCTGAGACTGCCCGAGGCCATGTCTTTGTCGAGGAGAGGCAGGACCTGAACTTCTAGACATTCGGATGCTCTATGCTAGAGAGTCTTGCAGAGGCGCATGCAGGATAGACCGAAGGTTTCGACGCCTCCATTTGCCTGCCAGCATGCCAGGCAACTATCATCATGTGGAAACTGCGAATATGACCCGGGCCATCGCCTTCTGCCTTCTGCAGAATATCTTCGGATCCTCCGAGAACGAATGGCCTGAACATATGAGCAACTAGAGGGCCTGTGACTCGTCTTTAGTGGCTTAGGTCGTCATTGCTTCTTGGGCAACTGAAGCACAGACCGTTCAGGGCAGCCCACCGCCCTGACAGGACAACATGGTACTAGAATGCAAACGTGTCAGGAACAGAAATCACTTCTCCGCTATTGCGTCGCCGAAGAAACCACATTGACATTCTGCAGCTCATTGCCGTACATTGCCGAATTCAACATCTCGGGTCGGTGCCAGGGCAATGGTCCGGAGATTGAGCAGCCCACCGGCCAGGACCATTTCGCGCGAGACCTGTGAAAGGGTGCTACTTGCTAAGGCGTTGTCTTCTCTCGTGTCTGCCGGCCTGTCTGCGCAGCGTGCAGGTCTGGACCAATAATCCAGTGCCCTGTCCTACGGCTGTGACATTCATATCCCAGCTTTCCCGAATTGTGCGAAATGCGTTCAAGAAGCTCTGGCCAAAAGAAGATGTACTTGGGAAACTCGGCATCCTCATGTCCAAGCTTCACAGTCCCGGCTACGTCGCATCAGGAAGAGTGCAAGCACTGGCAAGCGCCTCCCCTGGTAATGGCCTCGGGTGAGCACTAGCCGACAGCAAAAGTCGTTCAAGGCTGAATATGGCATAATCGGAAGCAGTGTAAGGCAACCGTAGCCAAGCACTCTGCACTCGCACCCATGCAGGTCGGGATGCCCACCTAGGCAAATTTCAAATTGAATCAACTTGCCAAGGCTGCCGGGGTACCATGTTGGTGGAATTACCCTTGAGGTACCCGAAACCCGGCTGCGAACCACCACAAAAATCGTGCAAGCTGTGCTCACGGCATGGACTCTGGCAGCAGCTCATATGAGCCGTTCAGTGTGTGCAACCTGTCCAGTGCAACTGACAAGCATCTTGACATCATGTCACTCAATCTCGCGCCTGTCACCGAAGCCACTGAAACAAACCAGCTGAGAAGGGGTGTCCCTGCCCAAGGCCATTAGGCGCAGCCACGGCGTTGGCCTGGCACCGCGGATGACACTGGAACAGTCGTGTAACATGCTGTGACAGACCAAGTCTCCCTTTCTTGACGAAAACGCGCCACAGGCACGCCAGTTGCTCGGACAGCAGCGCGCTAGGTGGAGCCTTGGCAGGTTTGGGGAGCATTCTCACACACCGCCACTTGCTGGCATGTCTTGTGCCCCGCACTCTTGCTGGCCCAAGGCGGTATTGAGAACCGGGAGCCTCTTTTGTGTGGCATAAGCACCATGCTTTGAGGACGCTGCTCTCATACCATGTGCAAGACAGTTCTGTGCTGGGATGATGGAACAGCCCTTCATGCACAAATAGCATGGATGCAACATGACGCCTTGATTGTTTTTGCGCATGGCTAATCTTTTCCTCATCGCGTGTTGTGGGGGGCTAAGGGTTTCCCCAGGCGCGTAGATGAGGTCACGGACTGGAGGATACACGGAGGCAACAGCAACAGCAACAAATCCGAACACGAACACAAACTGAGAAGGTGCAACAACGGCAACAGCGTCTTCAGCACGCCCAGCCCGCCATGTCTTAATATCATGTAATCATGCATGGCTGGTTTTCGGGGTGGCGTAATCCTACATGAGCCCATGACGTAAATGTCCCCATCTAGCAATCATAGGAGCCCCAGTTGAACACATTAGAAGTTTCAGCCGAGAATGCAGAAGGTGAACCATTATTCCTGGGCATGTACTTTAACAAGCTTGCTAAACCTCAAACCTTCGTCTGCGCCAGCGACGTTACTTGACATGTGTGCAAGCATTCCGCTCCTGGCTGTCAGCTGCATCCCAGTCCTTTGTGTCCTGGGGGCATGCGAAGATATGCGAAGCAGGTGTGCCTTCAATTCCAAGCAGCTCTGCATCTGCGTGACAGAACAGTCCTCTGGCAACACCGACGCCCAGTCAGGGCCGCTCCTGGCTAAGACCTGAAGGGCAACAGATTGTGGACTACTCCTCTGCTGGCATCACGATTCTGGCCTGGCCAAAACGACCGGGAAGATCGGGCCTGGCAAACCTGTACAAACATCGCAAGAGCCCGCAACAATCTAGTTCGCCCTGGAAGGGTTCCGCTATGCTGAAGCTTTAATTTGAGGCATGGTTCGGCAACACTAAGCTTTCTGCGCGACAGCGTGATTCGAAGCCAACGGGGAGATGGTACTGACCTGAAAGAAGGGCAAGAGACCACCGAAGCCTCAAAAGCCATCATCACTGGTCCAAGCGGCAACCCAATATCCGAGCCGTGGTTCGAAAAAGAGGAACAGGCCTGGCCTCAGGTGACAGTGCACCAAGTTTACACCGCGTACAAGAACCGCCTCAATTCCGTCGAGCCCATCTGGTGTGCGTGTGTGTTGCCCACACGTTTGTTGACAGATGAATCTGAGCGCTGTGCTGAGCGCGCAAGCCAGGCCTGGGAGTTCTGGGATGTGTCCACTTCTCAAGTCCCCCCCCCCGACAGCACCCCACAGCATCACGGAGAACCCTGGCACGCGCTTGTTGCATCAGTGATTTCAGTGCGAGCCATAACATGCATTCCTCTCCAGACTCTACTCGCCTTTTCCATCCCTCTAGTAAAATCACACAGGTTCACCCAGGGCCAGGCCCAGGTCCACAAGGTTGCAGAGGTGTGCGGCGATATACCTCCCGCGCTTGCCGAACTCACAAAGGTCTCCGAAAATGTATACAGTCTATGCAGTGTAAACTGCCGGGCATACGGGACGCTTCCCGTACCTCTGGCGGAGCCTCAGGTCATTGGCAGCATGGGATTTAAAGTGGATCATGCCAAGTAACGTTGGACAGATTGCCCATTTTCGACGCCAGGCCACTGCTGCTTCAGAGCTTCAGAGGCACTGTGGATTAACGTCGGGCACATGCAAGCTTTTTGCGCATAAATACCAAAAAAAGTGTCAACCAATTCCCAAGCAATCGCAATCTCCAGGGACAGTGCAGTCTGAAGTCTCCGGCAAGCGGGTGCTCTGACAGCACCTGCTCGAAGCATCCGCCATATGTCCAATGGGTGTATACTTTAAGATTGAATCAAAAACCCATGTGCCTGCAGCTCTTCACCTGGGCCTGTCATGACGGTCATGAAGGGATTGCCTTGCATTTCCTTGCTCGCCCCTCTGAAAATTTCAGAACAGTATGTGGCACAATGTGACGCCTTCATACTGGAAGGTGACAGCGCGCGATGGCGCCCGGTCTTCCAATGCCACAACCTCGGTGCACGATACTGAAAATGCTCAGAATTCCTTCTGCGAGCTGTGACGGCACTTCAAGGATTAGGCAGTCAGAGCCTCGCAGTCTTGGAAAACTTGTGAGGCCTGATAGCAAGTGCCGCACGGCATCCCGGAGGCAAGTAGCTACTGCCCTTCACATTCCTTAGAAGCCTCTTCACTCTCGGCCTCCGGAATGTCTGTGAGCTTGGAGCGCCGTGAGTGGATGGCCAGCGCAGGCTCATTGAGCTTGGCACAGGATGCTCTGAATGAAAGCTGAAGGCAAGATGGAGCAAACATGCGTGTCAGTGGTGGAGTTTAAGCAGGCTGCCCGCATCTGCCAGGTGCCTGGTTGCCTGGAAGACCCCACTTCCTCGGATTGGTGTCATATTCCAACAACGACTCACGACTCGCAGCATGACCGCTTCTGGCAAGCTGGGGCATGCTGCCTTTGCCAATGCGGCCTCTGGTGAGTTCGGTGAGAACACCTGCAAGGTAGAGAACGCAGCGTCTTGCACTGCATTCCACACACCATGTGACAGGGCTCTCTTGTGAACAGCTCTGCAGCTAGCAGTTAGCCAGAGTTTCCTGGCAAAGCAGCTCTGTTTAGTTTTTTTTTCCATTCTAGTCGCTTTGAACAGTTTTGCCGAATTTGAGCAGCTTGAAGGATGATTTGGTGACTGCCCGTCGCCTGATCCCAACCAATGGGGCTGCGAGCCAGCACGCTCAAGCCTTTCGCACCGACTTCTGGTGCAACCTCGGGCTGATCTGGCTCATCTGCTCAGCGCAAGTCACCACGTCAGCTCTGCCTGCCATCGGTGACGAATGTCATCGTAGAAGAAGAAGAGCTGCCGATCCTGGCCCTGCAAGATTGTCGCAAGCCCCTCATACGTTGAGTCGGAGACTTTGTGATGCCTGGCTGGGCTTCTCGTCCATGTCAAATCCACCTCTTCATGGGATTTGCAGCAGTTGCACATGACATGGTTGCTTAGCATGCGTAGCGAAGCTTGCTCGACATCTTCACATGAAAATCGTCAAGGTGGTCGTCTGCACCTTGCCGGTGCCGAAGCGGAGCCTCAACAACAAAGCTTCGATAACCAACGGGTCAACTCAAACTAAATACAAAAAATGCTTGAGCAGCCTGGCCTTGATGAAGACAGGTCGATCTCCATAGAGCTGATCGGAGCGCACATAGTCCCCGCTAAGGCCTGGCCCCGTGCTGAAAATTGCGCACATGAGCGTGCATGATACCGTCATCGACCACCAGCACAGATGGCGTGCGCAACTGAGCACACACTCAGAATTTGGAGGTGGTAATTACAGGATGAACGTTTTCCACCATCATCCACTTCGTTTATGACTTCATCACCTTCAAGTGCTGGAAATCATCTTTTTGGATTATAAAAACTGGTATATCTTCATGTCTTACATCTCTTAACTATTGGACAACAATTCTAGATCTGAGATCTTATTATCTGACATGAAAGACTATCCGAGACATATTTTTTCCTTGGGGTTTCTTGATTACCGCTTTCATGCTTGTATCAACATTTCCAATCTTATCTGGTACTCTCCTTTTAATATTGGGTGATCTTCATTAAAATAAACTTCCTACATTCTATCAACATTTTTTGTGTTATTTGGCCATCGAAAAGTTTACATCTTAAGAATTCCTGCATCTGGGATCATGTCCATCATAATGGCTGGGATTTTACAATCATAATGTTTCGTGTGTGCATATTTTCAGTATTTTAGCACCCGCATGATGACAACAATACAATATAGTGAGATAACGGCCGACCAATAGTCTCGAGATTTTTATGGGCCTCTGAGTAAACGAAATAAGGGGCGAACAAGAAGCCCCTATAATATTATTATCTTCGCTAAATGCTTAAAGCGCGCGTAAACTTACCTTCACGCCTTTAGTAGTAGGCTTTGACAGGGGTTAACCTGGCATGAAAGGTCTTGACAAGGGAGAAGATACCGTTAGACTTAGAAAGAACTGGGTGATGAATCCAAGGGTGTGAATGTTTAGACCGAGATATGAGGGCGAGGGTCTCAAGGGCGGATTCATGGGCAAGACTGACAGGTGGGAACCGAAAAGGCACCGAAAGCCCAGGCCAAATGGCCCAAGCAATTGCTAAAGAGTGCAACATGGCGAGAACACCAAAGCTTTCCGCAGCCGCGCTGAGGTCGCGGAAATGAAGGCAAAGAATGAAGTCAATGAAGTCCTCACCCTGGTCACGGCATAGGAGCAACTGGCTCGACGTGACTCGAAGTCGAAGTGCCTGCGGCTCTGTCCCGCAGATCTCTGCAGTGCGGCAGGTGTCCGCAAGTTCGTCCTCCGCTGGGGAGCCCATTGAAGAACTTCGCGAGACCGCCTCGAAACCACAGCATAGCACCGGAGTCACAACCACAAACCCCACTGTAAGTCAGGACCGCGCGGAAGTTCGTCCGATGCTGCGAGAAGCCTGGTTGCAAAGGGCATTCTGCTACGGCGCATCAAGGGTGGTAACCCCAGCGTTGCCTGTCTAGCAGGCCCTTCCCCCACTTGTAGCTCTTGGCATGGTATGAAAGTGACCTTAGCTTGTCTAGGCTCTATGTATATGTAAATGATGCAGTGTGACCAGCGTGCCCTCAGCACCATCTGTACATGCTGTTCTTGCAGTGCAAACGATTGGCTTCGTCTGAGGCTCTTGCAATTGAGTCGTCGGTTGCAGCCTCATCGCTGTCGGGTAGTTTCAGCGCCTGGCTTTTGCAATGACATGTAACTTCAGACGGGACACAACACCAGGACTCCCAAGAGCCGGACGACTCGCCGCCTCCTCTCAGTAACGCCAAACTGCAGCCGCGTCCTTAATCTGGAAACTCTGGAAAGCAGCGCGCTTTGGCCACGCCACTATGAGCACACCGGAAATCAGGGGAATGCGGAAGGTTGAACTGTTTAGGAGGTCTATAGCAGCCCTTGGGTGCACAAAAGACATGCCCTGAAACCCCAGAAACTCGAACATGCTGGAATGTATCGATTTTAGGCTTGGCTTGTCTGCCGCTCCTTGCACGTTTCTGCGCCATTGCCAGAATCCGCTTCAAGCCAGTACAGATCTGAGAGCAGGTCGGCAGAAGCTGAATGATGGACCATGGCTCTCGTGCCCTGAGATATGTGCAAGATCAGATAGGCGGCGCTAGAGTCGTTGCATGGGTCAAATCCAGCATCACCAGAGCATCTTTCAACAACGATGGGGCTTCGGCAGCGATGCAGGAGACCTGCACTACTCAACTCGGCGTGTACCGAGATTCGCATCATTTCTCTGGTGGCGGCTAAGGGCTGAGCGATGACGTCCACGCCACTGGACTCCTGCTAATGCCACATCATCTCTATACATCGCTATATTCTCCAATGGCTTGGTTGTTGTAGGCATGCTTCATGGCAGTACATTTTTTTCTAATGGCTTAGGTGTTGCAGGCATGTTTTCATGGCAGTACATCTTTTGCTCATCCTGCAATACCAAGCCGCCAGTGCGATCGGAACTTCAAGTGAAAAGGGCTGTGGTCAGACTTCAGAGGATTGGAGACTCTACTGATGATGTACTTTGTACACGCAGGGCACTGATCACGTAGCCTCTGTACACTTCGGCTCACGCGACCATGTGGCAGCAGCTGATCATCTGGCTGTCCAGCAGCTTCGGTGCCCTTTCTATGTTCGCCTGCCGGGCAGTCGAGGGCATGTCAGCAGTTGCCAACTTGGTGGTGTTCAGGGAATTGGAGCACGAAATAGCACAAACCAACCGGAGTCATGGACAGTTGTGCAGACTAAGGGAAGCTCCGCCCAAGTTCCATACGTGCGGTCGAGGGGCGTCACCTCCACCACCATGGGTGGCCCAAAGGGGCCCGATGGACCGAGCAAGGACCATGCCGAGACTACATGATCGCCGGCATGGCCCGGCAGGAAGGACAGGTCCAGTACCAACTCCACCTTCAGCAAAGACATGCTTCTACGACCTTACGTGCACAGCAGGCGGGAAGACCAAGCATCCGGCAGTCTCACCCGGCGGGACTGCGCCGAGGGGTAGCTCATGGAATCCCCAGGACGGGCCCTCGCTGAGCTTCAAAAGCGAGGCCTTGCCAAGACAGTTCTTTCCTTTGTGTTTTCACATGTCGACAAGGCTTTAACATGCTTTACTCAATTTAGTCAACCTACTGTGTGAAGCTTCATGTTGCCTCTGGCCATGGCTCTGTGCCGTCGTTCACGACAACTGCCCTAACCTTGGTCTTTCAGATGCCGACTCCACTGCCGCACTTGCCCTTTTGCCGTTCTCAGCTGGCCACGACAGCTTTAGCTTCCGTGGAGGCTGCGTGGTTGATCTCCAAATGTGCAAGTCGGCAGGCCTGAGACAGCTTGCACCAAAATCAAGAATCCACGAGGGCACATTGAATCATTCTCAAGGTTTTGCTTGAATTCTGCTGTGCCTGGCATCCATGATGAACCATGTCCAGGTCTAGTGGTCGTGCAAGCGCGTCATTGGCAAAGACACTGGCATGGACGACCTCCGAGTTGCACGGTCACACGCTTATCGTTGCTTCTCTGTCTCTTCGGCATCTGCGCCTTTGCAGAGACCAGGTCCATGTTTTCCAACCTGCAAGTTTAACGGCTTGAGAATGCTGGCAATTGCAACCTAACAACGACACGCGTAGGACGCCTCTCCCAGCCATCACTGATGTCAGACACAGAATCCTGCATCGAATCATGCAACAATGAACAAGCCCGTGGCACAATGAGCCAAACGTAAAGAAATGCTGGCATATGCCGGAGGTCGCAAGGTCGTCGGTTGAAACACATGTGGCGAATTCTGCACCCCTCCCCGGGCGGAGAGGATTGGTTGAGTATGGTTGAATCTTGTTGAAGTGGCGGGCCGGTGTGGCTGCGGTGGTTGTGCCGATTCGCTTTCTGTTCATTTGTGGATCTGTATTACTAAACAAGATGTACAAGCATGGTGTTTCGAAACATGGCATAATGCACAATGCAAAGCGTCAGTGCCTAACTTCCTCTGACCTTGCTAACGGCCAAATTGCAGGCCTTCTCCAACTTCTCGGAGGCGGTGCCCACACTTGTGCCCAAGGCACTCAAGGCACTTGCCAGCGCGCTGCTGGCAGCTGCTCGCACTGCCGGGTCGTCGTGCTGTAGCAGGGCGGCCATGGCAGCCATGCTGGCCTGCAGCACGTTTGGAGTTTGGATTGGATGGGACATGGATGGACATGGAACCAAAATCATTCCCTCTGTTTGTCTGGCACGTCCGGCCTTCGCATCCAAACTGCTTGGGTCCAAGCTCTTGGTGTCTGGAGCGGTTGAAGCAGCTGGAGCATCTTCCGGATCCTCCGGAGCAGGTCGAGCAATTCGCATGCCCTGGTGAACCCAACTGTCGTGCTGAGGGTGGATGCGCTCTCTTGCGTTGTAGCAGCATCCACAGAGGTCGAAGTCTTCGCAGACTGCGCACTTGTATCGGTCTGCATCTTCGAGCCCATGCTTCTCGCATCCATCGCAATACACTGTTGCATGGCAGAACTGGATCATGTGGGGAGCTCGACGTTCGGGCATTTCCTCATACTCCTGTGCGTTCCCATCCTTCTCGAGACCTGAAGATGCAGCAACAAAGATCAACTGTGCTCATTGCTGTAGAACGCCGCAGAACATCTGTGAACTCATCAAGGCCAGTTGACAGCATCCACAGGCCAGCATAAATCATAAGAGCCCACCACCACCACGAAGACCAAGGAGTGCCGTTCAGCACGATTACGGCACGAACAAGGCACGATCACGGCGAGGGCATGTTACCCAACGGAACCACCGGCACTGTCCCAAGCTGAGGAGACCGGTAAGTCTCTCTGTTCTGCTCAGGTCGCCTTTTGGCATGTGTGCTTCTTGTTGCGTGTGCGGTTTTTGTTTTTGCTCTGCGTGCTCTGTCTCTTGCACGTACGATGGAGGAAGCTTGGAGTATAGATGTATCGACTGTAGATCTAATTTCTCTCCACGGCGCGTCGCTTTCTGTAAGTACCGTCTTGGAGCCTATGCCTCATGACATTCTTGATTCCACGTTGATCAACTCAGCTCGGCACATGTCTGGCAAAGGTCGTAGTCAGCACGCACTCTGCTCTTGAAACGTCTACCAATCAGCGGGCACTGGTTGCATCCATCGCAAACAATTCCGTGGTGGACTTGCTGCGGCGCGAAAGTTGGAACTTGCTCATAGATGTCCTGCATCTCGGGCAGCTTGGCTTGGCACGATGCCGGCGCACAGCTGGCCTACGAAGCCGATCACTGTGATGCGCAGTTGCCAAACAATGAAAACACACACAAGCAAAGGAAAAGGTAGACGCAGAGTTTCCCACCTGCACTGCAACTCCACCAACCAAGGAGCTTGTCACTGGGATTGTCATGTCGCTCCCCGAGTGATTCTTCGTCCACAGATTGAGCGAATAAAATCTGCCTTTCTTTCCACAGCATGACAATCGATGGCAATAGATTCAATAGATTGCAAAATATGACACAACGTACAAAATGAATGTCGGGTTGCCATCCACATCTTGCCAGTGGAAACGTCCAGCGTCCTCTTGCTGCCAACCAAGTGCGGGAAAGCCACCATCACGGTGGGCCTCCAGGGACTGAATGTTGCAAAGAGCCAATCAAGGCGCGACTAATAGAACTTGGCCATGTGCAATGCGGCCGGGGCCTCGCTAAACAAGTAGACAGCAGATCCTGCTGGAGCCTGGGTAAAGCCGCTCTCGACATTCTGCTCAGAATGATGACATTTCAGGTGCCTTCACCGTGAATGCGGTGTCTTCCGGGACAATATACCGTGCTCTGAAGAGAACGGCTCCAGCAAGCTGTTGTGGGATGCTCCTCGATTTGCCGAGACTTTCGCAGCTATTAAACCGAACATCACGGGTTCCAACGTGTCAGACGAGTCTCTTGTAAACACAGTTTCTGTCAGTGAAAGCCTGAGCACGGGGCATCTCTAATTAACTTGGCTTGAACTGAAATTAAGCATGCTGTGAACATTGATGAACATTGATGAACATTGCACGGCATTCAAGGAGCTGTTGCCAAGTAACTGTCACCCCCTCGTTGAGCACATCACGCATGACCTTCAGGTGGCTGTGCTCAACGTGAACCTCGTCTCTGTTGCCTTCGCTCTCCGTCTCCTGGCAAGGAGCCGAACAGCTTCCTTAACCATGCTTGTCTCTAAGTAAGACGTGTGCGATCAAGGTGCCATTGTCCCTGACCCTGACGAGCTTGGAGTTCCGGAATCCTGGCACAACTCTGGCGAGTCTGTTGCACCAAAGCCTCCCTATGCTGCAAGAGACTGCGCAGGTCGCAGCTGCAATCGATTCAAGAGATATGTGCGGGGCCACCGGCGCGCTTTGTGGCAGCAGTCCGACTCTAGGATTTAGGGTTTAGGGTTTAGGGGCCAGGGTTCCAGGGTTCCAGTATAGGGCATGTAGCGACACATGAGTCATCGTTGGCGTGGGTCCGAAGACGTGCCTCGCCCTCACGTCATGCATGGGTTTCCCTACTACCCCCCTCTATGCTACCCCCCTAGGTTCCCCCCTTAAATAAGCTTCATTAGGCTTAATTATCCGAAATTGCCTTACATATAGGGGACCCTCGGGGTGGTAGTATAGAGGGGGTACATGAGTCATCTGCCTTGCTTTGCCGTTAACGACTGAGATCCTACAGCCATGGTAGTTCTTGTCGGTAAGGAGGGGTGAGAACGTAATCTTCTACAAATCACCTCAACCCCCAACCCTCAGACCTCTCTAGGGTAGTTCTATTTTGGGAAATGGCCATTTAAGGCTAGGAGCCTTGCAATACCCCAAACCCTAAACCCGAAACCCTAAGCCCTGGTGAGAGAGCGATTTCTGCTGCCCGTGGACCAAGCACAAGTGTGGGATGTGCTCGGGATGGTTGTATGGATTCCGATTCAAAAGACCAGGAGATGAGAGAAGCCCAAGTAAAGAAAGAACTGCAACCACATGAGGAACACCTTAAACACCCCTGCCTCCAACAGGATGCGCAGCTCCATGACCTTGTCTCCGCTTCTGCAGAGGTCCAGGGCATCGGAAATGGATGGAGGAGCCAAAGTGCAGGCATCACCTTCTTCCTGTCACGCAAGTGCTATGGGACGGTGTGAAACCTCAACCAAAAACAATCTCGGAAAAACAGCCATCGCGATATCACAGTTCAGTTCTTAGCATGCAAGAGTTTCAGCCCTCAGGATGTCTAGGCATTAAGGCGAGGCGCATCGACGTAGAATAGGCGTTTGATCACCTCAGCGAGACCCGCAACGGATCATTGTTGCTCACCCAGTGCTCACTCAGCTCACGGGTCACAGCTACAGAAGCAGTCACCACCCACCAAGCCTTGTTGCCCACCGCTTGCTGAGCCCTCTTACCTCGGAAATCTTGGAACAGGCGTCTTGGTCCAAAAAGACTGCCTGCTGGACATGTGTCAGCGATGTCAGGCGTGCAGCCAGGAGGCAGATAACTTCAAACGCCGCCGCGGGGGACTCTTGCAGCTCTAGAGCGTCGATCCCTCGGACATATGTTTGGATCATCAAGTTCATCTAATCAGCATGCTGCATTTTTGCTCGGAACCCTGTGTCCAAGAGATGCTTTGGAGTTCTGGCCTGGGGGCCCTGAGCAGCCCAGGTTTGAATCGTCAGATAGCGAACATTAGACAATGAACATGGGTAATTGATTTGACAGATGTCTGCCTGTTGCTTGAGACGGGGTGCAAACTTCATCCACAACATCGGCGTCCAGGCGCACGCGCATCAGCATAATCTCTTCCATGGCTCCAGGGCAACTCTTCTAAAGCCGAATTTCTGAGCCAACCTGCAGAATATGTTGCCATGTTAGCAATTTGCCGCATAGACGGCGGCAGTACCGGATTCTAGGCACATGACAGAGACTACTGCACGCCCGCCATGGCTATAGCGTTCGGCTTACAAGCCTGGCCAAGGTTGTAGCACTGTGCCACTGTGGCCTGAGGTCCGTCTGGTCCAACTCCTGGGTTCGTCAGTTCTTGCGAGAGCTGACGAGGGGTGAACATGACAAGAGCTAGGACGAGCTAGGAAGCCAGCAGAGGAAGTGCTCATCTGATCCACCTGCGTTCAGCCCGAAACACAAGTCCGAACCCAGCTCAGCCTGCAAGGATGTCACCTCCAAGGCCCCCATACTCACGCTGGAGATGAACCACCGTCCAGAACCTGCAGGCGCAGAACCGGCACTGAGCCATCACAAGAGGGTTCACAGTTCCATCGGTGTGCGTTTTAGGCCGCGCACGCTGGGAGAAATGCAGAACCTTCCTGGCAGTCGCTTGCAGATGACATTGTGAAGCGTACATGTCACACGCACACACGCACACACAAGTTTCAAACGGCCCGCAAGCAGGCCTCTCTTCCTCGCCGTCTCGAGCACGTGCACAATCTTTGACAAAGACCGGACGGCTCCCCATTCTAGCTCCTGTCAGGTAAGCACGCATCATGCATCCAGCATCCAGCCGCCAGCCCCTGTCATGGGTCTTTTTCGACTTTGGCCCACAACCGCCACTGCTTGGAATGTTCCTCTAAGCAATGGCCTTGTAGATGCGTGTAGCTCCCATTCAGCTGTCCATGATCCCCTTTGCAACCGGAGACGTGCAGCACCTTGCAGCTTCCAGAAATCGCATTATAAAGAATATTCTGGCTGATTGCTAAATACTTGTGCGCTACATTCCCTCTCGTTCCCTTGAGACGATATGCCGTGCGTGACAATGCAGTCATATGCAGTCCATATGGCAGGCCCTTCAGTATACTACATGTATATATATACATATACATATATACACATACGTATGTGTCTTGTATATACATATAAATTTATGTATGTTTATAAATAGATGTGTATACATACGTATACGGTCGTGTATGTATACATATAATATGTAATATATGACATGTGATATGCCCTTCCATGTTTTGAAGTGTGTGTGTGTGTGTGCATTCCCCAATCAAGATTATCATGTTTTATTGAAGCTCCCCTACAGATCCTTCCGTGTTTCATGTGGTTAGCTGCGCCAACCTTGAAAGTCTCTATTTACAAACGCCGTTGTGACGTGTACCAAAGTTTACACATATATATATATATATATAAATATAGGTATATGCATGCTTGGCTCTACAGCCGAGTCGGAAAACATGAACAAAATAATAAATATGTATTTCTGGAGAGTGCGTCGGAATACAGGCCTGTGTTTTTCGTGTCCAAAACACATATTTTACGTAAATTTGACCTTTTTTTGTAACCATACTTACACTACCTCCTGCATAACCAAAAGAACCTCCACCCGGATCCAATTAATAAAAACATTCAAAATCCTTAAAATCTTGAAGAAACTTGAATGAGAGTCTTCAAAAATCTAGACGGGAAAGGCCTCCGGGCCCCCCAGACCCACTGAAATGTTTTAAAATCTTTAAAGTCCTTAAAAACAAACACATTCGGACCCCTTCCCATTTAATTGTTTAAGGACATTAAAGGTTTTCAAGGCTGTAAAAAACCTTAAGTCTTGAAAATTGAATTGGGGGCACCGTTAAAATTTTAAGCGCCTTTCAAAATCCCCAAAATCTTTTTAATCACGAAAGCTTTTACAATTCTTAGAAATTTAATTGAAGCCCCATTTACATTTTAAAGGAGAGGCCCGTTATCAAATCTTTGAACATTACAATAATTACAAGGCCATTGGGGCTCCCATTTCAATTTGAATGGGGGAGCCCTCCTTTAAAATCTCAAAATCCTTTAACATCTTAAAAATATTTTGGAGTCACCCCGGCACCGTTACAATTTTAATGGCCTTTCAAAATCACCAAAACCTTTTCAATTACTAAAACATTTCCAATTCTTTAAAATTTAGTCTGAGCCCCATGTACATTCTAAAGGAGAGGCCCCTTTTCAAATCGTTCGGCCCAAGAATTGTAGAGAGTGGTGGGAAAAGAATACCATGTAAAAGAGGCTGGCATGAGGACTACACAGCCCTAGTCTAGACGCGAATACCCCTGTATATATATATATATATATATTGTGCTGCATTAACATGCAGGCCCATGGCAGGCCCAAGTTACGTTACAATGTTCCAATACGGTACCATCTTCAGCCTACAACTACAATCTACAGCTCTCTAAAAGGACAACTCTCACGATTACCCAGAAACTTGCCCCCACTCGACTAGGCCCTAGGCCCTAGGCCACTGGGATTGTCTGACATCAATCGAAGCCACCTGGAAACACTCTGAAACCAGGAAACCAAGAATTTCGGCCCACATTTCTTCCAAGCAACCCTTCGGCCAAGAAACTTAGGTACCCTAGTTCGGGTGGTCCACATGCTCAGGATGCTGGCGTTACTCCATGTCCTCAAAACATAGCCTCTTCGACTCCTTTCCAGATCCAAGATTCAACAAATCTTGGATCTTAAACAGGTTTTCCCTTGGCCTGTCCCAGGTCCAAGGGCCCGTGCTCGCCCACCCCCGACGTATGCTCAGAGCACAGCTCGAAAACAAACCCACTTCGATGGCTGGTTTTTAGTGCGGGTTCAAGTTCGGTTGAGATTGGAACTTGCAGCACGTAGTGATGTGAGCGTGGTTTCTTAAACTTAAGAATCTTGGGGGGAACAGCTCCGATCCCAACTGGTGCTGCAAGAAAGTATGTTGTGGTTGCAAAGCGCCTTCGGCACATCTGCCAGCAAATCGTGTCTGAAGCACACGATGCTTGCATCTCGCTGTGCCTCAGAGCGGCCGGCCACTGTCGAGTGCATGATGTAAAACGTCAGGCCTTGCCGAAGGCGAATACCGTCCACGGTAATGTACCTCGCAGCATATTCAGCATAAAAAACAAGAAAGCGATCCTCGAGGCCTCGAGGACCTTACACCAAATGCCACCTTCCATTTTGCGTCTGCTTGACAGCCCGACCGAGTCTATAGATTTCACTCTCATAGTCGCTGGCGCTGGGCAAGGGCAATGCACCATTGATGCAAGTATCCGGGCAGAAAGCAAACATCGAACACAATGCTGGCTGCACCCAGGGCACACACATCAGGGGATGATGATGCAAAGTCGGGACCACAGCGTGCTAAGACCTCGTGCGCATGGCCGTGCCCTTGGGCGTCAAGCAACGAAGGGTCATGATCGTAAAAACATGCTCAGGTATCCCAAAGCATGACATACGCTGGTCTGCCTTGCGCCTGCAAACCTGTGAATTTGTCGAAGAGCTGGACCCTAAAACCTTTCAAGGAACTCGCTGCCAAGCCCAAGTCATAAAACGAGACCACCAAGTTATGCTCAAATGCTAGCATCTGGAGGGCCAGTTGCCAGAATTCAGATCATCGGTTGCAATGTTGGACCCTCTTTGGTGTGGGGGGTTCCCCCCCCCCCCCCCCCCCCCCCAAAACAATCGCAGCATTTTTTTGTCCCTGATTAGACGCTCCCGGAGGTTTATTTGATTTAAATGGGGAGGAGTCTAAAGCGGGCAGCGATGCCCGGCAATTGATTTTAAAGGCGCGACGCGTGGAATTTTCGTACGGCGCCCGGTCGATTTGACTTAAAACAGGGACCTGGTCTGCACCCCCAAACAGTCAGGGTGTCCTGAATAACCCAGCCAAACTGACTTTGATCAGCAGGCCCCTACAAAAAAGGGTCCAACATGAAGAATCGGCAGGTGATTCGAGCAGAGATATATGCACAAATCGGAGAGAGATGCCTGTTTTTGATAGGGTAGGCCTCTCCCATGCAAGTCACTCTGTCGCTGCTTAGTCACTCTGTCGCTGCTTGGCGTCGGCCGTTCCCTTAGTTTGGTTCGGTTAATTATTGTATTTCCTGTATTTCTTGGCCTTTCTCCCATCAAAATCGACTGAGAGTTGGCTGTGCCGGCTTGATAAGGCCATTGATGGCCACTGTCTAGGTTTCTGTGTGTTATCCGACAGGATTGCGCATTCAGGTGCGGGGCATTTGCCTCTAATTCCAGGTTGCGGGAATACTTTGTTGCGAGTTTGGGTTACGTGAGCCAGAGAGCAAAAGCCAACCAACAGCTTCAAGCCTCTGCTGTCTCTCAATGCCAAGGCGAGCACATGCACTCCCGCTGCCAGCACCTCTGCATGCTTCGGGCACAGCCTACTGCGTATGTGTGCCAAGACACGAGGGCCCTGCTGACGCAGCAATGCTCCAATAGCCCATTTCGCCGAAGAAAAGATAGAGTGGACGCAGCTCACCGTCGTGCTGACACAAAGATACATCACAACAGCTGAGGAATGATGAGGAGAGCATTGGCCGCTTGTCATTGCCTCAGACAAGCCCACCATAAACAATGCCGCTGCCTCCGCTAGTCCATTTGTCCCCGTGCTGGGCAGTGGCTTGCCTCGACCTAATTCGGGCACCGCTGGCCATGAATTTGGCACAATTTCGGTCGAGGCTTTACTCGCATCATCGCTTCTGAAAAGTGTAAGAGGGTGTGTGTGCCAGAGCCCAGGCGCAGCCAGCAAGGTCGGCCGTGGGGGCGCGTGCCCTGGACTATGACAGGCTCGCTCTTCTTGGACTAAACTATTCAAGGACTGGATTCTTGCAAAGGTATGAAGCCTCGAGAAGCTCATAGTCGCCATTGATCTGCTGTCCAGGACCTTCTCTTCCTCCGACAGAGAGGAGCCTGCACGGGCAAGACTCGGACCACTATGATTCGCTTACTATTCGCTTGCCACTTCGCTTGCCACTTCGGCGATCCTGGGAGGCCCCTCTTGTGTGGACGCTCCGTCGCTTCGCACAAATCTGGCGCAGACTGCATACAGTGCACATACCAGGATGGGCAGTCACGACGAGCTAGGCACTTCGTGAAGGACCGTGGCCTAAGCCCAACTAAATCCACAGAGCATCTTGCAAACATCGTGTCAACAGATGTCACATCCCCCCCCCCCCCCCGCTTTCATTCATGCTGCTCTGCTGACACTGCGGTACACGGCGATCGTGTGCTGGCTGACCCTGTGACTTCAACCATGTGTATCTCCGTTGTGACACCTGCATGGGCACAATTCACTACGGAAATATTACAGGAAGCTCTCAGAATGAAAAAACAACGAGGGTGCACATGTAGGAGGTTGCAGAGACGCAAGCCCCTCTGGCCGCGTGGCTTGGTTAGAGCCTATCCTGAACAGGGAAGAATGTTGCCTGCTTGCAGTGCATGTTGGAGGTCATGCTTTGCTCGAGATACATTATCTCTGAGGCTCGGAGGAGAAGAAGGCCCCAAAAAGGACCGCCCCTCAAACATCTGAGCCGCCCGGCTCGGCAAACTCGGCCGGAGGAGGCCGGGGAAGGCTCCTGCAATCATTTTCGATTACAATACATTGTTGAAGTGTTGTGGGGATAGTACGCGAACGCTCTTGCTCAAGTTCAAACTCGTACGACATCCGTCGACAAGCAAAAGCCGCGGCTAAAGTCGGTGCAAGGGACGTGTGCCTGCTGTCTACCATTTCACGCCATGTCGCTACATTTCCGCTTTTGCAGTGGCCTGCATGGCCTCCGTTTCAGTCCTTTGCAGTAGAATAACTTCTTGAAAGGACACAGCCTGCCAGTTGTACAAAGGTTGGCTAGAATGATGCCCTGAGCATTCTCAAGATTCAATATCGCTAGTCAGACGAAGCTTTCATGCTTTGGAAAGCCAGAGACGGCTCTGCGAGAAGCACTGCTGCCGGGAGCCGTTGCCAAACAGTACATGTGAAACTGCATCACACAAAGCTGTGGCTTTTGTCGCTGCACCGTCGCATCCCAGTGCAGAACAGTATCCGGAGCTCAGCGAATCCTTCATGCGGTGCGTGTATTCTCTTGAAACTCGCCCACAGTGAGATCCAATCACTAGCCATGCCTGCCTTGCGATGTCGCTGTAAACTGTAGAAGACCGGCAGAACTTATAGCTTTGCCCATTGCTGATCAGAGGTGGGTATGGACAGTTTCGATCCGTAAGGCCACAGTCAGCGTGCGACATCCCTGCAAGCGGTGGTATGCGGTCGCCTGTTCGGATGCATTGACTTGAAATTCGGATAGTTAAGCAGTAGAGGCCTCTTGTGCGGAGATCATCATAGATCATCCTAACGGGCGCCACTGAAGAGTGCGAAAACTTGAATACAATTGTACAGAGTCAGCTTATAAAAGCTCTCTGCAAGACTTGGATGTCTTCAGTCATTGAAGCTTTGTCATGCTTTGTCATGCCTTAACCAGGATGGCATACGCCAGCCATGAAAGCCAAAGCTTGCACGGCTGCAAAGTGTGACACTTCCGGTCATGACCTAGAGCCACCTGAAGATTAACTTTGCTTGGGCAGGTCTCAGCAGTTTCGCTTTGACATGTTTTGCTATGTCTCGACGCGGGATCGGACATGCTATCACAGGTAGCGACGTGGTTACGAAATGAGTCTCGCTAGCATGCAGCGCAGCAAGTGAAAGCAGTGTGGCTTCCACTCAAACTGCAGGAAACTGCAAGAAAAAACTCATGGCAGGATGACCTGTGCATCCACAGCCAGGCCGCATTCACCCTGAATCCTAAAGGCAAAGGAACCAAAAAGGAACAAAAAGACAAAGACGAAAAAGTCTGCACAAATCCTGTAGGTAGCCGGGAGTTATCTGCCCACTGCTCTGCGTGAATTGACCGACACTTGTCATGCTCTATGGCGTAGTATGGCGTACACTTTCCTGCTTCGGGGTGCTTTAAACCATGTAACCACGCAACGCCGAAGCATTGAAAGCATTGCGGAGCACAGCAAAACACTTCTGCAACGTTCTCGGCTTCACAAGATGCTTCCAGCAGCGCTTCAAGCATGGTACACCAGCGTCATGGCATCAGCACCTTCGAAAGCTGAGGTAAGTGCCAAGAGTAGGGACAGCTACTGACAGCTACCGGCACTAGCAGCACTACCAGCAGCAGTTGAAGTCAAAGACTTGACAGGCTTGACATGCGTCGCAAGGCTCGGACTGGCAACTCTGCTTCTTTTTCTGGTTTGCTTTCTTGACTTGGAACGTGGTCGGCTGCACCTGATGCTTCCGCAGCCAGAAATTTCAGAGAGAGAGAGAGAGAGAGAGAAGGGTACCCTGTCAATCCATGGCCCGTGCATCTGAATATCGTTGTTTCACGACTTCATCAGCTATGGAAAGGAAGGCCTTCAAGTCCAGGCATTTACGACTGATGCTTCCAAAGTGGAAAGGCAGTCGGACCTCGTCAACCTCCTGCCCCGTCTTGGCCGAGGTCTGCGGCAGCACACACAATGGACCCAAGGCAGCACTGTCGGCAGTCGTGAAACGCAGGCATTTGGGTTGAGGGTAACAGGTTTCACTTTGGAGGAGTTGCAAGCTGTAAGCTCAGACAGCCTGGCAGAATTGTTTTGTGTGTTGGGTTTACACTTCTTGTACGGATTCGGGCGCAGTGTGACATAAGCCAATGGGGAGTTTCAAGGTCGTTATCGAACACTGCCTCCCCCCCCCCCCCCACCGAAGCGAGAAAGATTGAGATAAGGCCAAGGATGCCCCCCCCAAGTCCTGTTTGGCCCAAGGCAACAGGGTTGCAAACAACAGCTCCCGCAGGCTCCAAGGCTAGCTATCGTGACTGACACCCACTGTACCCATTCACCGCCAATGAAAAGTGGGTCAACTATGCACTCGAGACGGAGGGACAGACGAGGCCTCGAAGAACTTCATGCTGTATTGTGCGGCCAGCTTTTCACCTTCTTCTCTGGTGACCTTAGACACTGCCGAAGCTTTCCATTGTCGGTCGCTCTACCTGCATGACTTCCAACACCGGAACCCTGTACCCAACAGCCCGTTGCGACTAACTCGGTTCTTCTCGGATCCTGCGAACGACGAGGTAAAGCGAGGCTACTCGCACTCTACTCTCGTTTACTCTCACCGCGGACTTTAACATCCGCACGGGGCGTTAACCGTCGTGCGTTTTTCACGATTAAGCGTTTTGCCACAGCGGGAGCACGATTTTGAACGTGGTTTTAGCTCCCCAAAAAGTGCAATCAAGTTTCCGAGGTCGTTTTGCGGAAAGCATGGCAGGTGCGGTGTTTTCGACGATTCGGCGCCTCTTTTTCGTGTCTTGTTTTGTTGGCGGCTCGCAGGCCGAAAACACTGCGTGTGCCGAAGTTTTCGTGGTTTCACGTTGCAGAAACGTGCCTCACAGTTTGTGTTGTTTGTGTCATGTTTCCTTGTGTGGGCCACTTCAACTAAAAAGCCGTGGACCGTAAAAGCATTACCTTAAAGGTTGGGCTAATGAGAATAGGGCTCTTCCCTGAATGCTTTACAGTCCACGGTTCTTCTTGGCCGTATGCAGGATTTCGGGAGCGGTTTTAGGGTTCATGTACGCAGGGGGGCAAGAGTTCAGGAGTTAAGGATGTCACTGAAAAACCTTGTTTTCTGCACGTCGGTCTTTCTCCTCGAGGAAGGAAAACTGTGTGAAGGCAAGAAAGTCATGTCAAGAAGTGCGAGTGTGACCTCGAGCGGTGACTTCAAGTCTGACTTGTGCATGCGTCAAAGATACATGTGCAGCTGTCCATATTGTGCTTGCACACCTGCGCAACACTCCACCCACCCACCCCTCCGCTGGCCCTTCCGCCAAGGGGGCCAAAAGCAATGGGGTGAACAGGAGCTAGGCAAGTTCGGGAAGGGGCCCAAGCATTTAGGGTTTAGCCGGTTGGGCAGGTTGGAAGTTCAGATTGCAACAACAAAGGCGCCTTCCCCCCACCCCCCACCCCAGACCCTGAACCAACCACCCCACCCGCCCCCCCCCGCCCGGGCCATCAACCAACCGCTGCAAAAACTGTTAACATGGCGCAGGTCGCGGAGATTCTTGGGCACCAGCTTTCCGATTCTCAGTGAGGTCGGACTTGTTTCCGACAAGGACCCTGGCAATCAAGAGCGAACTGAATCGACAAGGTGTTCAGTCGTATGCCAGTATGAACCTCTTCTCCATGGCCTTTGCACACCTTCATCGCCGTGCTGCTCCAACTGTTGCAGCCAGTAGTCGATGTGCTCAAAGGATGCCTCGCATAGTGGCAAGTAAAGTCCACAAGGCCGAAACAATGTCGGCACATGTACTGTAGGTACAGCGGTACAACACTACGATCTGCCTTGTCCGTGATGTCGTAGCAGATCACAACTCCCATTGCCTGCGGGAAGAGCCGATCGAGATCGTGCATGTGGCACGCGTGTAGATGTATCAACGTGACAGAATTGTCCACAGCACATTGCCAGCAAAACGTGTCAGGTCGTCCGCTCTGTAGTATGCAGGCGTAATGGTGCCTGAGGGCAGATCGCCCACTCAGTGTGAGCCGTTTCGCCATGTCATAGTATGATATGAAAGCCCAAGGTCCACACGAAACCGCTCCTGTCCGGCTGTATCCCAAACCTGCGAGTGGGGCAAAAACTCAAAATTTGATCATGCGCGGCGCATGCTGCTTCCCTGTGATAGGCGCCTGAATTTTCAATTTCCTGCCCTCGCGTTCAACTTGTTTCCACTTGAAGTCGACACCTGCCAGTCAAGTGCAAGATGCCTCTTTCACAGTACCTGCAACTGATACTATGCATTGCCAAAGCACTCTGTCGGGGCCTATGGTCAGGACGAAATTTGCGTCGAATTTGCTTTCACAGAATCGCATCAGCAGCGATGACCTCAAAATCAGCTGTCTTGGACTAAGAAAACTGCAGTTCTGGCGGGTGCTTGCTAAGGCAGGGACTTGCCAACAGCAGAGTCACCCAGCAACAGCAATTTCACCAGGTGATCCTGTACAGCTCTGCCCTACAGCGCGAAAAGAAACAACTGAAGCACTGGGACATCCAAGGAAAGGCCCGCACGTAATCCCCCGTGACAGCCATGCTTCAACCACCTCAGCTTGCCGGCGCCATGCTTGAAGGTCTCCCCTCATTCTCCTCCTCCTCCTCCCCCCTGGCCCCCACCAGTGCCATCCCTAGCACAAAGCTGCAAACTATGATCGTTGCCTGGAGAGCTTGCACGTGAAGCCTTAGCTCTGTTCGGCATGCCAACTCTAGCCAGGGTAAGCAAGGCTGCATGAGCAAAGCTAGAACTATTTTAGGTAAACAGATCTGCGCACCACAAGCAGCTGTGGCTGAGCACAGCTCCAACAGCACAAAGGCCACCCGCGGCTCTCCCAACCCTGTGCTTCCTTCTCGAGCCATAGGCAGTGAAATGCGAGGGACAACTGGTTCGGCATTTTCAGCAGCATCGAGCATTCCGAAGAGGACTCCCATTGCCAGTGGAATCAGGAGCTTTGGCGAAACGACTCCCCAGCTGGCTTGTTGACTAGTTCGCATCTCTCTTGCTTATGAAAATCATGAACCTGGCGGCTATAATCGCACTTCTGCAAGGGCGTGCTGTTATTTGGAGTATGGAAAACGCTTGCTGGGGTTGAAGAAAAAGTCTGGAATGATCTGCATAAGCCAACACCCACAGTCGAAACTTTGCCATACCCCTCAGCCTCCAAGAACCATCAACTCCAAACGCCCAACGCTGCAAACCCTTGGAAAGCTGGGATGACGTTGTCCTCGGGTGCAACAGGATGTGTTGGTTGGCTCGTAGTATTTCTTAGGAATGGAAGGGGGTGGGAGGGGGGGGGAAAGGGGCGAGGTGATGCCGCGACCTCGTGGGCAAGCTAGGAAGGGGGCGAGAGGGGGTGGGAGGGGGGGGGGAGGGAGACCACGCAGCGGGGCCGCTCCTTTGCTGTTGTCCACTACCTCGGCGTCTGACTCCTGCTCTTCCGTCTCCTCCCTTTGCTGCTCTTCTGCATCTGCTGCCGCCAGAAGCCGCCCCGCCAAGTCGCGGGAGCGGTATCCTCGGGCCTTACTCAGCTACGGATGGCTCTTCAGCCTCCGGTACAGGTCTCGCTGCGTCTGCGTTCTGGCCTCCACAAGCCTGCCTCTACTAAGGCTCAACTAAGGCTTTCACCTTTCAGCCCCGGCCGATGGAGACGCTCCTCTGCAGGCACGGCCTCCTCAGCCGCTCGGCAGCCATATTGAGACAAAGAAGTCTCTCTTCCAAGACCCCAACAAAAGCTCAACCCCCAAAACCTAGAGCAAAGCGAAGGAGTGCACACACTGTGAGGTCTGCACACAGCACTTCAAGAGCGTCACTCGAGATTCGCCTCGATAGCCGCCGGCAGACTCTGAGCTGACAGCAACACTGGGAGTAGTGACTGTCCTGGTGGCCCATTCTGAGGAGACAGGAAGCGGCACTAAGTTACAGCAGCTCCTTCATCGATCTGCAGCACGCCGACGTGGCTCAGGAACATCGCAATCGCAACCACAGAAGTAAGGCGAGAGCAAATCAAACATGCGGACCAAGCTCTAGCAAAGGCGGTCAAGCGCCAGTCGCCAATTTCGATGAAGCGGTCTCCCATCCGGAGGTGATGGCAGCTTGGGGCCTCGTCCGTTTTCTTGACATAGTTCCTCACCTGCTCGGGCGGAGGCACTTTGCTGCCAGGCTCGGGGCGGCGGCCACTGGCCTTGCATCCGAGCTCCATGGCACAGGGCACCACAGCAAATTTCTGCGGCACCCGGACGACCTCCTTGCAGAAGAGCTTGGTGGGTGACAGCAGCTGGACAGACTTGTCAAGCGAACCACTGGGGTTGATGCCGGGGAGAAGCTTCGCAATGATGCTACCAGCCGCACCGGCCGCTTTCATCATGATGTTTGTAAGTGGCAGCTCGCCCACAAGTGGGGCAGGCAGTTCATGACATTCCTCATGGCTCTCACCTTAAACATGGCACTCAGCATCACGGCCTGTGTGAGGGCCTTCACAAGCGTATCTTTGAAAAAGGGCGGCAACGCAAAGCCGGTGATTTCGACATCAGCGTAGACGCTCAAGACCTTGGTGGAGTTTCAGCGAGAACACCGCTGGTGAAACGGAGTCGTGCGCTCGCAGCCTCCTTAACAGCAGATGTCTGCGCCTAAAGCGCCTAAAGTGCCTCAAGCTGGGCTAGCTGGGCATCCGGCCGCCGCTCCGCACATGTCCAACATGACTTGGGCCGAGTCCACGGTATCGTTGGAGGTGATGTTGGTGTCAGACGCAGCCAGCGCTACTGGTGGAGTCTCTTGAGAGTCCTGGATGAGGAGCATCCGCGGCTTGTAGACCAAGTTGCCCTGGGCTCTGGCCTCGGCGTGGAACATGGGGTTGTGATGGGCACGCCGGGAATGGGCCAGACGGTGAGCACAGGCCCGGCACCCACTCGCAAAGAGGCAGCAGCGCTGGCAGCCAATGAGAAGCCATAAGGGTTCTTCATGTTCACCTCGGCATGGCCGGATGGATTCACCGTGACCTCGCCTGCGACCTTGAAGTCCACGGAGGTCATAACTTGCATGGTTCCCGTTAGCGTGCCCTTCATCTCAAGCTCGGCAACCATCTGGAGCATGAGGACGATGCAGAACTTGGCAGCGCAGAACACCTTCTTCAGAGGCGACTTCGGAAAGCGCCTCTCTGAGTTAAAGGCACAGCCACCTTGAGCCTTGACCAGCGCATCAACAGATGCACGCACCAGTCCCTCGATCTTGAAGGTGGTGTCACCATTCGTTTCAACTCTCACAGAGATTGTCGGGACAAACTTCACGGCGCCCGAAAGGGCCGTCTGCAAGCTCGATTCGCATGATCCTGCCGGAGCTGCGGACAGCTTTGCCTTCTGGGCATCGGGGGACATCAGGGTCTGCCCTGCCGGCTGTACTCCTCTCCAGGCAGCTTCACCTTGCCGTTGGCTCCCTTGCCGCCGAAAAGATGCTCTTTTTGGGTAGCCTTGAAGCCAAACTTCTTTGTCAGCCCAGCGTTGTCCTTGAAGACGCATTTCAAGGAGAGGCCGTTGGAGAAGGCGACGGCGCTTCCTTTCTTGCAATCGCACACCTCACCGATCAACATGGCGCAGGGGGAAAGGGCATTCTTGAAACAGAGCAAGAAATCCTTGATGACCTCCCAGGCCGCCTTGGCAAGGCCGACGACCAAAGGCCCAAGCGATTGGACCACGTCCCCGAACGCCACGGCTTTGCTGGCAATCTCGCTCCCCACTTTCTCGGCCAGCTGGATGCCCTGGTTCACAGAATAGACAGCAGCGTCCAAGACGGCACCCGCCAGGTCCACTGTCGCATCGGCGACCATCTCGCCAAAGTCTTCGAACGAGTTGCCGACAGAAACTGCCGTGCTTCCAATCTCGTTCGCCGCAGCCTTGATGGCGCCTCCCAACTTTGAGAACTTAGTTTCAGCCGCTTTCACCAAGTGATTGCCAACCACATTCGCCGCGTTTGCCACAGCGGTTCCAATGGCCATGCCTGCATGTTTCACCGTGTTTGCAACCGTCGAACCTGCAGACGCAACGGCGCAACGGCGTTGCCAACGGTGGCAAACGCCGAAACAAAGAACTTGCCCGACACAACCGTGTCCATGTCTAGTGTGCGGTTTTACCGGCCCGAAGGATCAGGGCACCCTGCACATCCATCGCAGAGTCTGCAGACCCGTTGACGCTGTAGCCCGAGCTTGCAGCGTAAAGCTGATCAACAACTTCCATGGAAGAGAAGTTGGCCTCCTTGCAACACGCTTAAGTGGAGACAGGGAGGGAGTTGCATGGAGTTGCCTTCAAGGACGAGTAGACTGAGTAGACGTGGCACAGATCCTGGCCTGTGTGACCTTCATGCTGGCGGCCAGATGCAGCACCACTGCCCTGAGGCGTCTGAGCATGTGGCTGCATGTTACTGCATGTTGCGGCACATTGCTGCAGATGCATATTGCTGCGTATTGCTGCCGGGTCCGCGATACTGGCTGAGCCCGGGGCGAGAAGGCACATGAAAGCCACGATGTTTGCTTCATTCTCAGACAGAATCGTCTGAAGAGGAGGGCGTAAACGCGTAAACTTATGTAAACTTGAAGGCTGGAAGGCTGAGGGAGTGCAGCTCACTAGGCCAGGGTTGGCCAGCATCGGCAAGTCGCAAGACGTCGCACGGATGGCAGACGCTTCGGCATCCTATTTAGCATCGAGCGTGCATCTGCCGAGGCTTCGCATGGCACTTCTCGCAGCACTTCGCGCACATCGTGCTCAGGTGCCATCCGCCGACAGCTGGTACCTCGAGGCTGCGTTGGCTAGAACTGGGCTTTCCCTCATGCCAGCGGTGCTTTCAAGCTTAGGAGGCCACACAAAATCTCCGGCGAAGTGCTCAGCTCAGCAGACCACATCCCTGCCACCACCGTGTTGGAGGACAAAATAGAAGCTCGCACAGATAAAGCAGAGCAGGCTCCACGCAGACCCCCGTCCCAGCGAAGGGCCTGCCTACCCTTGTGTCCCGTCTCTGCGTCCATGTCTCTGCCTGCCACCCGACATCTCTGGCTACAGTTTGCTGTTTGCTTGGAAATCCAAGCCCAGCACTGACGCTGCCTCTCCAATACGGTGGCAACTGCGCGAGAAAGCAACCGATGCGGCGCCTGGCAAGCCAGCTCGTCTACCCTGACAGCCCGACCTTGCAACATCCGATTCAGGCCTGTCATCCACACAGAATACAAAGCTCACGATCGGCATGACTCTGGGCCACCTCACTGGAGCAATCAGCATGTGCAAGCGCAAAACCCTCATGTGGGGGGGGGGCGGGGGCAGGGCAGGGACTCCGTGCGCAGGCAAATTGGGCCTCCCCGCCTCCCCCCTTCCCGTGTGACCTTCAATCCCTGACTATCAAGCCAAAGGTCGCCCCAACTTCTGTTCGAAACAAGAAGGGTGTAAACAAAAGCTCCCGCAAGCTCCTAGGAGCCAGCTTTCGTGACACGGGGATTTGTTGGCCTGGCCTGCATAAGTTTCTCCACCTCTGGCAGCAAGTACCTGGCGTGCAGAGGCACTCTCCGTGCACTGCAAGTTAAGTAACTTGCAAGGTAACAGTAATCCCCCGGCTGTGCAGGCACACTTTAGCGTTCCAATTGCATCCTGACCTGATCGGGCATAGTGATGCACACTCATCGATGTGCTTTGAGGGATACTGGCACCGGCCTTGCAAGCTGTTGATCCAGTCAAAGTCTGTCAGATCAACATCGTCACATGACGGACCTTCGATAAGAGCAATCTCCCGCCTCTCCGTGCATTGCCTGAAATTCTTGAACCCTTTGGAGCCTTGTAAGAGCGCCATCGCGTTAGCAAGCCTTGCCGAGCCAGAGGGCATGACAGATCACATGCCTCGAACCACTTGCATCTGAATCCGACCGGAAGCCGCCAACACAGGAACCACCATACTACAATCATGTACCCCGCCATCGGCCTTCTGATCTTCATCAGCTCCTGCGGCGTCTGGGCAACCTCTCAGCTGAACTATGCTGGGGAGCTGCTAGAAGCTCCTGGCAACAATGAAAACATATGAAAACCTCCCCCTTACCTGCAGCAAGGTTTCGAAGTATCGCGCAAAGTATGCCACCTCATCGCTGCAACGTATGCTGAGACGAGAGACGCACTGAGAAACAGCCCTCCATGTCCTGATACAATGTCAATACAATCAATACAATGTGAATACAATCGAGAAGCGGACCTTGGAGTTGACCAATGCCACTATCATGTCAGTCAAAAGGCTTTGGTCACTTTGGTCCTGCGCAGTGCGTAACGTCTCGTCCTTCAACAATCTCAGAAGTAGCCCCCCCCCCCCCCCCCTCGCTTTTCTATCATGATGTCCGTCTGTCCGGGGAACGGGCGGCATCCAGCAGCGCAGTCTTCTGACGGACCCATGTACTTCTCTCAACAGGCTTGGGCATGTCAGGTGTATAACTTGCCCACCGCCTGAGTTCGAGCGCTTGGCGCTGGAGGGCGGTGTGTGGCTTGGACCGCCTGCAACTATGATCAAATGCAAGCCATACGCGGGAATGCAGCAGTTCCTTCCTGGTGCACGAAGTGAAATGCCCATGAGTGCTGCTTCATCGCCCACCTAGCTCACGGTGTCACATAGCTCATTTTGGAGTGGAGCGGAGCGGAGGGTTGGAGGGTGTGCTCGTGAGCTCTCATGAGGGCAGCTGCTTCGTTCCTCTGAGTGCACTTGATGGCTCAGGCACAAGCACATGCAGCTTCCGCAGCTTCTCTTCTGCTCGTAGCTGGCACAAATCATAGCCCTGTGGAATCCAATAAGTGACGGGCTCTGAAGAACAAACGCAATACATAGCATCACCAGAGCAACGAACGCGCCTCAGTGAGCCTCGCTCGATACCTCGTGAGGCCAGCAACCAGTGCTCGTCACAATGCTGGCTACAACACAACTTGCCTCTGGATTCTGCTGATTTTTGAGGTATAATTAGGGAGACAATGGTTCAGGCCTTGCAACACCAGTCGGCTTCTGACTCGCAGGTTCGCTCACCATTGGTGACGACCTGCCAGTGCAGTGAGCATGCTCGTGGGTCTGTCTCGGCGGCTGAATTCCAATCCACGTCTTTTCCGGTGTGATGAGATGCGGAAGTCGAAGTGGTCAAGGTTTGGGAGGTCTTGCGAAAGCCTCGAGGAGACCTGCAAACCTGGCAAGTCCTCACGAGGCCTGACTGTGACATGCAAGGCCTGATGCACGCTGCAAAGTGCCACGGAATTGCCGGGATGAGGCGTCATGAGATGAGGGATACGGAGCCCAATAGGCTTTTTGTGAAGCGTTGTTGGCATTGTTGCCGCCACGATCTCGTCTATTTCGGACATCCGGGCCGCTGCACGATGCCGAGTTGTGGCCCAACGATTACCGAAAAAAAAAACATAATAAAACTTGGCGAACCCGAACGAACACCACTGCTACATTGCACATTCATGCGAGACATACTGAAGTATGAAAGCTGCATGCGCTGACGTTCAGGATTGATCCTGATCCACGACTACTATCGTGGATCCCGGCCGCGACACGAACGAAGACAGACACACGCGAACACACACACACACACAGGCATACATACAAACATACAGACATACAGACATACAGACATACAGACAAACATACAGGCACACAGGCATACAGACATACAGACAGACATACATGCATACATACATATCATGCGTACATACAAACAGATATACATGATCGTAAACTTACATATGTATGTATATTCATATATCTATATTCTATCTTTTGAGTGTGTACAGTACGATACAGACCACCCTAAACCTCTCTAGGCCCAAACAAACATAAATACAACAGCAATGTATCTATGAGCCCCAACGGATCTACCGTTTTTAGTGTTTAAAGTACGACGCAAGCCACCCTAAACCCTCCAGGCCTTAAGAAGCATAACTATAACACCAACTATCTAAATTCCGCATGCCAGATGAGCGGGGGGGAGGGGGGGACAGAAAACACACACATTTGTCGGACCCTGCTCCTAAAGGATCTAGGAACCACGCAAACGCAAAAAAGCCCGACGACCCCATTAAGGTTGAAATATATATATAGGTAGAGAGGGTTTAGGGTTTAGGGTTTCGGGTTTAGGGTTTGCGGGCGCGGCTTAACGCGCGGCCGGAGCGAGGTTTAGGAATAGGGTTTGTCTTAAGTGTCACACGAATACGCTCCAAGCATAAGGTTCAGCGAGTAGGTAGTAGGCTTGGGCCGAAACCTTAAACAAATAAGGTAAATCCTAAATCCCAAATCCCAAATCCTAAATCCTAAATCCTAAATCCTACATCCTACATCCTAATCCCCCCTTTTTGGGGAGCTTTTTGAAGCATTTTGGTGTTTTTTAAAGCTATTTGGGGCTGTGGTGGTGCTTTGGGGTAAAATGGAGGGGCCCCGAAACCGTCGATTTCTGTACTAAAAATGAGCATTTTTCATTGCGGGAGCAGGCAAATACCAGGTTCCCCCCTTTTTCAGTTTTTGTTTGAAGCTTTTTGGGTTTTTTTAAAAGCTATTTGGGGCTGCGGTGGTGCTTTGGGGGAATGGTCATGCCTGTAGGACTTAGGGGTTCGGGGGGCCCTCTCTGCAGCTTTTAAAACTTAGGCATTAGGGTTTAAGGGCTTTTCTGGGGCGCTTAGGATTTAGGATTCAGGGGCCTCTCTGGAGCTTTTAGGATTTAGGATTTAGGGATCAGGGGGCTTAAGCCATAAGAATTGAAATGGTAGATAGGGCTGCCAAATGAAAGGGATTCTGGGTGGGTGGGGTGATGCCAAACACCCTTAGTGAATGCTTGGATCAGAGATGCTGAACCCTAAACCCTAAACCCTAAACCCTAAACCCTAAACCCTAAACCCTAAACCCTAAACCCTAAACCCTAAACCCTCAACCCTCAACCCTCACCCCTAACCCTAAACCCTAAACCCTAAACCCTAAACCCTAAACCCTAAACCCTAAACCCTAAACCCTAAACCCGCCCGCCACCCCTCTCACCTCTGTTGGGGCGGGCGCAGTCGAGCGCTCAGCGAGACCATGGCAGGCTCTGCTTGAGCTGCAGAGCCTGCCCCCGCACCCCTGAGGGGTCGCCAAGCTTGGTCGCCAAGCACTGTCACAGATGTATTGTATTACCCTAAACCCCAAGGGGGGGATCCTTTCCCTTTACTGCCAACCTCAAACCTGGCCTTGGCCTTGTCTGGAGGCCTCCTTGCTGGACCAGGGGCCCTTGTGGGTCTTTTGTGTTCCTGGCCTAAAATCCTGCTGCTGAAATCTTGCTGGGAGGCCCGTGGAGGCCGCTGTAGAGGCCTCTGGTCGCCCCCCCTCCCCCCCCGCCCAGCAACACCAAAGCAGGCAGTGTTTTGCAGGCACATGTAGAATGTTTGCGAGAAACAACACGAATTTTACCCTCCACTCTTTCTTGGATTTTGTGGTGAAACCACACGTTTGAGGCCCTGAAGTGAGGAGAAACATAGAGCCAATTGTGGCACCGTCTGGTAGTGGTGGTAGTAGTAGTAGTAGTAGTAGTAGCCATGCGCGCTTCCTGGCGCCTGGTCGTTTCTAGGGGGGGGGGGGGGGGGGGGGGTGGGGGGGGGGGGGGGGGGGGGGATAAGAACGTCATTCGTATTGCGTCCATGCACAAACGACTGGTATTTACAGCGTTTTTGCCTTGGCCTTGCACTTGAGGGTTTGGGCTTGAGGCTGTACTTTTGGGCTTTTTCTATGGGGTTTAGGGTTTAGGGTGTAAGGTCATAGGACTTTTGAATTTGCACTTGAGAGTTTGGGCTTGAGGCTGTACTTTTGGGCTTTTTCTATGGGGTTTAGGGTTTAGGGTGTCAGGTCATGAGACTTTTGAGCTTGCACTTGAGAGTTTGGGCTTGAGGCTGTACTTTTGGGCTTTTTCTTTGGGGTTTAGGGTTTAGGGTGTAAGGTCATAGGACTTTTGAGCTTGCACTTGAGAGTTTGAGCTTGAGGCTGTACTTTTGGGCTTTTTCTTTGGGGTTTAGGGTTTAGGGTGTCAGGTCATGAGACTTGTGAGCTTGCACTTGAGAGTTTGGGCTTGAGGCTGTACTTTTGGGCTTTTTCTTTGGGGTTTAGGGTTTAGGGTGTAAGGTCATAGGACTTTTGAGCTTGCACTTGAGAGTTTGTCAAAGGACTTTTGGGCTGTTTCGATGGGGTTTGGGATATGTGGTGGGTTTAAGGGTTAAGGGTTTCGGGTTGAGGGAGCCTCAACAAGTCTGCAGATCTATGACGTGCGAATTGTCTGAAACACTCGCAAGAGTATTGCCACCTGCAAGGATGGACTGTTTCATTGGCAGCGGGGCGAAAACGCTGTAAATACCTGTGTTTTGGCCATAAACCGCTGTGAATACCGGGTTTCGCGTTTCGGGCTTCGATTTTGGCCTTAAAATTAGTTAGCGCGATTTTCGCGTTTTCGGACTTTTTACACACATGTGCAAATACATCGCAAAAACCATGCTTTCCAGCACCTCACACACCCCAAAGCACCAGGCGCCCTGAGGCGCGCAACCCTAGTAGTAGTAGTAGTAGTAGTAGTAGTAGTAGTAGTAGTAGTAGTAGTAGTAGTAGTAGTAGTATTGAAACACAGACACAACTTAAAGAGACCACCGGGCATTTTAAGGTGGAACCAAGAAGTAAGAACAAAGACCAGGAGTCCCTGGCAATCTTAGTTCTTAGTCCTTGGTTCCACCCTTGTTGAAATTCAATATTTCAATAAGAGATTTCAATAATGATAACACACAGATCCGAGATACAACACCAGAAAACAACCAGAAGAAAATGGTGGATCCAAGGGGGGGAGGTACCATACATATTATATATATATATATATATGTATGTACATACATATGTATACATGCGTACGCTGTTCTGCGCATATGTATATATATATATATGTATGCTCATGCGAAAATATATAAATAAATGCATAACACATATTATTATTTATTTTTATGCATATATATATATGTGCATATGTGCATAGATGCGTACATGCTGCATTGTGAATCTTGCCTTGAGCTGCGTATAGGTGCCATGCCACAGGAAACACGCCCGGCGAAACTATCCAAAGCCAGGGTTCGATACTTCAGCTACAGAAGAAAGGATACTTCTTGAAGTCCAGACATACTCCCAGAGGAGAAGCACAATCTGGCCGTTCGATTTGTTCGCGCTTGCGCCCTCTCAAAGGAGCTCTTCCGACAGTTTCGCATTTTTTCGCAATGCGTCTTGGCATCCCAGTGCAGCTTTGCCTTCACTTCGCAACGCAGCTGCACTTTCCAATGCTTCTTAACCCAATGCGTTTTCGCCCAATGCGTCTTCGCCCAGTGCGTCTGCAACCTGTCAGGTCCCAACGCCCCCTTTGCCGCAGTGCTTTTACCTATAAACTTACGATATCTGCATATGCATATAATATAGTATAACCTAATCTAATCTAATATGAAATATGTCTACATATATATCTATATATGCATACGATGCTGCTCCTGACATCCAGCAATGACCCAACAGTTTATAAGCTTTTCAGCAGGATCCTCGAGACACCTCGGAAGAGCTCTCGCTCTGTCTTTTCACGCTGGAATCAACCGACAACACATAGTTAAAAATGAAGATGCCCGCTTCGCTCGTGCGCATTCGGCGGAGTAACTTGGTAGAAAGGTACCGCAGCAGCTACTGAAGCAAAAGCAGGGATGCGTCGGCGGAGGCGGACAAGGCATCTGCAGACACTCGTTGTTATGGATCGTGCAGTCAGTGAAGCCAGCTGCCTCGCAGAGGCTCCACGCCTGGAGCACTCTGCAACCAGGTAGGCGTTGGCCTCTCGAAAGTGCCACAATGTGTCACAGATCTGAGCAATGCTCTGACCATGCTTTATGAGAGGATCATCCTATTCTCTGCGCTTCTTTTCTCCATTCGTTTATGCCATTCTTTGTGCCTCTGTCTCCGTGCGAAAAGCCCGTGACACCGCTAGCGGTGCACCAGCGACAAGCGCACCAACAGACCTCGGAGACTACGCCGCGACTGCGCCCTTTTCAGTCCTACCAGGAAGCGTAAATGTGCGGCAAGCCAGCGACACTGCCTGAACGTGACAAAAGAAGTGTGGTGTAGCTCTGGTGTAGTGAACACTCGGCCAGTGACCAAGCGGTGAACTCGTCTCGATGCATCGTGGCAAGGCGAAGGTGCCTCTGATCCTCACAACTGTCTACTGGGGTTCTGAGACTCATCCACTTTCATCGACTTTGATCGACTTGTCGACTCCAGAATGGTGCCTGCACAATGCCATCGCGAAGCCACACCTTTGCAATTGAGCCACCACCGGCATGGCACAATCGACAGTCGATGTTCACAAGTCGAGGCTGCTCATGAAACAATAGCTTCAGAGCCTCGGCAGGCCAATGCAGGTACTTGAACAGACGACCTTGTTGGCTAGAACCGGCACAGATATGCACAGATCCTATCAACAAACCGTTGTCAGCATTCGCCACGCTTTCTCGAGAGCTGGGGCCATGTCGCTTCCACCTGCCAGAGGACCCGGTGCCCAGAGGAACCTGCAAGTTGCTTCGAGCTTTTCTGTGATAATCAAACATGGCGCTCCGGTGTGTCAATCGCGTGCTCAGACACAAGCTGGCAGAAAAATGCCAGCTTCTGGGTCGTCCGCTGCCTCGGCAGCAGAAAGGAGAAAGGGAAGGACAAGGGCACGAGGGTCCCTCACTCCCTGAACCAGCAGGTCCGTGTGGTCGCGAGCCTGAGCATATGAGCCACATCTCAGGCACTGACAGACAGGCACTCACAAGCACTCACACGCACTCATAGTGCCAGCTCTGAGGCTCTGAGGTCCCCAGCTCCAAAGTCAACAAAAATCTCGTCACCCGCTTTAATGGCGCCTGTCGTTGCAAGAACCTCGGGTTCCGCCACGTTCTAAATGGAATTGCGCATTCGCACAGCATTCACGAGGTAGTTTTGGTCTGGGCATACGGCAACGTTGTCCTTCCTGAGTACCTCAAGTATGGAAGCTGTGAGACGAAGCTTGGAGGAGTCTTAAATTTCTAGGGCCGATGGGAGTTGTCGCAAGCTATGGTAAGGTGATGGACCACTTGACTCCAGACTTCCACCGGTCACCCTGAACATTGGTTAACGTAAGTGCGTTGGTGCACTGGCTTGAGGCCGCCATCTTGACGCTGGCACAAATCAATGCCTGGAATCCTCGGCCGATCATGGCGAGACTGCGCATGAAGAAATGGCGAGGCACAAGGAGCAACGCTCACAACTGCTCACATGGGCGCATTCATGCCTGGCGGTGAGCGGAGCCAAGATAAAACAGCGCGTGCGGCAACGATGCGCATGCTTCCCTCTCTCGCTCTCTCTCTCTGATTCTCTACTTTTTCGTTTTTTCCTGAGAACTTTATACAAACCAGGCCCATTACAGACACCAACTGTCGTACTCAAACCGGTGATACTAGAGCCTACTCAAGATCGAGAGGTCTTTCTGGAAAGGTGAGCCCTGCAAGACGCTGCACATAACTAGCAGAAAAGTGCAGAAGAGGTTCTTGAACAAGACTTGTGCTAAGGCTGCTAAGGGCCCTACATCACTGGCTCGGCCTCACCACGTGAGCCTTCAGCACAAGGTCTATTAAAAAAACTCAAGTTCGTCCTGGACCCTTGGACTGAGCCTTACACCGAGTGGCAGAGTCCCATGCCGTGCATAGTATTGGGCGAAGGCAGCCTGTGTGCTATAAACTCGTCGAACAGTCGATCGTGCGCCATGAAGCATCTCAACTTGTGAAACCAGTGCGTATCTGCAACATGCTCTTTCTGTGTTCAACTTGCAATGGCTGCAAGCATCTTGCGGAAGGTACCAAACCCTGGTGCCTTGATGTCGTCGTGCCTGTCAGTATGACATGATTCACAACAAAAGAACATCAGTGGGCTGCTGGAAAGTAAAGCCAGCCAGGTGCACTCCAGGAGAAGCGGAGCAACAGCGTGAATTTGAGCAATCCGTCGCAGGAAATGCTGGGTCAGTTCACCGGCTTCAGTGCCACTCAACCAAGCCAGGACTTCTGTCCTCCAGAGTACGGTGGCGTTTGGAAGCGGCTCATTCTTTAGAAAATCCACATACGCGCGGATCGGTGACGATTCAGGTGGCTTCTGAATGCCTTTCTTGATGGCTGCCACTGACAGTACCAAACATTCTGCCTCTGTAAGGTGGCCTCGAAGCTGAAACGCCTGGAACTCGGCGGCTAGCTGTTTCACAATTTTGGCGCCAGGCCACAATAAAGCCGCCCGGGGAATCCTGAAGAGGATCTCCCCGGAGGCGATATCTCGCGAAGCATGTACAGCTGTGGCATTGCCAGGGCTTCTTGTGAAAGTGAGATCGGACCTCACGGAGCCCCCAATTCTTCGAAGCGAGGACAGCAATCTGCGAACAGGAGTTTGCGTAGTTTCCTTGTCGCAATCTGCGCTGCAGCTTGCTTCTCTGGCACCCTGTGAGGCTGAAGCCAGCCAGTGAATTAGCGACAGGATACCAATCACCCGAAGTTCTCGCATTGCTGAACATGACTGAATCGCTTCAGGTTTAAAGAAGAGCTGGCATGAACGATAAAATTAAGAACGCGGTAGTCTGCAACAGCTGTGCTGAGCTACTATAGTACGACGTGGCGCCTCAGCGCTCCACCTCCTGACAAGCAATGTCTTGCAAAGCAACAGCTTGAGCCAACTCAGGTCATACATGGTCATACAATCCGCTTCAACAGCTTCATAGACAGCAGAGTCGCAGCTCTGAGTCCGGCAGCTGCTCGCACGTGCAAGGCTTTTCTTAAGCAAGCTCGGTGCAAAGCTCCGCACTCGGGAGAATGCAGCAGTCGGTCGAGAGGTTACCCTTGGTAAAGTACCTCTGAAAGCTTACCCGCTGCAGCGTTGAACTCCTGCACAGCCCCTTGCACCCCAACCATCCGAGCTTCACAACTTCAAGCTCGCCCTCATGTTTGCTGAATTTGGATTTCGGATGGCTCTGCTTCCACAGAAAATGCCAAACAAAAGTTCCCATGTTTGCCACAAACCCGAAAATAGGAACTTGGCCAGCCTTTAGCCACTGTCCTATGCGTAAGCACAAATGCAAACTTGAACGACGCCACAGTTCTGAATAATGATGGTTTAGCCCCAAAGGCTCTGAACTAAGCAGCTTCCCTATCATGCCACCAGTGCTGTTTTGAGGTTTCTGGGGTTGACGGTTTTTTGGGCGCAGGGATGAACAATCTTCATGCACATTGCTGGATTCGCGATGAACGTCTAAACGGGCGATCCAAGCGCCCTATGTGTACACATAGGGAAGTGACTATTCGGATAATGGTCGAAGGCTTCAAGATGTAACTCAAATCTCATGCTTGCCCAGCGATGGGCAAGGGACTGGCAAGCTCAAGTTGACAACGTGTAGGGGAGCACCCCCTGGTCTGTCAGCGCAGTTTAACCTAGCCTAGTGCCAAGAGTGCAGCTTCGCCGAAATCGCCGAAGCGTTCTGGACACCCACCTTCTGGTGCTTTTCGGTTCTTGTGAGTAGAAATCACTGCAGTAGCTCTGTCAAGCGCCACAGCACGATGCAAAGGTCCAGAACTTGCTTCAGATTCAGCCGTCAATTTCATTACTTGTTGTTCATCTGCTGCATCCTTCAACACCGACGCTCAACTTCCAGGAAGGCCAGGGGAGGCGAGGTATAGGGAAGCAGCTGGGCCCAGTACCATCGGACGGGGGCGAAACTCGCTGGCTTCTCTGGTGGATTCCTGCCATGGCATGGACAACAGAAGATCTCCTCTTCGTTCTTCGCTGCGTGGCTCTGCAAGAGTCTTCCTGAGGGTTCCTTAAGCCTTTGCCGGGACCACGCAAGTTCCTCGTTCGCCCAGTCCAAGGTTTTGAGATAGTGGACCTCGCAGAGCGAGTTTTTTGGAGCAACATTTATCACGTAATGTATCACACAGTGTACCACGTAATGTATCACACAATGTATCACATAACGTATCACATAGGTCAACATAGGAGAAGAACATGGTGACCTGACGATGACTTTTGCAAGAGCGCGCCAGCTGCTCGGCAGAACCACAGCAGAAGTTTCACAAACTAACCACATTTGTTGACTCTCCGCATGTCTGCTGGCGCGGGGCGATGTCTACTCGTATCTGGAAGTCTTTGATGCCTTGCCACGTGAAAGCAAGAGATATTGCAGCGACAAAGCGCTGGAACTGACACAATCGCACAAAGCTTAGGTCTTTGCCCGCGAAGTTCATTTGGACACGCCTTAAGTCAAGCCAGGCATCACGCAAAACACCTACATGCACACATACACGTGCAGGCCAGTCAGACCACAGTCTATGGATGCCGTGGCAAGATTAGGGCCAGCTCCCCTGTGCCATAACGCGCGGGTTCTTCATGTAATTCCTCTCATGGCCACGCAGCGAAGAACGGGAGAAGACCGAGAAGACTGGACGAAAGCCAAGGAGGTCGCATCAGTGCTGCTTCTAACCAGAGGACGTTGTCCACACGGTCTGTGCCCTGGCTGCAAAACTTTCAAAGCACTGCAGGGAAATTGCACACAATCAGGTTCAGAGGCTGCTTGCATCATGTTCGGCCTGTTTGTTCTGAATCTCTTCCAGTCCACTGGCACGGCCTGTGTCCAAAGGGTGTAGAACAGATTGTACGTTGGAAAACAGGTTGGAGACGAGCATGGACACTTTCCAAAATAAAGCACACACCAGCAGTGTCTCAGTTTTTCAGATGCCGCCCCCCCCCCCCCCCATTGAATTTGAAGGACACAGAGTAGCAAGATGCTCATGAAGCTTGGAATGTGATGTCAAGCGACCAAAGGATAGAGGAGCAAGTTTGTCATGAAAACTTCGGATTTGGAGGTCAGGCGACCAAAGTACACAAAGGATCAAGTTGTTCATGAAGACTTTGCATGGAGGTCAAATGACCAAAGGACACAGAGGAACTTGCTCATGAAATCTTGACAGCGATAGGGTTTTCGGATTCTTCGGGCACAAAGGAGGAAAGCTCTCTACAGGTCTTCACAGCGTTTGAGACACTACTCTGTGGGGTTGCCGATATGTACGCTATGCAGCTATGCATGGCTATGCTTCTTGGGAATCCTGGATTCCCACGTCCAGGGCTCGGGTCTGCCGGTCAGGATTTTGAGGAACACGCATGCATGTATTGAACTGCATTGAATGTTCCCCGCTTCTTGAGTTGATGTTGTTGTCTTGAGGTTTTCCAGGTGTGGTGCCGAAATTATGCTCAGTGTTGGCGATGGTAGATTTGAGGAGCATTTGAAGCCATAACACCTGCAGGTCTTGGGCTGCGGGGCCCCTTTTAGGCTACGCCCTTGGAGCATAAGATTCTGTTGCGCGACACGTCAGTCTTCTGAGAGCCCTAAATCATCATGGCGGATACATCCATGATGGAAAATGTATTTCTCGGGGATCGCCTGGGATACATTACCTGCGACTACTGTGCATTGCTCCGGCAAGATCCTCTTTCTGCTTTCTTTCTGGGCGTGCTCCATCTCGCGTCCACCATCTCGCGTCCAACGCAACTCGTCACAGCGCTTTGTGCCATCGGACAGCGCAACGAGGCAGCTGACAAGTCCCTCAATCTTGCTCTCGCAGCTTTCGTTTGTTCCTTTTGTCTTCTTGCTCTCATAGCTTCTTGCTTTGTCCCCCCCCACAGGCAGAGCTGTGTGTCTGTCGGTCACTTATGGTCCGAGACACCGTAGATGTTGAACAAGGTCGGTCCAATCTGCGTCTGTCCAGCCTGCATTTTCGCCCACAGGGCCCACCAAGTTGTCAAGTCGTGTGACTGTCTCAGACTGGCAAAACGCAGCTCGTTCTGGCTTTTGCAGTCGGGGCACTCTCGTAAGCCGGTTGTCTGGATAGATCGAATGGCACTGGGCACAATACTTCTTGAAATACCTTGCTTACAAGGCAGGTACCCAGCCAGACACACATGCAGCGAGAGTGGGAAAGCGAGAAGAGAGATAGAGTGACACCGCATCCTTGCTGAGCATCGCACTTCTCACCCTTTTGCACGCTCCCTTCTGGAAGTTGAAAGTCGTCGGGAACGTCATCGAAGGCCTCATCAGCCGGTTGGGAGGTACTGGGAGCAGGGACAAGAACGAAGGTCCTGCCCATAGTCTGGGAATACTGGGATGCGAGCGGCTAAGCTGCCAGCAGCACCTCCAAACATGGCGCCTGAATGCTCCTGGGCAGCAAGTTGTGCAGACTATGCAGACTCGTGTGTTCTCGATTGTCTGCCCAGATGAGTTGTATCCTCGCATTGCGCAGGGCCACGTCGCAGTCGCTGGGCAAGCCTGGGCAGAGCTAAGCTCGACCAATCAGTGTTCAGCCAACGCTTGCTGCTCTTGGACCTTACATGATACATTCCGGAACAAGTGCTAAGCCTAGGACGAGCTTATTAGGGAAAGCGCAGCCATGGCAACACCCGAAGCTACGAACTCAAGGGCAAAACGGCCTAAGGTGCATTGACAACGGCGGGAACTGTGAGCAAGCCATCGCTTACACAACAGCAACCGCGGGATTGCTGCCAGCATTTTTGTCAGCTCTCATCAGATCTCGCAAGTATCGCAGCAAGGTCTTCGGCACCCGAAAGCTCTCGCACTCCTTGCTTGAGATGACACAAACATGCAGAATCCCACGATGAGACTTGGCCCTTGGCAGGAAAGCCCCCAACGGCCCAAAACCGCCTGAACCCTACCTCGGGCAGAGAGCCCATATGAAGTAGGGTATATATTTCTTGTCAAAAGGACACCCAGTATATACACTCACCAATGTTCGCCTTGAACAAGCAGACACGGGATCCGGTCTCCTTCCCCCTAACCCAACCCTTCCTTGCATGCCAAATTTTGTGACGGACCCCCCCCCCCCCCGCCCTGTGGGACCCCCCCGATTCGCTTGGAGGAGCTGCAAACGGATGCTGTGGGGGCCGCCTGTCGGCGGCTATTAGAGAGGGGGCGCTCCAAAAAAAGCGCGAGTTTGGCTGTCGGACCTTTTTGGGGTACCTTTCCTAGGAGCCCTGGGACCCTTCCTGGCACCCCCTCCCCGTTTATTTATGGCCTTTCCCAGAAACCTCTTTCCTCCTTTCCTGTCCGTGGGCCGGCCCGGCTGCCGAGGCGGCGCGCGCAAGCGTTTACAATTAAAGAGGAACCTTACATACACTCACCAAAAGCAGTAATATAAACCCTACTTCATATCCTCCTTGTATCTCCTTGTGTACAAGAATCTTGGAAGCCCGGAGCGGCCATCTGCCCAGTGCCGATGGCTCACGTAGCCCCACGAAGCCAAGTAAAGCCGTGCCTCATGTGCTGAACTGCAATTTCAGTTGTGAAATTGTGGAGCGCTGCTTGCCTGCGATCCCTAGCTGGCGGTGCAGACGCACTGGCTTCAGCTGCGCTTATGGTGAGAGTGCTACTGTAGCAAGCACCAGAAAACAGGATGTTGCAGCATTGAACACCCGCTGTGCCAATAAGCCATTGACATAGACTGAGCCACCGCTTACGAGCGCTATGCGGCTACACAGCCCTGCTTAAACAGCAAGCATCAGAAATAGCTCTTTGACACAGCGAGTTACTTCTGCCTTCGGCCCTTGCTTGTTGCCCCGTGCCATGCTCGCCTGCTCTGAGCTCCCGACAGCGGCAAGATGCAGCTTCGAGGCGCAAGCTTTCAGAAACATCACTGAGTCATCAACAATCACAAGCCCCTCCTTGGACACATGCTGCAGTCCTTTATTCCATTAGTAGCTGCGGGAATGAACCCGAAAACTTCTAAATGAACAACAGCTGCACAAACCTGCTCTGAGTGCTGGTCAAGCAACGCCAGATGTGGCCCCAAGCGTGTCGCACAAAGACTCTATCGCTTGGACCTTGTGTTCCAGTGTCCCAAGACCACAGTGCAGTTGCCAGCCTTCCTTGCCAGCCCACGACCCCTGGAAGTCTGGCGGGTCGAATGGAAGGTCTACTGAGTCCACTGCGCCAGCGCTCGCCATTTGCAAGGCGTGTGTAGCAGAAATCTGGTCGCGACTCGTGATGATGTGAACGGTCTCGTCGATCGTGCCATCAGCTACTGCCAGCCACACGACCCGCAACACGTCGCTGTAGAACTTTGTCTCCGTGAGGAGACCCTCTGAACGGTGTTTACGCCTTGCTTCTGCTATTGCTTCCTGCAGCTGCGCAATGCTAAGATTCCCCCACCTCATCAACAAGAGCTCCCGCAAGCCGAATTCACCAGGACGCGCATCCAACCAGTTGCATTCGATTTCTCCGATGGTCAGCGGCCGTGCTCCACCCCGCCCTTTGGCCCGATTCGCTCTGCAGGCGATCGCCTCCTCGACGCAGAGACGGGCAAAAAGCGCCATCTCCCACCCTGCTTGACATGCGGGTCGGAGCTTTTGAATTTTGTAGAGCAACCAGGGAGGTGCATCCGTAAACACCGCAGATGCCTTGTGCTCTAAGAGCCGCTGCCAGTCGTACTCCACCCAGCTCTTGCGTACTCCAGCCTCGTTTAGTGTGATGTCGTCGGCGATTTCCATGACATCTGGCCACAGATCGAAGGCAGCCTGGCACCCCGCTGCAGCCACCTCCTCCGCATCGGCACAGATGACGCCATCAAATCCCAATACCAGCCGCGTGCATGAAGCGCATGCAGGCTCTGCAGACTGAGAGGCTCCCAGAGAGGTGCTGCGCCGTCTGCCTGACGGACTCTGACGGCGACAGTCAAAGAGACATCACGAAAGCCCTCCAGGATCCTCCCTGTTGCAACTAGGGTTTTAACAATGACTTGGCACATGAAAATGGCCATGGGGTCGGGGTCGTTGCTTCTCCTGAACTTGGCCTGCTGCAAAACCTGGACCAGAATCCCGTTTGGGTTGACGAGCCGTTTCAGACCCTGGAGGCAAAACTTTCCTTGCGGCGGCTAGAGATTCAGGAGGCCTGGGCTCAGGAACCAATGCTCCTTGGGAGGCCCGAAGTTTTCGAGGGGACCCTTGGTTATCCTCATCGTACGGGCATGGTGAAGCGGGACCAGGCCAGGTGGCCCAAGAAAGAATGGAGCGAAATCATGCCAATCGCTCCCTCCATATTCTAGTCGGGCTTGTGCTGCTTTACTGTCTTTGCCTGCAGGCGGCCGCTAAACAGAACCCCATAATTGTGGCATCGGTTGGTCCGCAATCCCAGCAGGTGTCGGTGTTGCAGATGTGGTAAACTGCAAAGTGCCAACTGAAACCGATAGAATCCCGATGTGGTGAACAGCCCCAAATGCTGTAGTGTACAAGGCCCTGAACTACAGGACTGGGAGACTGTGAATGACGGCAGTTCGTGGTTTTACACAGCTTTAAATGCTATAGACTACAGCATGTCATGGTGTTCCACAGCCTTAAAGACTGCAACTAATTTGCAGGAGCTGTAGACCAAAGATCCAGGACATCCAGTGGATCGGATCGGAGGGGACCAGGAGAGCTGAGCACAGAACCAGGGGACCAGGGTCTAAAGGACCACACAGGTCTACGCCAAGAGCGCACCATACCTTAACAGAACTCCACACACGCAACATCACAAAACGGAACAGGCCATCACACATGCCAACCCAGAGCCTGTGAGATGACGGCACCGATGTGCAGCCAACAAAAGCCCAGCCAACGCCATACTACACTGCGCTCCAGCTTGTAAGTTGGTCTGCCTTTGGATGTGAAGATGGCGCTGCTTCGTAGACTGCAATGGCTGTGCCTGCAAAGCTGACACACGGCGGTTGTGATGGCCACCTGCCTGGAGCGCCTGCGGGCTGGTTTGATTGGTTTCTAATACTCTCATACATCTTTGCAGGCACACCGAAGCCACCACTTCAAACACCATGGCCTCAACACTCACAAGTAGCAGCTACCGCTACAGGTTTCAAAGGCTATACTGGTACAAGTAGCAGCGGAGATTCGGGGTCGTTGCCAGGGGGACACCAAACTGGCTGCCGAATGCCCTAAGCCCCCCCCCCCCCCCGCCCGTGCCCTCCAAAGCACTGAAGGTTGCCCGGGCAGTCTCTCTGCAACCAGGGAATGATACATGTCTGCCATGGTCGCTCATGACATCCGTGTCATTCCACAGACTGTCAACGGGCTTGCCCGGGCTTGCTTGCAGTATTTTGACAATGGCTGTCAGCGTGCTCACATCCCCAACTTGAGAATCTGAGAACTCCCAGACTGATGGTGGGCCTAAAGCGGGATTCAATAAAGAGAGCTCCCGAAAATTCAAGTGCTACTCTGATTGTGCAGCTTGGGCCGGCCAGGCGTTCCACGTCATCAAGTCGTTACAAATTGGCTGACCGATTCTCCCAATGCCGCCCGTAACAACATCCACACGCAGCCACGCATATCTTGTGTCGAGATCTTCTGCTTCGCGCTCGGGTCAAGCCAGGCGTGGGGAATGTGAAGTTGTCCATACAAGCACCGGTTTCGTGACAAGTGTATTACAAGTTGAACTAACTTGCTGTCCGAGATCCCCAAACAATGGCAACGTGCTGAGATGGCACTTTGCGGACTGCAAAGGCTTCCTCTCCCTCTGGCAGCTGCACGCAATCGGCACGAAGACCAATGCATCGTGGCACTTTAGCCTTTGATCAGCTCGCATCTTGTGCAAGCTTGCCAGAGGGAACACATTGTAGCTGCATTGTAGCTATTTTGTAGCTGCATGTAGCAGTCCTAGCTGATCTTTTCTAGACTTGCACCGAGTCTGAGTGTTGAAACGGTGTACGGGAAGCCTTCATGTGCATCGATGCTGCTGCCTTTGTCTAAGGTAAAGGGTGTGGCGGCACTTTCGGGCTAGCACACAGTGCCCACACTGCAAGTAACGTCTTGACAAAAACCATGCTTCGCATGGCACAAGGAATTCACTGAATGATTGTCGGTGAGACAGGGCCGGGCATGCCATCATTGTGGGCACATGGCCATAAGTAAGAAGACGACTTAAACCCTTCCTGAACCCATGCAGCCTGCGAGCACCTTGATATTTACAAGCTTGCGCTGCAGCTTCTGCGGCGGAGGGATGCAGGTGATTGAACGAGGTCCAGGCATGCATGTTCGACAACGAACAGCTTTTGAGGCAGTAGCAGTGGTGTAACCGGATAAAGATGGTTTAATCAGCTTATGCGCAGGAGGCGACTTCCACAACTGAAGGGCTGGTCAGCCCAACCAGTCCAAATTCTCCAGCTTGGGCAGGAGAACCTAGCGTAAAGTTGCGCTCGAACTCCGGTGCAGACGAGCACATCGACAACGAAAAGAAAGGTGGCTTACTACTTGGTTGAATGTTCACAGAAGCATAAGCAGAATGCGCCTGCAACTCCTAGCTTCTGTCAGGCACGTCCTGCACAGGACTTGGTTGCGAGGATGGGTGGGAGTTGGCCGTCAGCTGTACATGCAGTTCACGTGAGCCATGTTTTGAACCGAAAGACTTTGAAAGTGTCCTTCTTCTGTCGCTTGCTCCACCATAGCTTCCTATCCAAGAACATGGGAGCCTCACTACAACGAGCGACGCAACGTTCGAAGGAAATGCTGCCTCTTGGCAGCCGTCAATGGATACGGATGAAAGTAGGAGATTGCTTGGTACACAGCCTGGCGAAGCATTTGCAGCGCAGTCACTTCGGTTCTGTCACGAGCTATGATCTCCATGTCATGAACATGTGCCCGAGACTTCGTCACACCTGGAGTTTCTTAAAGAGGCAGAGGTGAACATGATGCATCATGTCATTCCAGCGGATGAATCATGATCACGTGCCGATCATTGATGCGTTCCAACTCAGCACGAGGTCCACACCAGGTCCACGAGCAGAAGGAACGGCGTGAGGAACTGCAAACACGACGGGACTTTGGCACTTCAGCATGATGGGAGGGCTTCTGAGCACACCACCAGAACCGCCGCGTAGCGTGCTTCCGTGAACATTGCGCTCATGGCACCTACACCAGGCACACATGCCATGCTGCTACTCCTTCACTTCTCCTCACGCATGCGTCACGCAATCCTCGCCCACCCAGCCCAAGCCTGCTATTTGTGGCTGCATCATGTCCGTGCCCAGAGGTGTTTCAGCCAGAACCGCCAGCCTGGTCCGTGACGGGATGTCATGGTGTACCGGGAAGCCAGAGGAGCAACAGCGCATAACAGTTCGTAACAGTGCAGGGTCGACGTGACTGCCAAAGACAGGAAGGAAAAGAAGATGATCTCAGCAAAGCCAAGCTGAGCCGCTAAGCAACAACGCTACACTGTTCACAGAATCTTGAATGCCACCATGCTAGTATTGAGGCCGCTGCTCCAACTGTTTCTTTCGAAAGCGGACTTTCGGCAATCATCCACAAGCGAAGGTTGACGAAAATCTGCATGGCCAACAGTGTCTGACACCGTTATATTGGTGAAGCACCGTGCTGCAACTGAGAGCAGGGCCACAACAAGGCAAAAAGAGATGCAGGAGGAATACCAGAATTCGTCCCCATCCTGCATGACCAAATCAACATAGATTCTTGCTCCGCTACCCAATGAGCAGAGCATAGCAGAGCAAAGCTGCGGAGATGCTCGGAGCCTCCACGTCCACAGAGCCAACAGTCAGGTTTGGAACGAGCCAGGATACCCCGCCGTGGTAGAAGGCACTGGCGCGCGAATATACTCGAACCAAGTCCAGACAAGCATCAGCAGTCAAGGCCTTAACACCCACGCCACGAGCAAGGGCGCATTGAAGCGCATGCGCCTCGGAGTCGAAGTGATCCAAGTCAGGTTGTGATGTGAAACACTGATGTGAAACACTGAACATAGCCCCGTGCTGTAGCCCTTCGACGTACAAGTGCGGTGATGCGACGGACACCTGGTGGACGTCCCAGGCTTTGCCACCACAATCAGCACACTGCGCAAACGTTGAGCAAGCTGACACTTGCCTCATCGGGTATGTCAGTATCCCAACTCACCACCACGAGCACCGGCAAGCCACAAATGATGGATGCAAACCTAAGCATCGCAAACACCGAGATGTTAATTGATCAATCTTATGGAGGAATGTCATGAGGCTGTCCCGCTTAACTGAGGCATCAACGCGGAGTTCAGCCACTCGGCGTAGGCAATCTGTGGCACAAACCTGGATGTAGAAGCACAGCGTCAGACTGAGTGCCTTTGATGTTGTGTTCTGGGGTGCTGACCCAATCTGATGTGCGTAGAAGATGTCGCCCACAGCTAAAGTGGTGTGCTTGTAGAACATATAGCATATGAACGTAGCCACACGGCGGTATGCCCGTCTTCCTCAATCAATGCACATGACAGCTCACCGATGCGCACAGGAGCCCTCAAGATGCCACGCTCTCAAGGGATTGCACATTGAACACGCCACAACTCCAAACAAGTGTATGTAAACTTGAAGCTTAGCATGGGCAGAGCTACAAAGCCCACGCAAAACAAAGCTGAGTCGACTGAGGCCCCCGCCGTGACAGTAAAGCAGTGGGACCAGAAAGCGAAATTGTGAAATTGCAACATCACTGGCCTGTCCAAGATGCAGCAGAGCGAATGCCAGAGTGTGCAAGCTTTCATAACATCGGGGGGACAAACCTAGCTTTCGGCCCGATCCAATTCGCGCTGTGCTGCCGTGCATGTCCAAGTCATGGCTTGCAACAGAGACAAAGCAGTCCGGAAGGGCGTGTTCGGGGACGTTGATAAACAAGTGAGTTTGACGGCTGAGCAAAAGGCAACCTTGCCGCCGTTTTTCCCCTATATCTTTATATCTTACCTTGCTTATATGTCATGTAAACCCCCTGCCTCGCGAAGTTCCCCATGCGTACCGCACTTGCGACCCCAGCAACCCCATGTCGAGAAGTCCATCCACACCCAAGACATCAACTAAGCTTGTTTGATAGCAGCGTTCCGAACACGAATCCCGACACTTGCATGCCAGGACTAGACATCTGTCCGATACCGTCGGCCTGCCTGCACAGCCTGGTTGCCTTCTTTGCCACGGATACCTGGTCAGGCTTGTCAGCAGTTTGCGCTACCGACAGTGACAAGGCCGACTTGACATCCCACATCTGCCTATGCCGACGTGGGCGCCCTGAATCATCGGCACATCGTTGGCGCCGTCACCAACTGCCAAAGTGATTCCGGTCCTGAAAAGACACACACACACTGTGTGTATGATGCTCCTCATGCTCAGCAGGCTAAAACTAAAGTGAGATTGAGATCAAGATATGATAAAACTGCAGGCACATCGACACCGATGCCAAGGTTCTTGTTCATGTCTTTCACCAGCTCCACCTTACGCAGAATGATGCAATGCCGGCATATCGAAGCTTAGACCGCAAGGAGCCCACCAGTCGGCGCTTCTGCTGTGGAGACAGGCGACAGCACACCTGCGCAGGAACCGCACTTCGCCGAGGCCAGCGATGCTCAGTGATGCTGGGGCTTGAACACAGCAAGTGCTGGACATTGCAAGCTCATACCTGATATGCAGAGGCTCGCGGAGAGGTATGCCGGCACTTTTCAATGCGAACAACAAAAACTCCGGGTGGGCTTGCAGCGTTGGACGGCCGCTCGCAGAGCTCAGGACCTGTTGAACAAACGTACCTGGCCACGAGCAGCGCGAAAGCTGAATTTGTACGGAAGACACAGAATTCAGGATGTCTTGAGCGGACCGTCGATGACGAGCCCTCCGTCCGTCACATCTCGCAGCTTGGTCTTGGCTTCCTGGATGGCCAACCACTGTGAAACATCACAACGGACAAAGACATCTTGCAAAAATGTTGCGGAGACGATTCTCGCAGCCAGCAGCCTCAAGCAAGCTCATCGCCTGCTGCTCACTGCTGCAGTTCACCTGAAGATACAGCCAGGGGATTGTCAGATGTGACCGATCATCATCGCCAAGCTGGTTTAGCGTGTCGCATTTTGGGAGGCCCTGCCAAGTAGGCCAAAGTCATGCTCGGGGTGAAGAGGCGACAGGACTTCGCTATTTCCACCTCAGCAAGCTGAAGCTGGACAGGCAAGCTACCAGGATTGCTACCGCGTGACTCCGCATCTAAGCCGTGAACTGCTGTTTCCGTCTTGTCACCCGTCAGAACCCAAAAGCGGATCGATGCGGCCTCAAGGTGCCAATTGTCTGACGTGCATCGTGTACGGTTCAGCTCTAACACGCTTTGACATGGGTCGGCCGAGGGGAACGTTGAGGGGGACCCTGAGAGGGACCCTGAAGGGACCCTGAGGGGGGCTAGCTCGGCCTTGATGGAGACGATGGCCTCAGGCACGCCATCTTGCAGCTTGTCCTTCGCAGTGGGGCGTTATTGTAGAGCATGTGGTCAGAAGACAAAGAAAAGGACAACTTGAGAATTACTCTTCAGGTCAATTCGCAGATCTGAAGGTCTCTACCTTAATGAGCGCAGGGCACCTCGATAGCCGTGATTCCAGCTGGCTCCAGCGAGTGCTCCACCTCGGCAGCAATCTCAGCCATCTTCTTCTCACGGTCCTGCGCACGGGCGATCGTGTATACCCACCAGGGCCAAGCGAATCACGCAGGGCGATCACTGAAGATGGATGGTGTGCTCTAGCGATTCTGGTACGCTTCATTAACCCGGGTGGTATGTATACGTGTATTTATACATGTATACATATATATATGTATATATCTGCTCATAGTACATATTTTTGTACATACGAGTTGTTATTTCTGTGGTGTAGTGTTCAGCTTCCCTGAAGTGAAACAGCTCAACCAGACACGCCCCGGTCCTCAGACTCGAGGCTTGCATCTTTCCAGCGGCTAAGCCAGTCTTCGGTGAAGCTGAGGTCCATCTTCTTTGCGGCGATCTGAGAGAGGAAAGGGCGGCCCATCTACAAGCACATGGACCCTACACCCTACGTCCTACGTGAATCACGCCCCTAGAAACGGTTTCGGGGTCTGGGTCGAAGCTTCCAGGACCCGGGACCCCGAAGTCTTAACAATTGGTTTAAAGATGTTCGGGAGCCAAGGCGGTCGACGGGCAGCGCTTACAATTAATGCAATTCATTGGGGCCGGATTCCGGGTTCAAGGCTCGTTTCAATCACGCGGTGCTTTTGGGTTCAACGAACGGCAACCAAGCTTCGACTTTGACAAAACCATGATGCCCCCTGCTCGGCTTCATCGGTCCCTGAATTCACAACCTGCCTACTCCTGTTCCAATAAGGCACCATTACTCAGCCATCATGAACCGCATTCTTGCAGTTTTTTCTGAACGTGCCCCATCCACAACCAATAATTCAGACCAGTCACAACAAGAGTTCGCAGGCCCAATTTTGAGTACTGGGTCAGGCTCTCACCAAGCGCGCCTCAGCTCTGTGACTGTTCCTTGTACCTGTATGAACGTTCTGCAACATGTGCAGGCTTGCAAGAATAAGAGCGTGACCATCCAGTGGGCGAGAGCACAGGGGCCTGATGAGATTATTTTTCAACGGTGACCATGATGACTATAAAATCAAATACATTCAACTAACTTTTCAGCATTTACTACATGTTCTGGGGCTCGTGCCCCATGATGTTGTCGGCCCCCTTGCACAAACACCAGTATTCACCTGTCAGCCAGAGGACACGTCATCAACTACATACAGTGTACAGATATGTACACGCAGACGTCAACGAACTCAGCCGTAAACCGATGTGCTTCACAATCACACTCATTCGCTTGCGATCCGAAGAGAAAGGAATCTCGCCTGAGCCCATTGATCACTGAAACATACTGAAATGTTGCTTTCATCATGACCAGGCAACTGCGACACCTGCAAGCATCACATCTCAACACTTGAGCTCCAAGCAAACAGTTGTGAAGGTGAACTCCTGAGGTCCAGGTCCTTTCACGACGACTTCCTTGGAGCAGCTAAACTTGTATGCTCCACCAGCGTCACCAGCCAACATCTCTACAAGCAAACGCGGCGAGTGCTGAAAATAATTATGCGACATACACCTCGGAGCGAGGCCGTGTTGCTGGTTCCAGCTACCCGTGTACGAGAGGCGAATGAAACGCCTAGCATGGGACACACTGCAGGATGCGGTGCAGCAGTGAGCCTCAACACGGCAAACTCTTCAAGGCTTACTAAGGGCTCAGCCAACCGCGTTCGCAGCATCCACAAATGCGACCTGCGACAATGTAGCTCCCGCGGGACGGTTCGAAGCACTTTCACACTCCTTACCCGTTTCAACAGGTGAGGTGAAGCACAGAAACCAGGACTGGAGTCGAATAAACGCATACTGATGTTGGGAAAGCAAGCAGCGGTCGGTTTGTAATGTCTTAAGCCACTGGTTCGGTGACCCAGGTGTAGGAATCAGAAAACAAGCGACTTCTGTGAGTCAGAAACGCTTCCTAAGTAGAAAGCTGAAAAGACTTCCCTAGAACGTTGGAAGGCTTGACAGCTCATTATTTCGGACGTGCTACAGTAGGGTTGAGGGTATAGGGTTTTGGGATTTACGGGTTTGGGCTTTACACGTTTCGGGGTTTCAGGGTTTATGTCATGCGCTCCTGCTTCGGACGGCAAAAACATCTAGGGGGGTGAGGTCTGGGATCTTCTTGGTAGAAGGGTTTCAGGGTTCATGACTTCAAGGTTTTCGGGCTTAGGGTTGCTAGGCGTATTCAAGGCTTCCAGACTTTAAAAATATCAGGCTTTTGGATGTTTTCTCGCTGATTTCTGACTCGTGCTGCCCTGCACCAGCCATACAATTGCTCTTGGGGACTGAAATGGACTGAACACAATTTCTTGTAGGACCTGCCAAGAGCTTGCAGGCCTACTCTGTGCGTCACGCACGTGAACTCAAGGACAAGCGCGTTTTCGTCCAAGACAGGAGGTGGCAGAAGGTTGAGATTGTCAACATACGCGTGCCTCATCAGCGGAGCTGCCTTCAAATATCTTCTTCCCATTTGAGGCTGTCTCAACCTCAAGCAAATACAGATCAAGTTGCTGAGAGATGATGAAAGATGTCCCACTTAAACCCAGCCGAACTCCATGCCTGCACAGAGTGGTTCGTCGCAAGGTTAAGGAAGAACCACAGCGCCTTTTCTGGTAGCAGGGAGTCATTCGATCAAACCTGGCAGACTCTGCAAGGCCGCATGCCTCGGCGTGCAATGGGTCGGCAGGATCGGCAAGAACTCGCTTCGCTTCAGCTACACCAACAGCCTCCTCGCAGAAAAAAAGTACGTTAAGGACATGTCTGCGACTCCTCATGGAACTCGCAACAGCTAGAACTGCCTCCTGTATGTCAAGCTTTCCACCTTTGCGGAAGTCTCCTAGATCCCTGCCGCCCACCTTAAAAGCAGGTGTTCATGTTCACGTGTGGTCACCTACAATCATACACATGTCCCATGTGTCACGCCAGTTGCAATAAGCAGCAGCTGTTGTTACACTATAAATTCACTATACACTACGACGCTCGAAGGCTCGGACGCAACAGTGCGCAAAAACCATCTCGTTCTCCGTGAGAGTGCCCGTCTTATCGGAAAACACAAAGTTCACCTGTCACAGCCCAGCGCTGGTGGATATTCAAGCCTAGGGTTGCAAAAAGCATGAAACCAAGAAGCCTGGCCCATCTCTTCGACCAAATCAGCTGTTCTCGCAGATGCATGTTGTTGGGTCCTTCCAACTGCAACCAATGAAGCTGCTTGCAAATACCTTCTCTTGTCTGTTGGTCGACGACACAAGCGAAGCCAGAAGCAAGGAGAGCAGCGACAGGCGCAAACCACATTTGTGGTTCGTTTGGCAATGACTGGCAAATGCTCCCGCATAGCACATAGTGTTGAAGCGATGCAACAGGAAGTTGAGGGTCTTCGCTGAGTGGCGACCCCAAGTGCATCCACTGATAGACTGCTCTAACTTGAAATCGTGTACACACTCTTTGCCCAAGTATGTCGAGAGAACATGACAGTACCACCGATGCGCTGTGAAAGTTTGTACTTTGCAGCGGCATCCCCAACATGACATCATTCTCTGCAAATGCTGCAAGTGCTATGAAAGTTTGAGGCACAGACTTTCGAATACAAGTTTGACGACTGTTGAAATGGTCCCGACTTCATAAAACTGGCGGGTGCACAGCTTGGATTGCCCAATCTGCTTCACGGAGTATCCTCATACACGGTGGAGATATCTGAAGGTGGGCTCCGCGGGATTCTCTTCGCAGGATTTTCTGGTGCCGGGTGGTTGAGGGGGTTAAGGGTTTAGAGGGTTTAGGCGTTAGGGTTTAGGGGGTTTAGGGTTTAGGGGTTCAGGGCTTAGGACTAAAAATCTTGCGGAACTCCCATAAATTCCGGGGTATAAGGTTCTCGGGGTCATGTGAGCTATAGTATCCCCCTGAATATCCCCCATATTAGTCCCCTATATAACCCCCCGTGTGGCCCTCTTTAGACAGTGGCTCACGTAAAATTTGATACCCCAACGTGTTCCCCCAAGCAGCCTCGTGCTTTGGGAACTATTCAGAGTCGTGCCATGATCCCCAGCATTTACAGACGCAACAATACATGGCTAAGGCATCCCCTCAGAAAGCTCTCGCATTCGCGATTTTCTCTGAAGTTAAAATGGAGGTTAGAGCCGCTATAACTCTGCCATCAGGCCCCATGCCTTAGTGCACAACAGACCCTACCCAACCAACCATACTGTTGTGTCATCAGAAAAGGGCTTGCAGCACAGCGATGTGTTCCACAGCGTGGCTTGCTCTTCCTTCCGCTTTCGGGAACGAATCTGCAAAGTGAGACAGGGCCATCCGTGAATCTGCTTCATCTCGGGCCTCTTTCTCCAAGTGGTTTGTATCCATTGTCGGGATGATATATCCCTCTCTATCCCTATATATCCCCCAAAACCCCTACAACCCTGTATGATGCGTCACGGTGGTCTGTACCCAGCTGGAGGACACACCTTGGTACTACCACAGCGTTGCACAAGCTCCGTGTTGAACTCCTGGCCCGTCCAATTATGGGCTGCATGGTAACCACGAATGCACTCCAAACAGTAGTCGAGGCATGCTTGCCCAGGGTCTGCCAGGTCCACGCATATCTCCTGCTGCGCTTCTTCCAGGCTCTCGTAGCGCTTCCCACCACAGCCCTGTAGCGCAAGGCATGTGGCCACGGCTGCAACCATAGATAGGACCACCCAGCTTCTGCCACTCCGCTTCGGATCAAAAGGTGCGTCAGACATCATCACACGGCGATGAGGGGATCCCTCGGGTCTTCTCCGGGCCTAGGGGTCATGCTACGGAGTTCTCCGGAATGTTCTCTGAGCCCAGGAGAATGGCAGCGGACCCCACATCGAGAGTGGGCGAAACAAACTGTCGAAGAACACCTTGAAGAAAAAATCAATGAACACCGCAGTCCTGAGGTCCACCATGCTCGGATCCTTGTTAATCTGGAACGCCAGAGCCAGCTTGATCTCAGGGTGGCATCATGTAGCGGCTACGCTTTAAACTAGCTTGGAGCACCATGGTGCAACACCCAAGAGATGGGGCACGGGCAATCTCAAAGCATACATAAAGGCTGACGGGAATGATCTGGTACAGGATAATCCTTCACAGCACAAGCATTTCGATGTGGAGCCCGCTGCTTGGAAGAGCAGCCGCAAATGGCAGAATGATCAAAGAGACCCGAGGAGGAAAACCGTTGTCCAGTAGAAGAGGAAGCGCAGGACCCAATGCTTCTCGCTGACGCCCTGGCTTCAGCTGAAATGACTCTCTGTGCAGCCGTTTGCTGCTGGAGTCTTGCTGGAGAAGTTGCCTGCAGCTCCCCTGCAACGGTGCAGTAGGTACACCAAAGAGCCAGTGCAAGTACGAGGCCCTGGCACGCTGAGCGGTGCGGCATCCCAAGAGATCTATGACAACAAAAAGCGTGCTAAAATACATGCATACCCATCCTGGACCCCACGGTTCAGGTAGACTTGCATATTGGACACCTGTGCAGGTCAGTAGATGCTCCGGGCCATCGCCAATGCCTTTGTGGGAACCAATGCTTTTGTGGGAGCCAGTGCCTTGCCCACTGCTTGCGCGGCATTCATCCTGCATGGTCAGGCCCGAGACAGGCTGAGCTCATCGAGCCCGTGAGAATGGCACAAGGCCGCATGGCCACAAGCTGGGCATCGGCCTTGTCTTTGTGTGCGGCCCACAGAACGCAGCTATGGAGATGACATACCTCCGCAAGTCAAGACTTGCCAAAGTTTGCTGTACGTAGGCACGAAGACAGCCAGCAGCTAACATCAACGCGCTGAAACAAAATTCCGAAATTCCAACAACGTTCGCGCTCAGCTGGTATGGCCACCTGGAATAATGCGAAGCTTCCCGGAAACTCTGTTTGCATGGGGCTGTCCAGAAAGATGCGAAGTTTCGTTGGGCAAAGCTAGCAGTCGAGACTTTCTTTCGATTCGCTGCGCAAAGGGCTGGAGCGTGAAGGCCTGAGGAGGGAAAGCTTCAAGCTTACGATTCCCGGAGCCACTTTGGGAAGCAAGGCCCATGATAGATTTCCATCGTGGGCAGGCTGCAAGCTTCCTGGAGTTTGGTGCGTTGCCCGCGTGGCCCGGATTCATCCGGAGTTTCAGAGGGAGTCCCAGAAAACAAAAGCTTCAAGGAGTGAAAACTTTGAAGCTTCCCAGTGTCCGAAAGTTTCCTGAGGGCTCCAAGTTGTTTTGGGGGGCAGGGTGTGGTACCCCGATACTAAAGTGGGCACAACTTTTGCAACTTTAGTTGTGCTTGCAAGCAACTGGCCTTTTGTCATGCGCAAGTCATGTCAAACCCACATCTCTTCGATGACACTCTTGGGCGCACAATGTATTGCGAAGGACGCACCCACGCGGCACGAAAAGTTCGTAGCCAAGCTTGCAAGGTATCTTGACCTGACACGGGGGTAGGCCAGCCGTGATGCTCGTGCTTTAGGGCTTGGGCCGGTTGGGCTAAAGTTGCGTTGACCACATAGGGATGGCTGACTAAGCTCACTTGGTGCGAAACATCCCTTACACTGCGCCTCCACCTCTTGCATCTTGGCTTGAGCCATGGAGGATGCATTCTTCAGTTCCAACGACCTTTTCAAGTGGCATCCCTCATCACAAGGCATCCAACTCTAAACAAACTCGTCTGTGCAGGTTGAGACTCAGTTCTTCACCCGTCCATGTCGGTGAGGACTGCCTTAGGCACGTCCAGCTCCACCTGCCAGCTCGTTCTGCCATGCAAGTCCATAACGAACCGACTGCTGGCCTATTACCAGGTCACCAGCGCCAAGATGATGGTATACCGTTAAACCTAAACCCTACATTCATCACAGTTTCTATCCATCGAGAGAGCCTGCAAGCCCTCCTCTTGCAAATGCTTTGCGGTCAAGCTGGCCTGAGGTGCCAGTTGCATGGTAACGGTTTCTATCGCCAGCAAGCTTTCACTGAGTGCAACAAGTCTGGGGGGAGGGGGGGGGGGGGGGGGGGGGGGGGAGAGGCAGCAAAATGAGTGAAGACAAGCTGGCAGGCAGGCAGTTGGCATCTGCTGGCGGCTTTTGTCAAACATGCTGGTGAACCTTCTGTGCCAGTCTTACGGATTGCTGAGAAAGATGGTGACACATGATCTGCTTACTCAAATCTTTTCGCGGTGAAGTAGTCCTTGTCAAGATGATGGACTCTAACGTAGCCATCCTCACCGCCAGTCACGAAACCAGCGCCGTCTCGGAACCATGCCATGGTATTCCTCACAAGCCAATGCTCAGCCTCATACTGTCGAACAAAAACTTGACACGTCAATGCAGGTCGCGGGGTCGTGCGCCACTCCCACTGCATCAGTGGCCAAGAGTCAGTGGACCTATGTGTCCTTTCACAGATCCGATCTCCTCCTCGTAGACCATGTGCCACAACAACGCCTGACAACTTTACAGCACCACAAGATGCTTAGAAGGCCTCGCAGCTTCACGGGCCCACGGGCAAGGCCTCGAAAGCGCCGCTGGCTCCGGAGACTGCGACATCCTCATGCAAGCAGCTTGCGAAGTCTCTCAAAAACTCTGCCCCCATGCCACGTGCTAGCATGTGCTAGCCCCCGTCCTTGGCATCAAGCCCGCCGCCCATCAGCAAGTGCATCTTGCAGTTCTGGCAGGGCTTCGTGCATCAACTAAATGGACTGATGTCACCTCGCCTTCCCACGCAACGAACTTCTTTACAGCTTGTAGCCCTTATGAATGACACACCGTTTAACATGGTTCAACACGACTCAGTGGCTGCACGGTTCCCACAGTTAGTGTCTCTTGGCACATAGTTTCAGCCCGCTGGCATTCTCGGAGCAGTACAAAGGCGAAATGGCGACATCGTTCAATGGTCTGTCTGTTTTGTACCTCAGCAGGCGTGATTCAACCAGGCAATGGTGCCTCTATCTGATTACACTGCAAGAGAGCTGACTCTTTGATGCATTCGTAATCATCCATCGTCCAGAGCTTTGCTGTAGCGTCCTTGCGCGAGATAAACGGCGACAGACCGAAGCTAGAAACAGCTGGGAAGATAAGCCGAGCGTCCTTGGAGCAGGTCGCCATGATCATCCTGTCTTCAGTGAAGTTCATGCCTCAAGCGCCGCAAGCAGCCAATGCCTTCTCTCGACAGTCATCTACGAGAAGCTACAAGTACGCACCTAACACCGCGACAACCGAAACCACAACAGCATCCAGAATTGCACCGGCCGACACCACAAACGACGACTTCTAGAAAGAGGCTACCGACCAGTGGCGCCTCAAGACTTGCTGAGTGCGGGAAATGCTAGCAGAACAGGGATGTGCGCAGAGCAGAATAACTCTGAACGTACCGGCTCTGCGCTCTGTACCGCTGGCGCAAGGCACGAGGAAACTTTGCACCTTTGTCAAGACAATCTATGGGTATGCCAGCTCGCGCATGTACATACATAGTTTTAAGTATACAAATCATGCATCAAGAGCGCGATGCAGAGCCCAGTCGAGCGTGGCGTGTTCGTTGAACGTTGCGCAACATGCTCGGTGGGCCCCTATCGATTTTCGAGGGTGCTGCCAGGAGCCCATACAGGAGGGTCTAGGACTCTATCTAGGACTCTAGTCCTCGGATGCCTGAAACAACAGTAAACCACGGTAAACCTCTCTGGCACCAGGCTGAGCCTCAAGGCTAAACCTGAATTGAGCCACATTCTGCTTTGAAGCCGCATCGACTGGGACTGCTTTGCCAGAAACCCAAGTCCATCCAAATCAAGGCTGCGTAGCCAGGCCTAGGGCCTAGCTTCCGGTTTGTGGTACAGCATTGCAAGCTCAAATGAGAACTCCCCTAAGCAAAAGAATTCAAGACGCCCACGCAGCGCCGGGCGGCCCGAGAGATGCTCCGTCGGTTGCTACTTTCGCAGGTTTCGTACTTTCTTGAGTCTGACTCACAGCTGCTCAGCTTCTGTTGTTTCCTGTCTCGCCTGATCTCGCCGCTGCTCGCTGTACCGACGCTGTGGCTGCACGCAATGTCAAAAACTCCCAGGTCATTTTGATTTCCAGGACATCTTGGCAAGTGTTTTGGGCATGCAGGTTTGCGATGGGCAGAGAGCTTGAGTCAACCAAGCTGATGCCAGGCTGCTGGTGATGGCCATCTGGTGCGCCTGAATGAGCTGCAGCTGCCTTCCATCTGAAGAGTCCCAGACGATGACGGTGCCCTCCTCGAAAATGGAGACCTGTGCACTCAGTGCACTCTGTTGCCGTCCAGCAGAGGCAAACGGAAAGGGCATGTCGACACTGCTGCATCAAGCAGTTACAGGCAGCCCTCCATATTGCAACACCGCAGCTAGCGTCTCATCGAAGGCTCCCCACTTCACCTGGTTGTTGAGGCTCTCGCACATGCGATGCCATTCGAGTGCCAGCGACTCGCAACTAATGCACTGGCCAAAGTAAATGCCAAGAGTTTTGGCCGAGGGCCTTGGTGGCCTTCATGGGGAGCTGGTCATCGATTGACAGTATTCGCCGTGGAGGGTCGAATGACCAAATCATGATCCTGTTGGGCACGAGGCCTTCTGCTGCGCTCTTGAACTTGTCCTTGCTCTGGCAAGTATGCACTTCAAGTAAGTTGTAGCGAATGCTGAGATGCTAAGCAATCAAAGCCTGACTTTAGGTCATGCCCAAGTTGCATTGCAGGTGCACACCATGTTTTGGTCACCGGGCTTCCTTGCTATATCTTCTTGTCCGTTGCTGCTTGACCGCGCTTGCTTTTACTTAGACATAGAACAAGCTAAAGAGTCTGCAGAGTCTGCACAGGCTGCAGGCAGGCTGCAGATTCCATTCGACGTACTTCAGGACGCCGCCATGGTTGATCGCAGAGACATATTCGCCCTGAGTGCCAACAAAAGCAAGGCAGAAGCTGCACAGCATCAGGGAAGGCCGCTATATTGCTTCTGAAAATGTAGGGCCCAGGCCTGGAAGGTATAGAAGCACAGCTTTCCTGCGGAGAAAGAGGCATTTATATCTTTTCACAAAGAAGCAGCAGAACACGGAAACTGGAAATGCTGAGAATTGCTGAGCAAGGATCCGTCTGCGTTGGCCGTGACCACATATGTGCTGTCCATCGTCACATCCACCGCGAAAACTGCGCCAGCCTTCTCACCCGGAGGATTGTACCTGAGCGGGTGCTCCATTGCTGCTCACAGCACAATGCTTGAAGGCAGAGCTGGCTGGTACATGCAGCTGCGGCACGTCCCCACTCGCTCACAAGTCTCGGTTCGTATCAAATTCACTTCGCCATCTTTGCCGCAGGTGAGGAAGAAGTCGCCTCGTGCAGCCAAAAACAAAGAACCTAGGCACCTGTCTACACAAAAACGACGGGCGGGCCATCGTAGTTGAACTTCACGAGCGTCAGAGGCCTCGAGGAAGTGTTGGCTGATCACTTTCGGAATCTGATCCGGCGACAACAAGTGTCCGACTATGATCATCATCGTCGTCATCGTCGTCATCATCATCTTCGTCATCATCGTCATCATCATCATCATCATCGTCATCATCATCATCATCATCATTGTCATCATCATCATCATCATCATCATTGTCATCATTGTCATCATCTCCACCACACCCGGAGCTGTTGACCCCTCGTGGACTTACAGTCGCTCAGGCTCCGGCCGTTCATGTATGTGCAGAGAGTACGGATGCATCCTTTCAGGGATCAAAGTTCTGGCCGTCAACAAAGAGGTATCAAGAGGTTGAGCTGTACAGGCCTGAACCAATGCCTGCTGGAGAGGCAAACTAATTAGCTGCTGGCACATCAAAACCCAGCAGGTTCGGCTTGAGCCAATTGGATTTTCAAATTAACGTCCGGCGAATCTTAGACAACTGTGGTCGGGTCAACGTGAAGTGCCTCCAGCTCGGCCATAGACACCAAGACAAATTCCAAGCCCGCAGCCATTTGCAAGACTTGTTCACGTGCCTGCTCTCCACCTTAGTATTGCTCGCTAAGTACCTCTGCAACCATCCGCAACCTACGCCCGCAGGTCTGAGGCTGGTGCGGGGCACGTCCTGCCCTGCCTTGACAGAAGATTGGGGGCACTGACATCTCACATCTTACTGCTCTCTGGCGAGTCATGTCGAGTCTACGCTGCGACATTCTGGTGCCTCGGGCATGTCTGTGATGGCAGACAGCAAGTCTGCGGCACGCCGTTCCTGGCACAACATCGAAAGTCGAACAGCTCACTTGTCGAGCATTTCCCGATACGCAGCCCATCGCAGCCATCACTGGAGCATTACCGGGTGCCTTGAGGTTGGTCTCTCCATCTAAGTTCACTGTTGAGATGAAAGCCTGAAACATGCAAACGCATGCGGACACGGCCGATCTGGTCGTCTCAATGACCAAAGCAAACTCAATGACGACCAGCGCCGCAGCATGCGGTAGCATGCGACAGCCTGTCCGCCGGCTGCCCGCACAAGCAGCACATCGGCAGGAAAAGCCTTGCCAAGCGCAGCTGACATCAATAGAATGCCGGTAGATGCTGTCGTCGAGATGTTTTTGCTTCGCCCTGTTCATATGCGTAGCCGTCTCTTGAGACTACAGTTTAGTTATCTGCCACGCCTCATCAGCAAAGCTAAGCAGGATGTCGCCGGCGAGAACATCCTTCCAGAAAACCTGGCATTAAGTTCTGGTCTGTTCGAAACTTCTGACGACTTAGTTCCAGAAAGATGTTCCCGACCCTCACACGACAAGTTTCCCATTTGAAAGCCTACGGATGAAACAGTTTGGATGATGCTTGAAGTTGCACTTTGTTTGTTTCATGCTGCTTCGGACTCTTTTCTGCCCAACGCTTGGGAGGCGGTTTCCAAAGTAACGAGGAATGACGCTGCCTGGTAGTATGGTCGATCTGTGAATCTAGGGTACGGCAACGGTTGAAAGTGGAGTGAAGATCTGTGAGTCCTGGAAGCGAACTCGACTTCGAGGTCGCGAAGCTGCTTGCTACTTGGCGAGTGGTCGTTAGAGCCAACCAGGCATGGCCAAGAATGGCCCAGATGGAACTCACCCAAGGCATGCAATGGTCCAATGCCCATTGCCACCGAATGATTGCATCACCAGAGAAGGACCCTATTGATCTCTGTGAACAAGCCTAGAGGCTTGGCGATCCAAATTTAATTGCCTCAGCAGGATTTTCAGCAATCTGTCTACCAGGAAGGCCTCCTCGAAGCGGCAGGTCTGCGTATCGTAGCGCAAGCACCTGCAGGGCGGAGGAATCGAGAAAGCGCACGGCCTTTGAAAGCTCGAATGGACAGTTGGACCTCCGCAGGTTTTCAGCGTCGTCATCACGTTTCCGTCTCCTGTCCTCGTAGAGGTCCTGACCATTATGCGAGCTACCCAGCTTGGCCTTTCCGCACTCATGTTGTGCATTCGGCGTCCTTCAAGGCAGTCCACAGAAGAACTCCCAAAAAGGTCAGTACCGTTGCCGGCCTGTGCCACCGTCAGAATAGCGCGTCTAAGCCCAGTCGCGTGGGAAGTTAGGCTCTACGTATCAGGAAAGCGAGGCAGAAACAGGCAGAAGGAATGCTATTGTGGGTCCTTTTTACAGTGCCGCCCACCCCTGAGAACAAAAACAGCCATCGCGGACCTCTGAGGACCCTGAATACCCAAGTTTATGAAAAAGCAACGGGCCCCTGAGGGCCGCGGCATTTTGCAGGCAAGTCACCTATGCTACGCCTGGAGAACGTTTGACTTTAAGATTCTACAAGGACCGGCCCCCGTTATTCAACAATCAGCGAGGACTCTTCGCGAGCGGAAACTTGATTTCACAGAGGTCCACCAGGTAAACGTGATCCAACATTGGAAGTCTGAAGGTGGCAACCAAGTCATGATCACTGGGCATGCTTCTTCGTGAGTGCCGGGCCATGCCATCGGGCCATCGGGAATGCAGACGATGACGCTCACAAACAGGAAGTAGATGTTGGCCTCGCAAGACAGGCTCAACGAGCATTTCGAAGCGCGATGCCCCTTAGCGATGGGCTCAAGATGGCTCAAGACCAACATGGAGTGACGGTATCATGTCTGGACGTAAGATACATGCCACTAAGTCCCTGCACTTTGTACCAGAGACGTGGCCCCAACAGCAAAATTCATCGCAGCTTTCTCTCAAGAGTCGCAGGTATATTTGCACATGTGACACCACGGCTTGGCACGCACAACACAAATAATCTTGCACATGTGACGCTGCAGATGTGCAGGTTTGGGCCTCTGGCCGACAGGCATCTGGAGTAGGCAGATCTCCCGCCCCCCTACCCCCCCAACCTCCTTCCTGCCTGGAAGAGCTGCAAGTTCCTTTTGGGGGGTCCGCAATCCAATGCCGATCCGGGTGGTCAGGCATGCAAGCACGCCCCAGAAGGCAAAAACATGTTTTTTGGAAGTCTGCGGAAGCCATCGCGGCATTCATCGTGTCGCACAGTGCACGCGAGCACCATCGATGACAGCACAACGTTTTACAAAGAGTCAGGATGAATCAAGCAAATGGAGCAGGGCATTGACAGCTGCACCGTCTGCTTACATGACCGACATCCGCACATACAGAACAGGGGAACCGCTTAAGGACGCATCAACTACTTCTTTGTGGGCATCATCAGCAACACCAATGGTCATCAATGTCAATGAACATCAATGAACATATGAATTTGCGCCAGAGAAAATGACAGGAGCTCCGCAAGAGGTCATTATCTCGTCACGCGGATGCAGCTGCTGTGACCGCCGTCACCATCCGCTGCGCCGTAAAGCTTTTGGGGGGGGCCGTGGTAATTTCTCTGGGAGGTCCTCGGAAAGCCTCCAGAAAGCGCATTGCCTCTGAGCCTTGAAGAGATATTCTTCAGTAGTCTAGGGATGTTTAAGGTCCCTCTAAGGGACTCTCAGCGATGTTTGACACGTTCGAGAGTTCTCCATTCGGGTTTGGACCCACTCCCCCAGCCCACCTATTTCTCCCACAGCCACCCACTCCCCCACGTGGAGATTTGTCGAAAGTTCTTGGCAGCCTGATGCAAGCCAGGTCGTCACAACCTGATGGACCTCACATTAGTCACCTCGGTGTCTGAGGTCCGGTCCACTCGTTGGAACTGTGCAAACAAAGACTTCGGAAGCCTCAAAGGACTAAACGACAGGTTCTTGATGGCAATATACAAGTGCTACTGTAGTTTCTGCAGTGGCTTGCAGACGGACTGCACAACTAAGCTCGGAACCAGGTAGCTATCGTAAACCTGGTAGTGCTGATGCCTGGGGGCAGCGGCAAAACAATGCTGTATGTCTAGCCCATCCATACCGTGATAACTCCATGATATGCGCTGGTTTGCTGTTGGAGCTAGCTCAATTGGGCTCCACAGTGATGCAAGAGAGTAGTTGAGCGCAGTTCGCGCGAGCAGCACTGACGTTGCTATGGCATTGATATGGCATCGTTGGGCTGAAGAAGCTGAGGCTGCTGCGGTTCGGGTGGCCTCCCTGGCTCTCGTTCACCATGGGAGGATGTACTGCTGGAGAGGCATTCCTGTTCAAAATGCAACGTCTTGAAGAAAGTGCATGGCCACATGCACTGCGACCAGTAGCCGGGCCTGGTAAAGCTTATTTTCCTCCTCGCAGCGCTGCGATGCTGCGTCCCCAATGTTGAGTCTCTCCAAGTGTCCCAACCGCTACCGCTCTCATCTCCACTCCCACCTGCTGTGCAGCTCCGCCATCGCCAGTGCTCGATTTTAAACCGAGTCACCTGCAAGGAAGCAACCCTACTCACATGAACGAGTTGAGATGGGCACCGCGCCTTAGACCCAGAGCCCAGACAGCTTCTAACCACGAAAACCAGGCTAGTCGGGTGTGTGAGCGTGTGTTTGCATGTTTGTGTGAGTGTGTGTGTGTGTGGGTTGGAATGATCTAGGACTAACGGGCTGAGCCCTGACAGCTAGGCCGCATTGCATTGCATTGGTCTAATGGGGTGCTGTTGGCAATCAACCGTGGGGTACGGAGATGATCGGGGGCAGTTGCAAGGAAGGGGGTGCTCAAGTTGCTGGGGACTTTTACATACACTGACACTATAACCTGCACAGCCGCAGCTGTTTGAGCCCAGTCATTTGCGAATGTTGAGCTCCACGCATTGGGCCAAAAGCCTTGTTTCCGAACTCGCTATTAAAGCAGCTCTTGAAACATGTTCCTGGCTGCTTGTCTCTCCACCTTCTTTTGGAACGGACACGGGTGGCGATGCTCTAAGGATGTCTAAGCTATTTGCCAGATCTTGCTAGTAGCTGGTGACAAGCAAGTCACAGACCGGTTCCTTGCCTCTGCGAGGGTAAAGTGCAAACAGCAAGACCGTTGAGAACAAAGCTGCAAAGGAGGCCCATGGCCACGTGAAGAATGTGAAGAATGTCTCCGTCGTGGGCAATACGTTCAACAAGCGCCTTCCCGTGTAGCGCGTCTCTGACTCCAATTTATCCCAGGAGTTGTCTGCAGAAACCCCCCACTTCAAATCACACTGCCCGACATGCCCCGGACTCTCTTCCACGAAGCTCCGCATCTCAGCCTCCGGGACGTCGGTGGGGTCCCCTGTCCTTGCCGTGTACTCCCTTGGCCTCTCTTGCTTCGGAGCATGGAGCACCGGGGCTGGGCAGTCACGCGGGTAAGCTCGATGAAGCCACTCTGCAAAGGAAGATCCATGCAGCGCCACCTTGCCCTCAGGAGCAATCTTCCGAAGCCGATCCCAGAGTTGAGTCGGGGAGGCCTGGGGCCTGGGTAACACCATCGCAATGGTCGATTGGAGTACCTCAGGGCTCACCTCTGGCCCTCCGACTGCCTGCTCCAGCTTGGCCAGGTGACTTGAACATGGATTCAAGCAGCACTGGGAGTAGTAACGGGAGGATGATACACAGTTGTTCGGTCCCTGAACATAATTTGCCAGGATAACTCTCGGGCTGTCTGGCTGGCTCTCTTCCAGCGCACCCAAGGCGCGGAGGTAGTCAGCGGTTTCGCTGAACTGCCACTTTCCTTTGTACAGGTTCGCAGCATAGAAGTCGCGAAGGTTCACATGCCCGGGGCATTCTTGATCCATCTTGTGAAGCTCACGCATCTGTTCTTGGCATTCACCATCTTGCCAACGGCCGAAGTGCGTCTGAAGCTCATGTATGACAGCTGTCAAGTCTTCGAACTTGAGATGCGTTGACTTAGCTGGAAGCACGACGCCTTCAATGTTTCGTAGGAATCGCTGCAGCTCCGACCAGTTTGGATATCTCTCTGCAATGCTCAGATTTCCCGAGATATAGGCCTCCATGGCAGAGGCAGATCCGCCTTCTTCTAGGATGTAGCTCATCATGACCTCAGCTTCACACCATGAGCAACTCACACATGAGTCATTGCACATAAGATAGGTGTCGGCATATGCAAGAGTGAACAAAGGCCAGGGCCTGTTCCATCACTTGATCCATCTGATCAATGCTCACCCTGCCGAAGAGGGGTAGCTTCTTCAACTTGAAGACGGCCATGGCCCGTTCCAGCACTTCCTGATGCACTAGACTGTCAAGGGTTGCGGCCAACACAGCAAGCTCCTTCGGAGCGACACCATCCTGGAAGCATGCCTGGAACTCCTGGTCAACTCTGGATGGAATCTGATTCTGAAGAATACTTGTCAGGGAAGCAAGGGTGGCAGGGCTGTAAAGGCTCGACTCCTCCAAACTGTTGACGAACCAGCCTCTCTCGTCCACAAACACCCGATGCAAAGCGTACATCGCCACGTGTTGACTGAGTTGCCCCTGCTGGCTGGGCAGCGACGTGAAGAGTGGTTGCAGAGCAGCTTCGAAAGTTGGAAGCTGGCGTTCGATCCACTGGCGGGATTTGGCGCCCATGGTGCTTTCAATGCTGTCCAAGATGGATCCGGCGCAGCTGAGCCCCGCAACTGGACCTGTATGACCTGTCAGCTCATCCATGATAGCAGCGAAGTCTTTTGGGCGATCTGCGCTGCACATGACGGCCATGGCCAAAAGCTTGATGAGAAACAACATTGTCGAGCAATGTTGCGGCGGCCTGTAAATGAAGAAAGGCTTGGGCCACAGAAGGGCTAGCGGACTCAACCTGAACAAGACAACACATATCGTGGGGTGCAACAATCTTAGCACCTACAAGAAACCACTCCCTTTTCGTCAAAGCCATGACATGGCTCCACTTGCGTAGGTTCGCCTCCAACCCGTCTTGGTCCTTGCGCTGCCGGTCATCAACTTCAAAGACAGGAAGTAGACGGTGTTGCTTGGTGTTGCACTTCTTCACAGATTGGTGAATCCGACTTTGCGCCGTTTCGCTGTTCCTCATTTACGTTGCAGAACCTGCGGCTGGGTCTGGCTGCTGGTACAGCACCGTCGTTCACGGGAGCACAGCGCATCACAAAGAGAGGAAGTAAACCTCCATGTCTACACGATGTCGACGTTTGCTGACCTGGCAGCAGCAGCTGCGGAGGGTGCCGTCACGCCGTTGACGAGCTGGATGGCGGCTGCCCAGGCAAAGCTCAAGGATAGTCGCGCGGCCTCAGCGAAGATGTACAACATTGTATTACATCATGCCCCAGCCATATCCCCATCTCCAAGAGTCGGAAAGCCAGCCACAACCGCTGAGACCGATGCCATCTTTCGCTTTCTGAGTGCATGGAGCTCAGCCTCGGAAACTCATCCTTTGAGCAAACGTCCACGGTCCACGTTGACACACGGAATGCACGAGGGCCACGCAGCTCAAAGATTGGCCACTTCGACCGAAGCACCACGTCTAGCGGTATTCTTCGAAGCGACGTCTGCCAGGTGCTGACATTGCTGGTCTTTCGGATCACCGAGGCCTCCTGCTGACTGGCGCTGAGATCAAGAGCCGGCTCGTTCCCCAACCCTCCTCCCAAGGTGTCCTCCCCCAAAGCTCCCGCCCGGAAAATTTTGTCGGGTCCGCACGCCCCGGACAAACCCAAACACGCTTACGATTCTCTGCGGGATTCTGCTGGGCAGTCTGCAGGATTCTGTGCCGATTCTCTGGGGCGAGCACTCCGAGGACAGCTCTGCGCATAAAAAAGATTCTCTACAAATTTATTTGCAGGGAGAGGGGCTATCTCCACACAGACATTGAGGCATTATGGCAAGGACAAGGAACTTGCCGGCTTGGCTTCCTGCGCAGAGGGCTGTCCAAGTACCCCTAGACCGCCAGAGAATCCTGCAGAGAAAGCTGCACAGCATCCTGGAGTGCCCGGTGTCTGTTCGTCGATTTGAAACTGGGATGTAAATAAATTTCAGGCAGAATGAGTTGCTGTCGGTATGAGCTTTTGGCCCAAACGAGCATCTCGGGAGTTGTAGGGCTCACGCTGGAGTGCCCCACCCCCAACGCCCATAGAACCCTGCAGATCCTGCTGAGATGGCGCGAGCTTGCCAGTTTCTTGGGCTTTTAATGACATGTTAAGGGTGTCGGGTATTCGAGCTGGGAGTCTGTGGGGCTTGGGTCATGGGAGGGGGATGTAAGTTTGTGTTTTAAGGCTGCGGTGATTTCTGAGTTCATGAAATTCTTTGGCTGTCGACTGCTCGTGAACATTCTGCCCGGGACTCTCGAAACCAGTTTGTGCCCAGCACCTGGGCTGTTACAGATTTTTGCTAGCAGGGTTTTGGTTTAAAGCGATCTGATCCAACAACTCAGGTGGGGGACTACATCTGGGTGCGCTTGTTTCGGCAAGCACCCGCAAGCTGTCTGAGTATTTGGACGAATAACTTCTGGACTTCACTTCTAGCCCCTGCACGCTCTCACCTGCCCTAGTAATAGGGGTTCCGGTTCCAGCAGGACGGCTGACAAAACGAAATACGCTCTTGAAGCCACAAGAGCTGTCTAGCCCATGGCGCCGAACCTCGCTGCCTCCACCTCCCAGCTCCCCTCGCCGCCCCAATTCCATTCAGCCAAGCATTGATAGCACGGCATGTCAGACTTCATGACTCCCCCGAGTTAGAATCCGAGGCCTCGATGTAGCGCATCAGAACAGGCCTCAATCTGCTCAGTATTAAAACACAGGATTACCTGCCGGACTGCCTGCCGAAGATAGCCGGTCACAAGTACTTTCAGAACCTATCCTGCAAGCCCAGATGCCAAAGGCTATTGAGGCATCGGCTCACAGCCTAACGGTGCTGCGAACATAGTCCTGCCATGTGACAGCATAGCTGCAGTGGAACAGAACACAGCCAGTTCTGAAAGCTAGCGGTCAGCTTTGGCTGCTGACGCACGCACCCACTCACGAAGCCACTGGGGGCAGTGCATGGAATGTCACTAACACATCGACCCGCATACTTGGTTCTTTGCTTAAACTTGCACATTGGAACCCCATAATGGGAACCTCGCAAAATCCATTTCCGTCTGTTGACTGGATCTGTTGCGGAAGACCAGGGGCAGCTGTCGACCTTGGAACACGAAAGTTGAACCAGCGACATCAGCGCCTGCAGCTCGAAGGGACACAACGGAGCACAACACCAAGACTCTGTGGATCCAGCCCATGGCTGCCAACAGATCTGCGGTGGCCGGGAAGACGGGGTTGTCCTCTGCAGCTAGAGTGCAAGCATTCGCCTACGGCCGCCTACGCCTTGGCAAATGAGGGATGCTTCGCAGATCACTGAACAGGAAGGCGAACTCGAGATGCAAAGCACATGCAGGATCGGTCCTTCCAGAAGTTCGATTGGCAGCGCCATCGCATAGCCGCTGCAATCTCAATGCCGCTACGTTGCATTCCAAGGCGAGTTTCCAAGCATCCAAGCTCCGCACAGCAATGCCTCCCAGAGGACACCTCTGCAGTTGAGCTTGCGCTGCTATCAACTCAAGCCATCTTCTCCGTCCCGGTCTAACTACTGAAACCGTTTCGTTCCCGAGACAACGTGTCGCAGGTGAACATGTCCAGGGACATGTCGCACGCTGTAGTATCCAAAACACAACCCAACTTAAATCTTCAGGTGAAGGACAAGCACTAAGCGAAACTGGCTACCTTGTTGTTAAGTGCCACGCTCTGCCGCAGCCACTGACTTGAAGATCGACCACCTACAGTCAAAACTAACAACTCTCAGACGCATCTTGTATCAGAGACACATTGCGGGGACATCGCTGAGAGGTGCACGCCCTGTCAATGTTAAGCTGGCTGGCAAAGTTTTCCACCAAGGCAGTCAGCACACCTTCCACATCGGGCTTTCCCTTCCCACCCATGGCTGCTAAAACCGACGCTTCATTTGCGACAATGGCATTTGCAAGCAGGATCCTGTCATCCAACATTTGGGAAGTATGTGAGAACCGTCAGGAGCTTGACATACTCTGTGATCAAACAACAAGTGCACGTTCGCGGATAATAGCTTCTTCGGCCAAGACCTCCTGAGGCAACTGAATCTGAATCATGTTTGTGGGTTTTGTCGCCTGTGACTTCTTTATCTCCTTCATCTACACTGTTGGGATTACTGTTGGGATCTGTTGTGAGTTCCAAAGGCCTTGTTCTCCATCCCAGCGTTCTTCTTGAAATTATGTTCGTGGGGCACCTTCCACATGGCCATCGCCGGTGGCCCAAGAAGATAGCAAGCCTGCGGCCATGATTGAGCGCAGGCGCAACGCAGGCTGAGCGTTTGCATGCACACTCCAGAGAAGGTCTCAGGTGCACGCGCTCTATATTATCCTGAATGATCTGCCACCTGGCAAGGCGTCAGCACCAGCAAAACATAGTATACGTAGATGACACACTTCCGCAGAATTACCAGAACATGCCAGAAGCGGCTGAAAAACATAGCTCTTGGAGGTCGTGTCGCAGTTGACGTCCTTTCAGGTGGTGCTGGCGTGCCCTTGATGGTCCTGCTCTTGCCGATTACGCTCCGTGCTTTGCATCCGTCCTCAACGTGCGAGCGACGAGCCCAAAGCTTCCCATCAGATTCTGGCCTCCATTCTCCCAAAGTTGCCGCAGTTGCGCGCTCACCAATACTTGCTTGCACAGCTTTCATATGCATTGCCTTAGGATCTGGGCGGCCGACCGAGATTGCTGTGCCGAGTGAGAGGGGGATGGCAAGACCGCCTGGAAGCCTCGGACCCCGAAGAAATAAACTCAAAACTGGTCCGAGATTTGATGAAGTGTCGGCTCTGTGCAAATTCTGCAAATTCTGGGAAAACAGCTGTAAGTTCCGTCTTGGACAAAGGACTCCAGGAAGTCCTGAATCGACACAATTGCTCTCTGAGCTGTGCCAAGCAGGAAGTGCAGCCACCTGTACCAGCAGGACAAGCTGCTCTTTGGAGAGAGTGGGATCCTTGGAAGCGCATAGGCGGAGGCATCTGGCAACTTCGAGCATTTTTTCGCAACGAGCTCCTAACTCCCCAACGCCTGAAGTCGTAGTGTAGGAAAAGAGAGTCCTCAAGTAAAGCTCTTCTCAACTTCTCAAAGATATGGTTTGAGGACTTCGCTTGGCATGTCCTGGTCTTTGTCGTGCGGCATTCGGACACGTGCCATCCTGTAGTTGCCCGCAGCCAAAGCAGCGGGTTCAATGGGGTACAAGATGGCACAAACAACCTGACAAGGTCTTGCTTCGCAAAGGCACGGATGACAGAAATAGCCATCGCGCCACTTCTGCACCTGAGCTTAGACCGGTCTTGCGATGTAGTCATCCCGTGCATGTAGACCACCTGAGGCCCGCGCGATGTCTCGAGATGAGAGCCATGGCTCCAATGCAGTTGAGATGTCTTCTCGAAGAAGAACCGCATTTTCAAACTCCATATGGAGGAACACATACTCAGGTCCGGCTGAGTCCAGCAGCGCTTGCACTGAGCAGCCTACAAGAGCCTGCTTCTCATGCACAGCTCCGCGACGCGAAAATGCAGAACTCAAGTCCCCTTGCCGATTCACTGTTGTCTGCGAGCCCAGACTAGGGCCGTGTGGCCACACAGTAATGCCCGGTGGGAACAGGGGATTGACTTCCACGTGCCAGATTTTTGGTCTCCAACCTGCTCTCGAGAGCCCTCGCACCAAATGACAGTCTGGGCCATCGACGTCCACCTTGATGATGTCAACCTCATCTTTTGAAACTTGAAATGGTCGCCTTGACAAGGCTTCCTCCAGCCTTTCGGACACTGTCTCTTCGGCTGCTGCTTCCAAAACGATCTGCACACCAGGCGCAAACTGCGCCAGATTGTCGGTCAGGGCTTGCTCCAAAGACCTGTTTGCTTCAAAGACCACGCCGCCGAATCCTTGTGGGAAGAAGCAGTTCACAGGATCCAGGCCATGCCCTACCCGGCATGCACCGTCTCCACCTCCAAGCACATTTTGCACATCACGTGCACATTCAACCACGGCTGATTGCCACATGATGGTCACATCTACATGCATGTACCACATTGACACAGGTGTTGTCTTCACCAGCACATGGCAGAGTGGTGGACTCTTGACGCGCGAAGCTAGTTCAGTTCTAGTTTCGCCCTCGTCGAGGAAGCTGCTACACAGATCCCAACCATGAAGCGTAAAGTTCATAGAAGCTCTGCATAGCTCTGCTATCTGCTACAACCCATCAGCCGATGGGCTGGGCCAGCGCTTGGCTGTCGCTGACCTTCGCGGTGTTGCGGTGCGACTTTGTGTTTTGTCCTGAGGCCTCTGTGGCTGGGCGCAGGCTTTCTGGAATTGTGAGGAATTGGGCCCCGCGGCAGGTGCAGCAAACCGTTAAAAATTGACGACGTAACACGGGCTGCAGGGGTTGCACGTACGAAAGCGCTAGAGCGAAAGCCCGTTCTGCTGCCAAATGGCACCTTCAAGTTTGCGCAAGTTGGTTTTGCTTGAACCAGCAGACAACTGAGATTCACAACTCGCATTTTTAATTCATAATTTGCATGTAAAGGACAACTGCGGCCTCCAAGGTTGATGGCAACCCGAGACAGGCCCCATGGATGCCTTGCCTGCAAAGCAGCTCCATTTTCAAGAGCTTCCAGAAGCGAAATGGAGCTCAAGTGGCGAGTTCGAAGGTTGTTGACATCTACCCAGGAGACGTCGTGAAAAGCTTCGCCGCTGAACACAGGCTGCATGCCAAACTCGGAATATTTGCTGGGCATGCGCGTGCTGCTTAGCTCGCATATTCTGCCAGGGCTGAAAGTTGAGGGATAAACCACAGCACCATATCCAACAGCAGAATCTGTCTTGCGAAGGTTAAGCTTGTCAGCATCATCAGACAACTGCGGCTGGCCAGAATTTGTCATAAATAGTTTAGCCGACACCATGTACTCAGCCTCCGTCCACTCCCAGATTGCATTACTGCAGACACCAAACCAGTCCATGTTCAAATCTGGCGGAACGTCACCACACGTTGCAACAGCTTTCTCCGCAAGAACCTGAGCTGACATTCTTCGGGGCTCGACCATGGAAACTGCATTCTCCACACCAGTAGGATCGCATCCCAGAAATGTCGCTGCACAAAGCAGATGCCTGCCAGCCTCCATAGCTTCAACACCCATGAGCGCTGTATTGCGCTGGGCGGCTTCCTGATGCAGGGTATACATCCTTAAGCATTACACCGCGAGTAGTAGACAAGGAGACAAAAGCTGAACATCACGCAGGCATTAGCACATTGTCAGCAGGCATAATGTCTTGCAGCATCCTCCTGCGGAATCCAATCGTACAGGATGAGGAGCTCATAGGTGCGCTGGGAGATGGTTTTGTCCACTTCAGCACGCAGCTTCCAAGCCGCTGTCAGCTCATTTCGTACGCGCGCCACGCAGTGTGCATCTGGAGGTGGACAAGCCGGGAAGCCCCAGGCAACCACCACGCAGGACAGCAAACAGCGCAACTCCAAGCACTTGCAAGATCCATGGCGCCACGGACTCATTAGCGTATGCGCGCAGATGCAATCAACATTAAGATATAAACTTTGGGATGTCCAACACAACAAAGCAGATGATGATGTCTCCTCCAAGTACAGGATGACAAAAAAAGTATGCTAGAATGAAGATCACCCTGTGATATTGAAGGCAATGTTAACAAAAGCATGAAATCTGTAATCAAAAAAGCCCAAGGAGATACGGGGAGTGGCTTCAAACATCAGACAACCAGATCTCTCAGATTTAGAAATGTTGCCCACCAAAAAAAGTTAAGAGACATGTTACATGAAGAGATACCTGAGATTAAGAATCCAATAGCAATTTCTTGTGCTTGAAGGGTGATAAGGACATAGCAAAAGTAGATAATGGCGGAAATGTTCGTCCTGCACCACCTCCAAATTCTGAGAGCATGGAAAGGGTTCGGAAAAAAGATATAAGTAGAAGAATTGACCTTGAAAGATAGGCACAAAAAAAGTCCCTACTCCCCCAGACAAGCCAGGCAATACTAAACACAAGGTCATAAGAAAGCCATGCAATGTATGAATCTAGATACAAAAAATACGGATACGAATACAAACGAACGAAAAGATAGATACAGATAAAGGTACGGTATAATTTTGCAAATACATGCAAACAGAACATGAACTAGCATATGTTGTTGGCTTCCCATTTGTCGCATAGACTTCCACTGTAAACAAGTAAGGGATCTGAGTGAGGGAAGCGACGCGGCAGAATCGATACTGACTGCCGCGATGTCCAGCAAACAGCCGTCCTTGTCCATCTTAGACGCTTCACACAACAGAAGCCCTTGCGTTTGTAATGCGATATCTGAGGGTGCAGTGGGGACGGGGCATGAAGACACTCCAGGCCTTGCAATTGATCAACGTGATGTACTGCCAACATACAATACAAGGACCTAACACCACGCCTCACTAATTAAGCCCAAGCAAACCGCCTTTTGCAGATCTCTGCATCTGTTCGGGGAGCAGTCAGGCGCACAGACTGCTGTCGGGCAACTGGTAGCCGATTCCTACTGCGAGCGAGGAGCTGGGCCTCTGACTAGGCTCGCATTCAATTTCACAAGTGTTCAGCTGCTAGGCCATATGCAATTCACTCTGGCATGTGCTTGGAGACGTCAGCATTTGGACGGGCCTGCCACTATGAAGATGAAACAAGACCCGGCACGTCTAGACTGCTCTCCAAGCGCGGTGCGAACTGGCAAAATGCCATCAATCGCTTGAGACCTTGTTGGCTGAGACATGCAACCCTCAAGACTTTGGTGTAATCGGCGCTCTAGTTCGGTCTGGACAACAAAGGGGTTTGTGAAGGCAAGGGCCAAAATACAAAAGAGTGCGAACAGAAAGAGGTAAGACTGTCGGCGGCAGTGGTGACGGTGATGATGAGAACGGTACCAGCCCCTTCCAAGACCAATTTCCCTGCCTTCCGCCTCGCCTCCAAAGCATGTGATGCAGACACGCACCGGTGCATTTGCAGGATGGCTGGTAGTGCAGCGCAGCAGCACATCATGGAAGCAACGTGGGCTCAGCAAGGTGTTTCACACACGTCGCCCAGCACAAGGTGGCGTTGCAAAACCTAACCAAGCGCCACCCCTGCCCGATCTGCACCTCTACAATCTAATCACGAAAAGTACACATGAATAGAAGGCAAACTCAGGTTCAGGCACAGCATGTATTGCATTCCTTCGACAGACTCCAGGAGTCCGTCCCTTAGTTGCTCAACGACCAACGAGACACCCTATAACCAGTGACAGGAACGAATGCCGGGATGCAAAAGTTGAGGAACAACTGCAGACTTGGGGTTTCAAGCTTATGGCCTATACCGCTGCTGCCTCATCCAGTTGCAGAGGCATGAAAGTACAGCCAGGGCTGTGCGGAAACCGGAGAACACGGATTGGGAAACCGCGGCTTCGAGAAACTGGGAGCGTGGCAAGTGTGGATTCAGGCGACCGCAGATTTGGGAATCGCAAAGTTTTCTGAAAGCACCCACGAACGTTATCATCCCCTCCCCCCCCCCCCCCCCCCCCCCCCCCCCCCCCCCCCCCCCCCCCCCCCCCCCCTCCGCCGTAGTTCTGAATCGGGCAGTTTCCTGATTTGCGTAGTTTCCTGAATAGCGCGAAGCTAGTTTCCTGAATCGGCTAGTTTCCTGAATGCTGGGTTCCTGAATCGCGTCCAGTTTCCGCATCGCGCTCAAGTCCACTGCTGCTACTGCTGTTGTGAATGCTACTCCTGCTCCTGCTACTCCTGCTCCTGCTACTGCCGCTACGATTGCTACTACTGCTGATGCTACTACTCGTACGCTTACTACTTCTATTTCTACTACTTTCTACTCCTACTACGACGACAACGGATGGATCAGGACTTTACGGTTTAGGGTTTGAGAAGCCTCAGGTTTTTCAATCATTGGCGTGCTGAGTTTCGGAGACCCAAGCCACTCCTGCAAACCTCCTGTCGCTCTTCTTCGGGCTGTTTTCTGCTGCCAGCTTATGTCGGCTGTCTTGGATGGGCCATACTGGCACTGGACAGCTCTTGACCACCTTGCGCCTGCGGCCTGCTCTAGCACAAGCCGGGCCGGCATGCGCTTCCAGGTGAGTGCGGGCGACGGCTGTGTACAAACGATTTCGTGCTTGAGGGCATGAGACCTTGGGTACGGGCAGGCTATGCAGGCGTGAGGCAGCGCTGCGTTCGCCCCAAGGTACGGAACATGCGCACGTAGTCGTGAACAGAAGGGCCCTCCTAAACAGTATCTTGTCCAAATGCTGACCTGTATGACTGAGGTGTGGACGAATCTTTCTTGACCTTGAAGCCATTTCTTGGGGCCTGTCTCCATGGCAACTCCCCGAAATGCCACAACGATAACTCAAGCTTGCTCTCTTTCTCGGCGCCTTCGCACAACCAGTGATGCCTTTAACCTGGCGCAAAAGCCGTGAGTTTGTATTCCCCACATGACATGGTGCAGCATCTTGTGTCTGGCGGCACCAGTTAACGGTTTTGTCAGGTGAGCCATATCTATCAGGGTTTGAAGGCTAAACTGTAACCTGGCGGGTCGAGGGCTTGTCCGAAAGTTGGGGATAGTCTCAATGGGAAGGTCATCCGGCCTAGGAGTCCCAAAAGCCTTTGCCTTTTCACTTTCGGAGGTGTGTGGGATTGTCACAAAGCAACCGCCCTCCTTTTAACGTAGTGGATTAGGGCCATCATGGACCATCCTAGCCTGAGGGGATGCTCAGGGCTTCGGGCTGTCCTTTCAAGGGCCAAGGGTTGAAGAATCTGCGAAATGTCCTTTGGGGTTGGTCTTCGCGCCTTCGTCCTTCTGCATGAATCGTACGTATTAAGGATAAGTCATTCTGCAGGTCGTGCTATCTTGTCGGGAGAATTAAGGAACATTGGGCCACCTGCCACCCTTGGACCCCCCTCCTTACGAACCCTGTAGAACACAAAGCACTCTGGAAGAACTACGCCGAGGTCGGAGAACTGCAAGAAAAAGGCGAGAGCTAGCAAAAAAACGACACAAAAAAACGACACAAAAACACACACACACACACACACACACACACACACACACACACACACACACACACACGTGGAAGCATAGACCGGAGATTCTTTCCCTTTCCTCTGCATCCTTAGATTCGCTGCACAGGTTCAACAAGCGGCTTCAACAGGAGGAGGAGAAGGAGAGCGCTGACCTTTGATTAAAGTAACGTAAACGGGCAGGCAATAACAACCGAGCATCATGTGCGAGGCACAGATGAGTCACCTCGCGGTTCTCCGAGAGACGTCGAAGGTTTTATACACTCGTCCAGCAGGAAAGACACAATGAGGCGGGATGCTGTTCTGTGTCGTCATATGGGGGTTTCCCAAAATAGGGTACCCCTAATATCCCCCTAAGTACTATAATCCTTATTATCGGAACCCCCCAAAAAAAGGTACCCCCATTTTCGGATGCTTACGGCTTTGCAAAAGACAGCGTTCTCTTCTTCTTCCTCTTCTTCTTCACCATTTCCCTTCTGCAAACAGGCAGCGAAGGGTTCAGTTTCAGCTTGCAGTAGTTCTCATTGTCAAATGACGACTCAAGGTCGATCACCCTCTTAAGGTCTGTTAGGAGGCCCAGGATCTTTTGCTTAGAATGCCTGAGCCAAGCTCGCACATGGTGAAACATCCTTATTGTACAGACTCCTCGCTAGCCACTGGCCACGCACTGGCCAGCCCTCAATTTCCTGCCCTCCGTCTTGCGGATTGCAAAGCTATGCACAGCAGCAACAATCCCCATGGCATGGCAGCACTACGCTGCACGCAGTTCTGCCACTTGCCGTTCAACGCAACAGGGAAAGAATGGATGGTTCACTCGCATCAGTCCTTCAGCAACACCTGGGGCGTTGGGAAGAAACTGCCGAGGCCAGAATGCGCACTTGCCTTGTCCTTGCGGCTTAGCTCCCGACCAGCTCAACCTCTTTGCCCCTGCCATCATTGCAGCTAAATGCAGCTGAGCACTAGTTATGCCTCGCCGAGACATCAACAGGGTACGTAAAACAGCCAGTGATGCGTGAACCAACTGAAGGAATTGCTGAATTTGAAGACGATTTTTACGACCTGGTCTCCAGGTACACAACGCCGTGCGCTGTACCGTGCGTACTCGGCATATTGGGACTTCGCCCCTACAGTCACACTAGGCCCACTGCTTCCTTTCTCAACTGCTCTTCGCCTCGAAACAATGCACAAGTGTGGCCGAAGCGGGAGGCAGCGAACGAATATCTTTAAGCCCTTGAAGGAGTCGCACTGCCTTTTTTAGCACATGCTGCATGCACAGCTTGGCCTTGTCTAATGACGAGTCTCCTGCAGTCGAGGGAAACTGATGTGCTGAGCAACCACCCTGACCCCCAACACAGCCAACACAGCCACCACCCGGATAGCACCTGTCAGATTTCGAATCGAGCGCGCCCACAAAAGTTCCTCCGCGAGCATTCCTGACCGAGACGTCCCATGCCGAAATCACTTGCAAAGATTTGTTGCCCAGCCTTTGTAGGACGATGGTCTCTGTCGTCTCCGTGCTCTCCAGACATCGAACCAGAGCACAGACTTCGAGATCAATCGTGAGGTCTGCCAGGACCACCTCAAGGCTTTTGTCGAAAGTGCCAACCATTGGGGCAGCCTTGTGCAAATTTGCGCAACGCTGTGGTCCGTCGTTTCAGATAGGTCACAGCGCTCCACTGAAGGCGGCCGGTACCTTCGGCACCTTCCTCCCAGGAAACTTCATGCTCCTTGGCCTCTCCAGCCTCAGATATAAGCACAGCGACGCTGTGGGAAGAAACCACTGTTTAACTTAAGGAGCACCACAGCACGGAGATATACAGAGCTGCACTGCAGCCAAATCAACAGAAAATTGCAGCTGGCATCTCTCTGCCTCGCCGCCTGAGCAAGACAGTGCCCTTGATGGTGTAAACATGTGTAAACCAAGCTCAGCAAATCTCGCAGGCCTTCGTTTCTTTGAGCTTGTCTTTGAAGCTTTGCAAAGCGCTTTGCAAGCTCGGTGTCTTTCCTGTCAGGCAGGCCGTTGCCAGATACCTCTCATCACTACGTGCTAGATCGCGTCACTATGCCCGAAGTCGGCTCCCAGTCCTTGAAAAGTCCGCTTTGGGACCCGCTTCTTCTGGGTCCGGAATCCCCTTGCCTCGGCTCACAGCTTGCGGTTGCTTGGTGCCATGTAAGCCCACAACGGGCAGCCTCCCTCGAGTAAGGCGCTACTGGTTTTGGTATCCATGTATTGTCTGGATGCCTGCCAAAGCCCTTTCATGGGCTACTGCCCAGTGCTTGGCGAGGACAGGGTCCAGCTTCCTGAGCCGTCTATAGGATCTAGACATGGTGATGTTTCTATCTTAAGTCCATGGGCTATGATAATAAATAAACATATACATATATATAGAGAGAGATATATATATATATATAGATGATATGATATGGTATGCTATATATGATATATGATATATGATATGTGTATATATATAAATATGAAACATATGTATATATCGTTCCGTGTCCCGTGTCGGCCCCCCACCCCCCCCCCCCCCCCCCCCATGGTATCCCCCCCCCCCCCCCACCACCCCCCTAACCCTAAACCCTAAAACCCTAAACCCTAAACCTAACCTAAACCCTAAACCCTAAGCCCTAAGCCCTAACCCTAAGCCCCTAAACCCTAAACCCTAAAAACCCTAAACCCTAAACCCTAAACCCTAAACCCTAAACCCTCAAACCCCCAACCACACCACCCCACAGGAGGGCCCCAACCACAGCGGAGCGGGGCGCGGACCCTAAACCCTAACCTAACCCTAAACCTAAACCCTACACCCTAAACCCTAAACCCTAACCCTAACACCCTAACACCCTAAACCCTAAACCCTAAACCCTAAACCCTAAACCCTAAACCCTAAACCCTAAACCCTAAACCCTAAACCCTAAACCCTAAACCCTAAACCCAAACCCCAACCACACCACCCCCACAGGGGGGCCCAAACCACGGGGGGGCGGGGCGGGGAAAGAATTTGGGCCGGGGGCCATGGGGGGGGGTGACCATGGGGTGGGGGGGGTGGGGGGGGCAGCGACGCTGCACCATATATATATATATATGTGTGTATGTATGATGGGCGCTGCGCGTTCTCCCCCGAACCACGCCCACACCACCTATCGTTGTAAGTCTTCCTTGGTTGCGACAGAAGAAGACCCCTCCAACCCACCTTAGACCACATAAAACCGAAAATGCACGAACTACGCATATTTGCAACCCCCTCCTGCCTGGATAAGTACGTGTCCAAACCTGCGTATCACACATTTGTATCTATATTCTCCTCCCTTCTACAGCAAAGCGCCCCCACCCAGATCCCTAAATCCTATTCCCCTTAATTTTAGTCTCCTACAGAGGGCGGGGAGTCACTAAACCCTGAAGCTAAGCCTACAGAACGGGATCCCTAAATCTTGATCGCGAAATTTTGTTCCATTAACCTTATTCACGTAATTCTGTTGCATCAACCATAAGGCCGGTGGTCCTTCATTCCTAAAAAGGAGAGCCCCTAGCTCCAAAAAACTAGCCCTATCCCCAAAATCTGTGTCTTCCCTTAATCCCTTGATCTTGTTCCCTACATGTTCTTCTTAAACATACATTGCACCCTACATCGTTTTTCATTGAAACTTATCCCGATCCTGGATGCTGTTGCTAAATCCTGCTCGCTTTGGATCTAGCAACAAGATTTAGGCCCCGATTCAGGCAAAAGTTGGCCGATTTCAAGAATGATTATGCACATGTGTTTAATGCAGAAATGACCCCCGTATTTTCCAGTCTTTTTGCGTAACTCTGTCTTGCTCCCCAAATCCTCTTCCTAAATTCAGTGCGATTTGGATTTAGGAAATAAGATTTAAGCCCCGTGGCGGGGCATTGTTGGCTCAATGCATGTACAGCGGAGACTCTATCGGGAAATCTTCAGTGTTCAACCTTCGGACCGGAGAGTTTAAAACCACGAGCTTACTGCTAAGACTCGCTCCGCAGTTTGAAGATTGATGATTCCACAGGACTCTTTCGGGAAATCTTCTGTGTTCAGTCTCTGCCGTTATCGTAATAGCGATAGGGATGAGAATCGGCCCTGAAATTGACTGAAGATTGAGGGTTGAAGATTCTCAAAGAATCTTTCTCAGAATCTTCAATCTTCAAAGCTGAGCGATTCCGGCCGATTCAGCTTTGAATCGGCCCTCAAATCGAAGATCGAAAGTTGAAGATTCTCAGAAAGTCTTCGTGTAAATCTTCAATCTTCAAAGCTGGGACCGATTCAAAATTGACTCGGTCGATTCAATTTCGTTTCGGTCCTCGAACTGAAGATTGAAGATTGAAGATTCCCAGGAACTCTTTTCGGGAATCTTCAATCGTCAAAATTGAATCGGCCGATTCTGCTTTGAGTCAGCCCTCAAACTGAAGATTGAAGACCGAAGGTTCTCCGAAAGATTTCCTAGGAATCTTCAATCTACGATCTTCAGCTTGAGGGCCGATTCGAAAAGAAGATCATCCAGTTCTAAAAAATCTTCCATCGTGGCATTCATGTATGCACATGTCGATAAGACAGATTGAAACGTACCACATGTCACTTTGTTTAGTATGGAAGAGGTATGAAACGGTAGGTTTTGGGAGGGGGAGGGGGGTACCACATATATATATATATATATATATAGATGTATATATGCATAATGTATATATGTATATATATATATACATATGTACTTGTTTGTTTGTTTCATCTATGTGTATCTATCTATGTTGGCACACTTGCAGCCTCGTCACGTCGATTTTTCTGCCACAGAACCTATCTCAGCTTCATAGAGGCCCGAGTCGACCAACTCCTCTTCACAGGCTCAGACACAGCACCCAGCCGCCAACCCAACCCAACCGGCAGATACTAGCTTAGTTAACCCTGAATCGTGAAACATGCTGCTTGCGTGCGTACCCTTGCGTACCTGCTGCTGCGACCAGCGCTTGGCAAGCACAGGATCCAACTTCACAGTCTTGTCCTTAGAACGCACAGCCTTGTGCCATCTTATGCCTACAACAGCGATATCTTGCACTACGTAACATCCAGCTGTGCATCGGCTTTGGAACCAATATCATCTTCAACCGCACACTGACCTGTCTGCAGCTTCTCCTGGCATTTGCTGGAGTGTTGCAGTCTGTCACCGTTTGGAGCCAGTTGAAAAAGGGTGGAAAGGGGGAGGTTGGAAGGTTTTAAGGTTGATGGTTTGGGACAACCCCGACAACACACGCTGGAAGCACCCATCTCTGCGCGAGAACAGGATCCAGTTGAGTTCTTTGATTTGCCCGGGATCCAATCTCTGCCACCTCCTCTCCTTTCTCGTGCTTCTCCTCCGTGTCCAAGATAGTTCGCTAAAGTTTGAAGTTCACTGGTCACATCTGGTCACTCTGTCCTTCTGGCGAGCGAAGCGGGCCGCGAGAGTCGGATCCATGGCTCAAAGGGAGGCTGCGGGAGGCTTGCCAACAGTGACCTGTGTGGTGGTATGTGGTGGAGTGCTGGTTGGCTTTGCTGATTTTTTCTGGTCTTGTCGGTGTTTGTATATGCTGAACGCATCGGGCAATCGGGCTTGGGGCTTGGGTGAAGCTCTCTATTTACACGGTCTGCTGTCGCAGGGCACTTTGTGCAGTCTTTACTGTTGCCACGCGTCGAGCTGTAATTACAATTTTCCGTGGCCTGCCTGAAATGGTGTGGCCCTGTGAGCCAAAGGTGGTGCTCTGTCAAGCATGTCATGACATGCAACAGCAGCAACAGCAGCAACAGCAGCAACAGCAGCAACAGCAGCAACGGATGCAACGGGAGCAACAGTAACAGGCAGTTGGCACGGAGAGATCTTCATGCCATCGCCCATGACCGACCGTCAACTCGAGGTACGCCTGCAAAGGCTCATTCAGTGACATTAGCGCAGACTGGTGACCAAAGCCGCCTGGCTAGCTGCATGATATTCCCGATCTGCACAGAGGGCAGCAATTCCTTAAGTCGACATGCCGCGGAATCCCTCCATATGCTTCTGCTATCACCAAGGCAACCGTTAGGGCTTCTGCGAGCGATCTTGTCCAGGTCTTCTCGCAACACCTTCACCTCTGCTTCCAGCATCTTTACAGCACTCGAAAAATCTGAGACATTGCCCGATCCTCGCCTGCGCTGCCTTTCGCAGAACAGATGCGGTGTTGGCCGGAGAGACCCATTTCCTGGTCGAGAGTCGAAAGGCACACGGCCACACACGCACACACAGACACACACACACACACACACACACACACACACACACACACACACACACACACACACACACACACCCACCCACCCACCCACCCACCCACCCACCCACCCACGCACGCACGCACGCACGCACGCACGCACACACACACACCCACCCACCCCACCCACCCACCACCACCCACCACCACCCACCCACGCACCACGCACGCACGACGCACGCACGCAAGCACCACACACAACACAACACACCACACACACACACACACACAAACACACACACAAACACACACACCAAACACACACAAACACACACACAACACACCACACACACACACACACACACACAAACACACACACACACACCCACACACACACACACACACCACACACACACACACACCACACACACACACACCACACCACACCACACACACACACACACACACACACACACACACACACACACGCACGCGCGCACGCACGCACGCACGCACGCACGCACGCACGCACGCACGCACGCACGCACGCACGCACACACACACACACACACACACACACACACACACACACACATATAAACAATCACACTCTCCCAAGTGCCTGGAAGGCTTGCTGTCAGCCTCGAAGCTGACAAGCACTGAGCCAACAGCCCGGCCTTCAGGCGGGCTGGCAGGAATCGGTTGCGCGAATCCCGTGGTTGCGGGAATGGCACGAATCTTCTGTGTCAGGTTGTCTGCGAGAATCGGACTGTTTCGTTGCTAAATCTTGGCTGTCTGAAGCACGGAGTTGCGCGCATCGCGGCTGCATTGCGAAGGGTCAGGCCCCGATTTGTGTCCCATCTACGCCTCCTTCAGATGTCTCCTTCACGCCCAGGACCTTTGCGGGGGACTTGAAACTTAATTGAGCTCAATCATGCTTCACTGATGATGGCCGATAGTCTGTTGTGGCATGGCCTCTTGAGGGCGTTGCCCTCCCGTTTTTGATCCACTTGTTGTGCCCAACACTCCAGACCTCCCGTCATCTCCCACTGTGCAGGGACCATGCACAGATGCACCCGCAAGATCTTCACAAAGCCCCAGCTCCGGGCATGCACTTCCTCACCTTTCCAAAAACTTCGACAACTTGCCTGAAACACATCGAGATGCATCGAGTGACGTCAGATGAGCACGGTAAAAAGCACAGCATATTGCACAGGCTTGCCTGCAGCGTCTGCAGCAAGGGTGCCAGACTCCGCTCGGCCTGAGAAGCATCGCGCTGCGCACAGCAAGGATGTTTGCTCTCCAGATCTCTCCAGGGTCTGGCCTCTTCCAGCTGGACCCGTCCAAAGCGGGCGGAAGCCTGGCTCGCGGCTTGCGTGCCATACTACCCGGCCTGTCATCCTAGAACGCCACAACACGCCCGGACCACGTCGGGTTGACGACGCCACTCTCGCAGAACAGCTTGCAGCTGAGCAGGCAAGTGCGGCAACAACGTAACAAAAACGGAGGGTAGCCGGCAGCTGTCAAATTGCAAGCCAGGCCATTGACCCATCGGAGCGCAAAGAGCTCAGCCTCTTCGAAGGAGCTACGGGGCCTGAGTCGCTCCGAGGGACCACCGAGGGACCACCTGTCAGTTCCTGTTAAGTCCGAGATCCAGAGATCTCGGCTGGGCTGAGGGTCGCTCTGGAGGTCATCAAGGCAAGCAGGAGCACCGGCTTCGAGATCACCTCCTTCCTACACCGCTATGCTACACCCGACCACACATGCACGTCATGCCACACGCGAAATGGCCTCAAGCTCCTGCACTGCTTGAGCAGTTCCCTCAGTGCATCGCTCAGAGCCTTGGAAAAATGTTGTTACCACGAAGTACCACATCTCACGACGTCTGGCACCAAGACCCCACTCGAATGTAGATGTTTTGCTTGTCTCAGTCATATTTGGTCTGCTGAAAAACACATTGTTTTGTTCTGGCTGGCCAGGCACTTGCTCTGCAAACGTCCTTCTGATTGTACTGCAGGTTCTCCTTTCTGAGGTGAACGCGATTCAGCTTTCGGCAGCACCTGATCAAATAATCTTCGACCATGATTTGTCCAGCACTGACACACTGTTTTTGCTTGTCTTTGCAAGACCTGGGACGCGGACGCGTAGCCCCACTGCTCTGCAACAGTGTCGTACCATGATCCCCAGACCTGGCATTTGTCTTTAGAAGGTCGCACATAGTCAAGATGTGTCTCAGGCTGCCTGGCTGTGGCCCAGCTCGAAGTCGTCCTCGCGGTACAAGCTAGACCTTGGCAACTGTAAAGCCCAGAGGCAGCACATAGCAGCACTGAGTACTGTAAGAGACCCAGTCACTTCCCCATGCGGCTTTTACATTGAGCATTCAACAAGCTGAGCATGACAAAACGCGCAAGCAGTTCGAAGTAGAATACTCAGCTGCCTGCTGCATGAAGCCCAACTGCCATTGTGGAAGTTGAGTGTTGTACAACTCTAAACGGTCGTCGAATGGAACATCGCTGCGTTGCATCGTGGAAGCAGCTAGTTGTCAAGCAGCCTCGTATATATGTCCGGCCCGTAAGTTTCTCAATAAGCATGAGCTGTGGACTGCTGCGAGCATGTCGTCGGAAGCCGCGAGCTCTTGTCACCCTGCTTGCTTCCCTCATGCAAAAGAAGCCGGCACAAAGTTCACAAGCACGGACATACCAATCGCAATCTCTTTTTTTCATCTGAGCGTATGGCTCAAACACTTGATGCAAGTAGATGCAACAAGTGACATCCATTAACTTCCTAGCTACGCAGGAACCTGAGGAGCGCGGTCTTGGACCGCCCCGAGGGTTGCTGTTGAATTTCTGTTGAATGCACACTATCAAGACCATCAGGAATCGTGTTTCCTTCGCAAAGCCAACGAGAACAATGTGACCTCGAACTGGCAGACTGGTTAAACTACGTCGCTTTGGAAATCAGCCAGGGCTCCACACGCAGTTCACAAACGTGCTGGCCTCGTGACTCGTGCTGGCTGGGGACTAACATCTGACCCCACAACAACTTCGACCGAGAACGGCGCTTTAGACTGATCCGGGAAGGCAAGCGTCAGCTCCTCCGGCGCTGAATGCAGCCACACCCATGGGAAAGAGGACGAGCAAGGGTGTGAGATCATTTTCGCGCGAGGAGGGAGGGCAGGAGAGAGAGCGAGAGAGGCATAGACCGGAGAAATAGAAAAGAGAAGAGGGGAGAGGAGGGAAAAGGGAAGGAGAGCTAGCCAGCGATCGCTCGCGAGAGGTCAAAGAGATCACGAACTTTCCCGGCTTGCCCACGTGACGGCTGAGTCTTGCTTTATGTTCGTTTGTAGTTTCTCAGCTTTGAGCAGCTGGACGTGAAGTCCAGAGATTCTTAGCGATATCCTTTTTTGTCCCCAAGATATCTGTCGCTGGCCCCGCCCACCATTCCCCTGTGCTTATCTACCACCGGCTTGTCGTTGCTGCTGATGCTCGTCTATCTCATGGCATACCGTCCTTGACGATCCTGCCATCCTTCTCGATGGCGCAGATGACGATGGTTTCCACGCGACCCTCCTTCAATCTGGAACCATCACAATGCAAACTACAAAATGAAGGTTGAATCTCCGAGCATGCCTTCGTGGTGCGCGTTTCAAGGTCCACTTCCTTCATGGAAGCAAACCTGTATGATCGGGAAGAAGGAGTCCGTTCAAGTGGGCATTCAGCAGATCTTGGGCTGAGCAGCAAGCGGAAAAAACTTCGGACCATTTGCTCCCTGGATGACAAGCGCCTTGAATCTGCACGAAACTACTTCCCTCCGCTTCATCACTCCCTCATGAAGCTCCCACCCCCCACGCACCGCAAAAAGACACTTCAACAAGCTCACCATAAGAGCAGCACTCTCTTGGAAGTGTCAACGTAGACGCGCCTGGCGTACCTTCATGAGCAGTAAAGCGGAAAAGGCGATGGTGGAAGTGAAGCAGGGTGAGGAAGCGCTGGCTCCGGACAAAGCTTTCCAAGTAAGCCAGCCACTGCAGCAAGCTTAGGCCAGCAAAGCTACCGGCATGCAAAGACTCGATATCTGTATGTATATGTTTTTTCTTCGATTCTTTATTCATGAATTTATCTTTCATCTGTATTTACGTATTTATCGATCAGGAATACTCGAAACTCCTCCAGAAAGACCTGCAAAGTCAAGAAAAATTAGCAGGGTCAACTTTTCTGAAGCGCGGAACACACAGGAAAGTCGGCAGTGCCAACATCTTCGGTCTCCTCTCTGAAGCACATGGCAACATTCCAAACCTCTGGACAAGTTGGCAGGGCCAACTTTTCGAAGCCTAAACACACAGAAAACCCCGGCAGGGCCAACATGTTCTCGATTCTCTGGTATTTCCCGTGTCAGTGTCAGCGCAAAGCGTGGAAACTAGAAAACGTTGGCAGCCGAACTCCTGGCCCGTCTGGTTGAACTCGATCGCCCGCCCCGTCCAACTCTATCACCCGTCCCGTTGAATATCATCGCCCGTCCCATTGAACTCTCTCGCCATCCCCGTTGATCTCTCTCTCTCTCTCCCTGCCTCCCTCCCCGTTGATCTCTCTCCCTCTCTCTCTCTGCACGCTTAGCCGCGCAAGTCCCAAGCGTCAGTTGGTGATATGGGCTGCGGTTTTCGCAGCCACAATGCTGGGGTGGGGTTTTCTGTCTCAAAGTGGGGCGTTTCCGGGCAAAGCATTGATGATGCAGAGATAGAATGCTACGAGGGTTCCCCCCCCCCTGTGCTCCCAGTAATGTAAGCCTCACACCTCGTCCGACTTTGGGGTGGTTGATCTCTCTCTCTCTCTCTCCCACACATAGCCCGCTCTCTCTCTCTCTCTCGACTGCAGTGGTTTCATGGCCTTTTTTTGGAGGAAAAAAAGCTAGTCAGTGTTGTAGCCCACATATTATAGCATGAAATCTTCGAGGAAATCGTCGTGGTCAAATACTCATGATGCTTCAGAGGGATGGGGACGCAGTTGAATTCGTGGGTGTGTTCTTCTGAATACAATGGGATCTCTTCTTGCTGCTTAAGATCATTGGGCTTGCGTCTTACTGAGAACGAAGAAGACGCGACATATCACTAAACGGTCAATGGAGGAGAGTTGGACGAACGTTTTGATGGGAGAGGCGCGTGGTCGGACACGACGTGACGGAATGTTTTGATGGGAGGGGCATGGGGTCAGACAGAAGGCGGACGGGGGACGGTCCACGGAAAGAAGAATGCATGCACAACGACGCGCCGGAGGTTGACCAGAGAGGCGGCGCGGAGTAGGTCGGACGAATGCGGGGAATGTGGACGGAGGAGGCGTGGGGGGGCCCGTCGCGGCATCGCGATTTCTCGGGTTGACGGGGGGGGGGGGGGGGGGGGACAATCGGACAAGGGGCTGCTGTGAGAAATCCGATCGGGACACCTGCATGTCGGCAGGCTGACCATCCATGTCTGACTCTTGAGGTTCTGCTCGATGTGGCAAGCAGGGAACCGACAAGTTAACGTTGTGAAGAGTTGTTCAGTGCCCGCCTCCTTCCTTTGGCGTTGATTTTGACCAGGTTCTGACCTGCAGACCCAGACATGACATAAAACCCAATGCGCAGTCTTATCTTCTGTAGTACTCGTCAACTCGGCAACCTGACCGGTCGGTCTCGAACTGAGAAAAAAGGATCTCTGTCATTTCATGTTGTGCTGTTCAAAAAATCACTCTAATGTCGTGAGCCTGCCTCGAGTGTAAGCCTTCAGGAACTCTTCAATTTTGATCTGCACCTGCTTGCTGGCAGATTCAAGCACGTGTTCTTCTCTCGCAAGTCTAGTGAGCCAGCTTGAGATGTGAAGCAGAGCCCCAATTGCCTGGAGCCTTCGAAATGCCAAGGCTTTCTTGTCCTGTGCGGTGAAGTGAAGAGCATCCATCCATGGCCAGATGTGTCTGATGCTCAAGCGATGAGGCAAGCACCGCCACGTCTTCAGGGCCACCATCCTGCACGTAACACATTCCTGTGATTCAACAGGCCTCAGCACGACATGGGTTCGCTCCTCATCAGAAGACTCCGACTCCGCTTCTTGCTCCTCCTCCCCCTTCTTGCCTGTGAGTACTTCAGCACTGTTGCCACCAAAGCATGTCTGGCACACGTGACATCTGAAGCACGGCAGGCTGTCACTTCCTGGCCTCTCTTTCGCCTTTTGGCATGTGCATTGACACAGTGACTGTGGCGATGGAACTGAAAAAGATCCGGACCGACTTCGCTTCTGCAACTCCTTCTTTTTTTCCATCTTCTCCTTCGCCCTCGGCTGCGCTTATCGGCAGCGCATGATTCGCGTCTTGTTGGCCCCGATGTGATTTGTCCATCGGGATTGGGGAGGGCGCCTCTGGACTTTCTCCTGCTCGCGCTTGGCTCGCTGCTCCTCCTAGGTAGGTCAGACAGGATGTTGTGCCGAAGGCACAAGATCAAGGAACAAGGCATCATGAGGCACTTGCAAAGGAAGTGCGAAGGCAACAAGAATGCTGAACATGCGCGCAGGGTGGTTTTGAAAGCAATAACGCACACGGCCTATGCAATGCGCTTGTGGCACTCCTGACTCTGCAAACACGCCAAGCCAGCAATAATTCTGCGCAGGAGATGGCGCCCTGAGGCTACCCTGAACACAGCCTGCATCAAAGCTCAGAATTCTCGTGGCGCTCGATGCACACCTGTCCACGCAAGTCGAGCGAACCATGAAAGTGTGAGCATGTCGCTGTTTGGAGCTACTGACGGAACATGACTTTGGTTCGGCCTTGGGCCACTCACGAACTTCTGAGTCCTTCCTGCAGGTCGGCCCATGTGCCGGCCACTCAGTCGCAGTCTTGAGGTGGGAAATTTGTGAAGAAGCTAGCTGGGTCAAAAGAAACCGACATGGGCAACTTGAAGCATTCTTGGAGAGCCCTGTCTTGCAAAGGGCGAACATTCCGCCATTGCCGGAGAAGTCCACAACTCCCATGCAGTCGTTGCTTTGTTCCTAAGATTCGTCTGCCATTGAAACACCAATTCCGCCAACTCTAACAACTAAGTCGGGAACGCATTTACTTTTGGCAAGATGAAGGCTGTCCTCTCAGGGCTGATGCCTTCTGATGCAGATATTTGTCCGTGACAGATGCTCCCACACTTCTGCGCTGGGGCAGCCTGGAACTCATGGTACTGGACGCAAGCCAAATCACAATCTCTCGTCCTCCAGCGAGAGCGAACAGTCTGCAGATCGGAAAAATGCATCTGTCTGACAGTGTTGTGCTGCAGCACTGGGAATCAGACCACGATGCTCTGGCGACACCAAGCGACGCAGCTAGGAGGACCGACATGTAGTGTGGCATCGCGGAACAGGTCTTTGTCTCAATCTTTACACATTGAATGCAGCGTTGTCCCTTGCATGCGTGTCTTGCCAGAAGCCGCTAGAAGCTTCAAGCTCGAGCCTGTATGCTTTCAGCGACAGCATGCTTCCACTTTGCCAGATACTTCTGCAAGCAGTCAGTCAACGCCCAGAAATCTCACAAGCACCTCCGGATCCACCCGCTCGATATGCTCTATGTCATTTGCGAACCTGATCCTTGAGACCGCGAAGAAGCGAAGAAGCATTGAGGAGTCTGAGGTTCGGTGTGAGGTAAGGTGCGGACTTCAACTCTCCCAAAGAATCCCGAACAGCCAGTCGAACAGCTGCCTGTGCTGTTGCGGCGCCGCTAGCCGGCGCACCCCAAGATGAGCTGAACATGGGGGGGAATGAAGTGAACTTGGCCTCTGATGACTCTCCGAGCTTGTTGAGAACTCTTGTCATGGGCACGATATCATCATCAGTTTCCATGACCTCACAATGCAAGACACTCAAGAAAGTTAGGAACAATACAAGTACACCAAAAGATCCCAAACCACACCACAGCTTTGAGACGGCAGCATCCATAACTTTTTGAACCAGGGTTTTCTCCACCTGAGCCGGTTGTAAGAGGCTTGTGCTGCGCAGAGTGATTGGAAACTTGAAGGAAACACTAAATAATGCAAGGCCCGCACCCACAAGTCATCATCCACGACGAATCGTTTACTCCTAGTTCGTTTCAGCATGTCACTCACCAGCAGCGATAGCATGAGGTGCTCAAGCTGCACGCATCAGAGGTCGAGAATGCATTTCGTCATAGCGCTGTTGGGTGTTGTCTTTAATATTTTCTGCCTCCGGTTTGCTGACCCCGCTTTCCGGTGCTTCTCTTTTGCCCGACATTCTAGGCCTTCTTTTCGTGACTTCGCTGCGACTAACTTAGTATTTCATAGCTTCGGCACTTAACACGTTCCTTTAAATGGGGGCTTTAAGGGCATAAGAAGTGCCCTCCAATGCCACTCCATTGAACACCTCTCCGGCTGGCATTGGGGCTGTTAGGGGCGTTCTGCAGGCGTACTGCACTAAGTGCGGTTTGAGTACGTACTGCCCGCACCATGTTGCCAAATGTTCTCACCCTCTGGCTTGAGGGCCAATCGGACCACTAATCTTCTCCGGCCTCCGCGAAGAAGCCCAGGCAAAAACAGAGCGAGAAGGCCCAATGCGACGATAAAGAACGGACATCCCAGAATTAAACAAAGAAAGGCTTTGCTTCAAGATCAAACGACAACATTCTTGCTCGGTACAACGTTCAAGAAAGGCGTTCCCATTGAAAGCAAGACCTCCAAATTTTCTGTGCAAAGGAAAGATGTCCATCCGAGCGCTGAAACCTCTTTCTTCTCCATTCCCCAATTGGCGTCTTGATCGTCGACAACAGCTTCGTCCCCCAACGCGCGCCGGCCGAAAGAGCCCGCCACTGGACACCAGTACTGCCGAGACGTACAACAGTCAGTAACAAGGGGCTATTGCGGTTGGAGCACGACGAAGACTAGCAGCGGAACTCACGATACATTCGTTGAGGATCTCGGGCCTGCGACACGGCCTTGAGAGCAACCCCGTCGATAAGCTGCCCTACATCAGAAAATCCTTGACACTTAACTGTGCTAGGAAGTGAGTTTCCACGTTGACGAAGACTGGGACCCAGCTTCGACAGATGCCCTTTGCGGTCGAACTGTCTTAGGACGTCCTGCATGCAGCAAACTAGCAGGTAACTAACATGAAGAGGGAAGGTGACCACAAAACACCTTTCCTGAACTGTTCATGCTCAAAAGTTCGAAGCACGCCTCGAACATGGCTCTATGCTTGTCATCGCCTGAGGCACCAGCTGCTCCAGCGCAAAGCGCAGTTCGTTTGGGTCCTGCATGAAGATCATGAAGGAAGACGGTCATCTGCAAAGACGAAGCGATTCAGCGACGGTCCGCGGAGACAACTCACGGAAGCCGTGGCAAGTCCTCGCCGATAGCAAGCTCTGCCAGCGAGCACTCCTGCAGAACGGACGCTGCCAGCCGCGCTCGTGACGAAGTTCGTTGGGAGCGCGCTGCGATCGCTGCGTCTCCTCCAACCCCATTTCCATGAGCCGCTCCGCAGCGGCCTCGGCAGATTTCGGCAGCTTGTGCCGGGGCTTTTCCGGGCTCTTCGAAGATGGAAAGCATCCAGAGACTGCTTTTCTTCCGCATTGGGCTTAACTTCGAGAGTCCTGCCGCTTCTGCGTTATATTATGCGATATATTATGTTTATTCTTAATATTCTTCTCCCTATTCCTATGCTGATTTTTTCTTATTCTCATTCTTATTCTTATTCTTATTCTTATTCTTATTCTTATTCTTATTCTTATTTTGATTATTTATATATATACACACATTAATCACATAAATCCATATATATATTTATATATACGCACATGCACACATGTGTACCTTCGGCCGAGCCTTCCGAAGTGCTCACCAGAATACGCCAACTATGTCTTGAAAATCGCGCCTTGGACTTGGCCCGGTAGGTGACATTCGCATCTTCCAGGGCTGCCTCCGGGACTAGTGCAGGGTCAAGCCGTACACCCCTCCTGTACAGCAGCCATGTAGACCTATCTTTTCTAACTTTAAGAGTAATGGTTTGTCGCAGACGTTGGGGCCATGGACCGGGGTACGGGGCAAAGGAGGGGGCATGTACTACAAGGCACGTAATGCAGTGTACAGGGTACGGTTGATGCCGTTTCCGGTACCCCGTAATGTTGCACTCGCTTTAGTGCGAGGGGGCACTATTATGCGATGTTCCGAAAATCCCATAGGGGACCCCCCATTGTTTAGGGTGGTCCTCAATTATGCGATGTTTGCCCGGCCGGGGTTGAAGGGCGGGGGGCCGGGGAGCCAAAAACCAAAAAATGTTTTGAATAAGAACCTCCGGAGTTTTTGGGTGTCCAGCCTTATTTAAATTCCTGTTAAAATTTCATTACGAAACAGGCCCCCAAAACAATTTTCCAAGGGAGTAGCCCACGAGCTGCCCTGATTCGCTTTAGCAAGTTGTTTCGGTGGTCCACATTTATGGGGAGCCCCGGCGACCGTGGAGCTACAAAGCCTGGAAAGCTTAGACCCTCAAGCTTCAAGGCTTCCCCTCAACCCTCGACCCCTAGCCGCCCTACCCCCAGCCCCGTCCCAGCCCCAGCCCACAGTATTCAGGATCCCCGAAAACCCCAAAATGGGGGGGGGGGGGGCGGGGGCCCTGCGCACTAAAGCGAGTCCTACATTACCCCGTACCCCGTACCCCGTACCCTGTATACCCGTACCCCGTATACCCCGTACCCCATACTCCGTACCCCGTACCACCTGCCGTACCCGCCGTACCCCGTACCCGTACCCACCGCACCCCGCACCCGCACCCTTTGTACTCCGCACTCGTGCCCCTAGCAGCGGCCCATGAGCCGCTATTAGCAACCCAGAAGCCACTATAGGTACGGGTACGGGGTACGGTACGGGTACGTGGGTACGGGTACGGGGTACCGTATACCCCGTACCGTACCGGCACCGTACCCGCACCCACCCGCGTAGCGTTCCCATGCCGCCCCTTCACACGGCATCAGAACAGAAACCTATGCTTTCATTACTCTTAAAGTTAGCTAACACCTGCACATCCATGCACCTGCCTCCTCAAGACGCTTGTTCCGCTTTCCTCCTTTTCCAACCGAGAAGATCTCAGCCGGCTCCTCAAGCCAGGGCAGGGCAGGGTTTTGGAACGCGCGCTGCCACAGAAGCAGGGGCAGTTGATAGTAGCTTCTCACAGTCGAATCCTCCACCGTGGCACCAAGAGGCTCGTGAAGAGAGAGGAGTGGCTCGAATTCCATGCGCTGCCAAGACAATCACAACTTGGTGAAGCATCAGATATCCTAACCCTGAAGCGTCTGGGAGCACCCTTCTTGAAACAGACATGTCGGCTGTGCCACAATGATCTTCTTTCTCCTGCGAGCCTCATCTCTCTTGGTAGCTGCCTGCATGCCATACAAATGGCATTAAGCCCCCATCATACGGAACTTCAAAGAGCTCTTCGCACTCGTCGCCTCTTCTTCGGGATCAAAGCCATCCTCACTATCCGATCCGGCTGCCTGCCAGAACGTGCTGTGGAATCGAATCAGGCTCAGGAGCGTGGCACCATGGTCTGCTGGACCTCTCTGTGGGACCCTTCGTGCTGGGAGGCTTTGTCCTCAAAAGGTTGACACTATCTCAATATCCCAACATCTCAAGGCAAGGAAGGCGAGGTCCTCGTGTATTTCATCCTCTGCTTCCACTTCGGCACGAACCACTTCCTTCTCCTCTCCATGAGAGGAACCCCGTTAGCTCTCGAGTAGCTTGCAAACCCACGTCCAGTCTACAGTAATCCATGGCCCCCAACAGACTAGTGGAGCTACCATGAGAAATCGCCGGGACAGAATGTCTGGCGCCTCCTCCATCTGGCTGACAGAAGAGTCCGACCTCAAAACGTGAAATGACCACACTGACAAACGGTAGTGGAAGTCTGCAGAAGCGCAGTTCGCAAGCCAGGTCCCGCTCCCCTGGTCGTCGCTATCGATGCTCACGGCCAAGTCACGGTCCTCTCCCCTGGAGAGCGCTTCGGCACTTTCAGTCACAGAAAACACTTTCACTCTCTTTCTGTGTGCACGTCGACGTCGAAAGTGCGAGCGGCCCTGGGGCTTGGGCGTGGCTTGCGACTTTTTCTTGACAGTCACGGCTCCGTGCCTAGGATGATTATCCGAGCAGCCTCATCTTCTTTAATGCTTTTTTGGGGCTCGATGACTGGCTCATGTCAAACAGCTGGGATCCTCACCCGATAAGTTCAGGTCTCCATTTTCCCAAAGCCTTCAGACATCTAGAGAAGGTGTCTGGAAGGGAGAGGCCGCCATCAGCACACTTCAAGTTGGATGCAACCTTCTGTTCCGCAGCTTCCTCCTCCTCATCGTCATTGCGTCCTGTATCAAAATAAGCCAGCGTTGCATGGCAGCACTCGGCCTTGTAGACTTGTAGCTCCTCCGAAGATGCCGTTACCCATCTTGTGACATGCAACACCTGGCGTACCAATGGCATAACAGTCCCGCCGAGCATGTGATTCAGCAACACTCAGCAAGAATAACCCCCTAGGCTGAGCAGCACGCTCGAGCGCACCGGCCACCCCCATCACTTGCGCCAGGTGGAATGCGAAGCAAACATCTTATGAACGAAGTAGAAGTGAAGTAGAGGAAGTCTGTGCATCAGACATGCTTTGCTGCTTTGCTGAGCGAAGATGTTACTGATTTGTTCCCTGCCAACCACACAGCACCTCCTTGTTTGACTTTCCATGTAGAGCCAACTGACAGTCTCAACGTGCTCTATCAAGCTCACAGAAAATTGTAGCCACCCAACGCTGCAGAGCTCGAGTCAGAGGTGTCAATCATGCCTCTTTCCTCGGCAGACACGGCGAGACCTCCAGGAAAGGACCTCATGCTCGAGTGCCGATTGGCCTGCACCGGCTGCAGCGAAGCACCAGCGAAGCACCAGCGAAGCACCAGCGAAGCACCACAGCATCATAAGCTTCGGCTGGGATGACTGGGATGGCTATAGTCTCTCATGCTCAGAAGCATAATGGCATGATGAATGCAGTCTGGACTGGCAAAGGAAGCCTTCAGGTCGCTCACTTGCCTGGGCGCTTGCTCGGACACAGCCAACGTACATGCCATCTAAGCACATCTAATGCACATCTAATGCCAGCTCAGCTGCCTTTGGCTTTTCTGTTACTGCGTCTTGAGGGTCCACTTGCATCTTTGGAGACCTGGCTCGCACGCATGTGCCTCGCTACACTTCCAGTTCGCATTGCAGTGAAAGCATGTGAAGATGCACAGTGGAGATTTCAAGCCAACTCGCACAATTGGCCTCCACTTGGGCTGTTGATGGACCCTGCTTGCGGAAGTCCTCCGTCGTGATTGCCCTTGGCTGCTACGGCATCGGCGCCAGACCCATAGCAGAGATGGCAGACTGGCCCTGGGCTGAAGAAACACTCTCCCTGCTCATGTTCGAGGCTTCTGCCCCTGCGGGCCCCGAAGCAAGTGCTTATCTCTCTTGCGCATCTTCTTCCTGTCATCACGTCATCGCATTGTTCATTGTTGAGCCGGCACAGGGAGACACTCTCAGCAATCGAGGCGGCGCCGCTTGAATTCTGACCGCTCCCGCTTTGGAAGCCATCTGTTCAAATGCGGTGGTTCGTCCCAATGACTTTCCAAAGTTTACGAAGTTTACGAGAGCTGCCTTTCAGGATCTGGAGGAGGTCCAGGGTTCTCCGGGTCGAAGCCTTTCGGGTAGCGGATCTTTCGCCTGGTGCTCCCAAACAATACATTGATATTCTGTACCCACAAGGGGAAACATGCGTAAAGATTCGTCGTTCATCCGCTTGAAGGCTTCCGGCTTCCGCTTCTTCTTCACTCTCACAGGCTTCCCATCTGCCTGCACACCGGAGCTTTCTTGAACAAAATGCAAGCCCATCGGAGTGACATTCCACCTCCTCTTCCCTGTCTCGCCGACGCTGCGAGAACCTGAGAATACATGTCTGCACAAAGACTAGAAGCACTGCGGCTGAAAAAGCTTGAAGAAAACAATATCAGGTTGCAGCATTGCACCAACCTTTGGTATGGGTTGCGCTTCCAGCTCCTTCAGACAACACCGACTACAAGGTATGTAATCATCTTCAACAGCCTGCACTGATGGCTTCATGGGTCCTCCGCATCGAGGTGATCGAAAGATGGCACCTGCAATCGTTCGGCGTACCTTCCAGCTATGCTCTGCAATCTTTAATTCTGCGGTGGCAATCATTCAAAACAACATCGGTGCATCACTTAAAAGTACGCGGCAAAAGGATAAGCAAGCAGCAAGCCCAGCAGAAGCGGTGCATGCGCAGGAACATACCCGGCGCACTCGGTGGCCCTCTCAGGATCCGTCACTGCCAAAGCCTCCCACTACCACAAAGCTGCGCAAAGCATTTCTATTCAAAACCAGCATTTTCCAGGTGGCGCTTGCCTGCACGAGGCCACAAAGCGCTTCGTAGTCGGATCCGTCAATGTTCTCCAGATAGCTCTGGTACACCTTCAATGCGCCAGCTCACGGTCCCACATGCCTCAATTGCCCCATGATTCACAGATGCAGCAGCTCCAGCTTTCAGCATACGTCGGCGTGCACGGCAGGTGGTTTGTACATGTTCGTATGGCTGGCAGTGAACTCTGCGGACGTCGGATCGCTTGTTGTGATCCCGCAGGGTTCCTAATTCACAAAATCCTTGGCTGCTGTGCAGGTTGCTGTCAAAGGCCAGCAATGCACAGCAGCAGCTCACTTTGGAGCTGCAATGGAGTCAGTCAAACTGCCCTTCGCATCACTTCGCAACCACGGCTTTGCGACGAAGTCCAGCACTGTCCATTCCTGCCAGATCAGCAAAATCTATCGAAACTTGTAGAAGAAACGTCACCAGTGTAAAGAAGGGTTGTTTGCTGCTAACCCAAAGGTCCGCAAGTTATCTTGCCGCAAAGTTGAAGGCCCTAAGCGTACCGTGCAATCCCGGTAACGTTTCCGAAAGATGAAGTGAGAGGAGGGTCATATGTGAACAGCACTTGGACATCGTTTGGATGCTCACAAAAGCATCGGAACCGGCCATATGTTGCCACAGCAGGATGAGATGCACTGCTCAAGCCGAACCCCTGGGTTTGGTTCTGAGTTGGAGTGGGGTGACTTTGGCTTTAAGCTCCCTTTCGGGACTGCCCAGGATTCCCAGCGATGGCCTCTGCCCCCTGCAATTCTGGTGCAGCAGACAGAGCACTAGCCAAAGAAACAGAAAACGTTGTACATACACATTCTTGTGTTGCATCCTCTTTCATCCACAGAGTGCTGGGCAGCTTGAAAACATTCTGAGCGCTTCCAGGATTTTCTGAGCACAGCTGTTTCATGCTGTTCGATACTGCTCCAGCAGCACTGCGTTTGTAGAAAACATCTTGTCATGCTTGCTGTCGGGATTTTCCAAACACGTGTGCGATGCAGGTACAAGCTGTTCATGGGTCCCCAACTAGATACCACTCACACACTTCGCTGCAGCAAGTTTCCGAAGAATATCCCTTGCGCTCAACACAACGAGAGACTCCTTCAATTCTGGACTGCTAATCTGCCAGCAAGACTCACACCCGGCCCTGAACGATTGCAAGAACAAGGGAACAGGCATCAACAAGAACTCACCCAAGCAAAGAGGGATGGGTGAGAACAGCATAGAACAGCACAATGGCTATGGCTCTTCTCTCCTTCGTGGAACACGCGCTCGGCATCCTTCTCGCCGAGAAAGTGCAGTAAGTCCTGAAGCAAGACCAACAGCTGCTCATGACCGGAGGGTGCTGATGGCAGATGCCTGCACCGGCAAATCCACCCTGTCAGCAACCTGCAAGTCTCCACGAGGCAAGGCGGCAAGGCCATAGCAAGACGGTGCAAGACGGGATGCTAACGAATACCAACGAGCCTGCGCCAGAACTCGCCGAAAACCTTCCAGATCAACAGCTTTGCCTTCGCCGCCTCCCGGACATGCGGCGGAGCAGACGGGAGCAGGCGGGCCCGGGCGCACGAGGCATCAGGGCCTTTGTCAAAGAAAAACTGCACGTCACCTTCCACGAACCTTGCAGCGCTCTTGTATTGAAATCATGGTGTCTCGGCAATGCGCTCACCCCTGTGGCCTGCCCGGCCGGATCTTGAAAAGCCCGAAGGCCCTACAAAATCGAGTGAACTCGTAGACCGTCATGAAGCCTTGACAAGAGTCGACACAGAAAGCGAGCAAAGCGAGCGTTAGGAAGCCGAATGGAGTAATGGAGAACTATCTGCTCAGGCATCGAGCCGACCTGCCGAAGTCGCATGGGCGAACTCTTCGAAGTAGAACTCCAGCCTCGTCCTTCTCTGGTCACTTTGATTCCATGCAAAAGGACATACAGAAGCCCGATTACATCGATTTACATCCTCTCGTTTGGATGATGAACGAGCTTCGTGATGCACTCTGAATAGCTGATGCCCTTAGCACATGGCAATTGACTCACATGAAGGGTCACAAAAGCCCGTGGATGCACGAAAGGCGCCCCACCTTGTGTCGGGCTATCCAATGGATGATGGCCTGAACTTCCGTGGAATTTGCTACAGCATGCCGGCCTACACAGGAGGCGCCTGAAACTGAATCGCACTGACTGTTCTGCTGCGTCGGCCAGCGACGTTGCAGATCGCATTCACCTTGCAGAGTGAGTGGGTCATGGCTGCTGCTTAGCTGCTTTGACTCCACAGAAGGGTGCCTCATGACCTGATAGGATTTTCTGCACAAAGTTGAGCACCTGCTGCGAAAACAGATCGTTCATTCGCAGGCCACGCAAGTCGCCATGCGGTCGAGCTCATGGCCTCCCCATGCGTCAGGGCCTGCCATGCCAATGCACCAGGCCACTTTGAATCGTACCAAGACCCGCCGCTTTCACCCTGATAATCTGTTCTGAGTGGGTTTCCAAAAACAGCCAAGCCACTGTGTCAGCGTAGATATCTGTGCGGCGAAGCCAGGCGATGATCTTGGGCACAGCTAGGGCACGACTGCTGGGGCTACCCTGGCAATTGAGGGCCGAACTGAAGCAACACTGAGCTCCTTGGCTTTACCATGTTCTTGCAGGCCCGTGTTCCAGTGCGCATCAGGAACTAAGCTTTGGACTGTGTCCGCTTCAGAATCATCCAGATTGCCGATCCACCTGAATCAATACAGCAAAGAAACACAAGCACGTGACCGATTCACAGCGACAGCTACTTGCGATGAGCCTCTCTTCGAGTAGGCTCTTGCCTTTAAAGGCTGCCCGGATGGTCCTTACAAAGCTGATGGCAGTGTCGGATGCATTCCCGCAGCAGGCCGGTCTGGACCCTCTAGGCTCATCACTCCCGAGAAGTGATGCGATTCGCCACAACCTTTCCGCATCTTGCCACACTGGGCTCGTGCAGTCAAGCTCTTGGCAGAGGCATCTCGCAATCAACAGTGACGGGTGTTTGATCTTAAGTTCTTGATAGGCAGCTATTCGATTCCGATGTCGTCGCCGCCGATGCAAGGTATCGTCCGAAGGTACCCTGAAGCGCCAGAACCACTTGCAAATGCTTGCACATAGTTGTACCATGTTGCACCCACTCACATCCGCTCACACCGGCTCCCCGGCTCCCGCCGATCCTCGCTATCCATGACTCCGTTGTCTTGGTGTAGTCCTCAGTCTGCGAAGCTCTAAGAGGCTGACGTAAGCTGACATTACATTAGCACATTCATGCTTCTAAAGATTCCGAGAATGCGACGCTCTCCACGTCCAGCTTCTTGTGCTTGAGGCGTGGCGGGGGGGTCGTCGGCTTGGCCGAGGCCTGGAAGGCCTCTCTGGGACCCGCTCCCAGTGCTGTGCCCTCTTCTCGCTCTCGTTCTCGAAGTGGCCCGACTTCGTGCTGCAAATGCTCCGCAGCTTCCTCTCTGTCACGGCGATGAGGAACAGAGGGTCCTCTGCGACAGAGCCTTCTGCGCCTTACCTCTGATGACTGCAGTATGGAGGCGTTGGGCACTCGGGCCGTTTTGGAACTCACCAGACCGACCGAATGCGCCTCCGCAAGGGTCAGCTCTGGAGGAGGGCGGATCGGTCTCGCCGGTCTCGCGCTGGCAGGCTTTGAAGGCTTTGGCTTTGACCGAGGCGCGCAGCGTTGAGCAGGCCATGCTGGAGAGCTGTCCCGGCTGTCCCTCACCTCGCGCGTCCTAAGTCAAGTGACGGTCAAACGAGTCAAATAGCTACAAGTCGGTGTAATTTGACGTCGGTTCGGATGAAAAATGTCTGCAAGCGAGCATCGCATCGTTGCCTTCATGCACCCGACGTTCAGGACACACCCGCGCCGGTTCGGCATCAGGAGCCACTGCGCCAAAAATCTCATCGTCTTCTGATGCGCAGGATGGAGCAAGAGCGGCTGCAACCAGATCTGCCAAGGTCGTCGCTGCAGTCTCACCCGGCGTCATACAACCTCACTCTCTTGCGAAGTCAATACACACGGAGACATCATGGGACTGATTGCTCAGTGAACCTGAGGCCTCAACCGGCAGCTCAGCTACCCGCATGCACCAGAGATGTGAGTCATGTCTAGATGAGAATACGAAAAGAAAAACTATCAGCGTTCTGTCTGTTGGACATTAAGTCTGGTGGCTGCGCAAACATACCATGACATGCCCCATGGCAGTCCCTCTATTCGTTGCAGCACTTTTGCGGCTCATGGCACACAATCTCGTGTTGTCCGCGGCATATCGCAAGGACAAATGGCTGCCAAAGCTGCACCAAGCGCGCTCCACACCACAGAAGCTCCGGAAACTCAAGCAACTCTCAAGCATGGCAATCTGCTCCACGCCTCAGCTGCAAAGGCTCTGTCCTTCAGCTGCATCGCCAGCCTTGCGGCTATTCGAACCACCTCGCGGAGGCATCTGCACAGAATGAACCAGAAGGACGGGCAAGGCGAGTAAGCGATCCACCAAGCCCGTGCTTGACAGTTAGGGTGGGGCTCGACAATTTCGGCCAAGCATTGTGTTCACAGCTGGACGGTTTCTTCACCGTGCTTTTGAAAGGCGATCCCAGCATGACGTGCACCAACAAATGCACTCCGGGTCATGCATGGAGCTTTCAAAGGGATGTCTCCACAAGACGCAAATTCTTCCTCAACTTAGCGGCATGCACATTAAGATGCCCATGGGCATGCTTCGACTGCGGAGACCTCACGTCACCGAGCTATCCGCTGTCCGCAACATTTCTGAAACATGTTCCTGCTCCACGGGTACCGTATGTTTCTTGCAGCGATCAGAACTAAACCTGCACATGAATTGTGGGCATTGATGGCGGGCAAGTGCCAATCAAAAGTGGCAGGCAGGTTGTAGCACCGCACAATCGGCCTGAGCCAGAGTTTCTGACTCCTCTTCCTGCGAAGACCAGTACTTGATGGCCTTGAAGCAGAGCATTCATAGGGTCCAGACCGGCTTACTATAGCTCCAAGTCTTGGATCCCATCGCGAATGTAATCCGCCCCCAGCCAGGACCGGGTGAAGCACTTCCTTTTCGAGTTTCGACTCCCAAGCCATCATCGCCCCTGCCAGTCCCTGTCCCGCTAACCCCCGCCCGTCCTGGCCCCAAGCCCACCCTTCAGCTTTACCCCCGCCTTAGATAGTTGCAGCTGCCCGAGGGTTCGTCGCACGCCGTGGAACGAGCCCCTAGCTTCAGCCACCCACAAGGTGGCAGCCCGTGCCACCGACGCATGGATCTCTGGACCGTCGCGCGTTGAGTGTGATATGCGGGCGCCGCAAGGAGGCCTTGAGCAGCCGGGCGCGGAAGTGCGGAAAACGGGGTAAATACTGTTGGTTATTGGCTGTTTCGAATTTCTGGGTGCACCATTCTTCGAACCCAAAGTGAACATCATCGGCGCAGATGGCTTGATGGTCGTCTCCTAGATCCCCCCTTCCCCCGTTGCGTGGTGTAAATGCCGTGTTTATCGTTTTTCAGCCGGGGTCTAGCGGGGGGAGGAGGTCGATGCGAATTTGAAAACCAGAACGCCCGAATGAGAAACCAGAACGGCAAAATTGGAAACCAGAGCTGAATCGGAGAGGGCTGATTCGGAAACCGGGAAGGGGGCGGGTTTCTCATGCTCTGGCTTCCAGGACACGATTACACCCCCCTCCCTCCCGCCCCCTCGCCCTGGTTTCTGATGCGCTGGGAGTTGGGGTGACGAGATGTGGCTTTCGACCAGTCACGGACCAGTTGGGCTGCGGACGCTGTGTCTTTGCATATCTCTGCGCCCTCTGTTCAGCTGTTTTTGGCGGTTGTTGTGCCTCCCTTTCGAGGTTCTACAAGAAACTGAGGACAAAGCGACAAAAATCTGGTACGAGAACAGCACTTGGCCGCCTTAACCCCGCAATGAAAAGAACTCGAAATCCGCGTGGATTAGGGTACCCCTTAGTAGGGTGCTTTTACGGGACCCCACTTGTGTTGTTCGTTCGGTCTTGGCTGTCATCTGGGCTGCGAGCACCAGCAAGGTCGGCTGGGGGGTGGGTAACGGGTAGGAGTGCCGGCGAATGCCGCTAAGAGACATCGGTGTCACCTTCACTGGCACCTGCTATCATCGGATTAACTCTGTAACGCTCCGTAGGTGGCGAGCTTCTCTTAGGCAGGCCACTGCCTTGTCAGGGTTCTTTTGCCTGGCGCTGCAAAACAGCAACCGCACTTCCTCAGCGGATGCTGCATGGCCTCTGATGGAGATTCACAATCGCCTCCACTGTTGTTGGCTGCGTGCGGCCTTGATCAGGCCCGTCTGACAAGGCATTTCGGACAGCTGCGGATGGTACTTGGGCAATTGCTGCTGAGAGGGAGCTTCGCAAGCACCTCAGAAAGCTCCAACTTCCCGGGGGCCCAAAGAACAGACCTCAAGCTTGCTGGGCCTCGACAGCCAAATCGTGCTTCTGCTGGTGGGTGTAAAGCTGCACCAAAGGCAACACGACCTCTGCACAAAGCCGAACACAACCTGCACTAAGTCTCTGTCTTGCCAGCGGGCCTCCTGGTCGTCTGCATGCGACGCAATGTATCCTTGAAGGATTTCCTCACCTTGGCCATCCTTCCCTGAATGTGCTGGCCACCCCATGAGTACTCACAGCTTGGGTGTACTGACGGTTTAGGTCCGCATGACCAGCGCACAACCAAAAAAAGATGACTCCCCCCCCCCACATCCCCGACCTCTGGCATGGGCGCTTTTCCATGCCCATGTTGCAGGCAGATAACTCCCAACAAGGGGAGCTCATCGAGTCATCGGGTTTTGCATGCATCGCCCGGGCCCCCCCCTCCGGCCCTGTGAGGTGATTTAGGAACGGGAGGAACCATGCACACACATGCATCGCACACAAGCATGCACAGGTATGCCATAGCCCGGCAATCTAAGCGTCAGGCAGACTTTGCCTTTCTTCTCTCTGTGAGCAATAGCTGCCTGGTCTCATGAGATATGGAGGCGGCAAGAAAGCACATCTGCAACCTGCAAGCAGTGAAACAAAGGTCCCTACCTGCACCAAGACCACCCTGGGATGGTCAGGGTAGCTTTCACCTCGGAAACTTCACACAAGTCACACACACACACACCATCCTACCCCGAAAACTAAGCAGGACGGAGCTTGCCGACAACTATGTCATGCTCCCCACTCATTGGCCGAAACCCTGATCGTACCTCACACCTGACGACTACCAACAGAATCGTAGCGAGGCCAGGTTTGTCTAGAGCTCTCGGCTCCAGAGCCTCAACTTCGCTTCATCTGCATCAGAAATCAAAATCAAATCCAGGCCCTTCTGTGATATTCTGCGAGTCCATATCCGAAACGGGCCAATTTGCTAGCAGCCTTCCGCGTATCCAAGCACACCTCTGGTTCCTCTTGTTACTGGTACTGTGTGTGCTGTTCGACTTCGGCTCGCGAGTGCACGGTGGCTGAGGGGTGTTTGACGCGAAAAACCCCCCAGAAACCAAGCTCGAAGCGCAGCTTTTCAAGCTCTTTCTTGGCAACATCCACCTTCTGCGCCTCCAAAACCACTGAGCATGCAATCTTACCATGGCGAAGCAACTGCACTTTGGGGCCTGGAGCAACAGCAACACCTTGTTGCATGCAATCTCTACCGTTTGTCTGCGAGTCTGCTTGTGCTCCAAGCTTTCCTGCCAAGAGGTCCAAACGCCCAAACACTTCTCCAAACTTGTGGCATCCACATCCTGCGGTCCTTCGAAGCTACGTTGATGCGCTTCAGGCTGTCAAACAAGGACTTGCCCTCAGAACCTCACGCTGCTGCATTTGGAAGCGCGACATGTCGGAGCATGATTGGAAGGTGGGCTGGGAGCAGAACGCAAGGCAACAACGTTGTTGCATGCAACTGCAAGAACAGTCACATCTACCTGCGTGAGCCGGGCTTGACAGTTTTCGCACACATGGCCCGCACCAAGTGTCTGGGATTGGGCCTCATGACCTTGGTTCGGCTTTTGTCGCAGAACTTTGTCATACCTTGGGTCAGTCTGTGCCTTCCCCGATTGCCCACATGACCACATGCTGGGAAGCCTCACATTGAAAGATTTCATCAGGAGCAGACACTTCTTTGGCCTCCTCTTCCTGGCCACGGCGCTGCATCACGCACCTCAGAAGGTTTACAAGTTATCCACCTGCAAACATGGATCTGCCGTGGTCCTCTCTGAGCCTCCAGCGCTTGCTGCACACGAATTGCGGCAAGCTCTTCATGGTCCTGCGCGGCACGTAGATCCACATCCAGATACTTTTGTTATGCGTATGCTCGCTGTTGTTCGGGCGCTTCACGACCTCATCGAACCAAGGTGAAATCTCAAGGTCCAATACTTTGGGTTCCGTTTCTTCTGCTGGGGCATGGGTAAGTTTCTGTCTCAAAAAACCATATTGGCGTGGGTAGATCCATGTCGAGGGGGTATCATGCACACATGTTGTGCAGCATGCGCGATTGCACCTGGAAGTGTGCAACGAATGTCCATGTCATAGAAATTCATGTATAAAGCACTTCGGAGTCGCCTCCAGCAGGGCTACATCTTCCTCTGCGACTTCCTCGGCCTCCCACAAGCCAGGTGCAGGAGAAAAGCCGACGCCAGAAGCAAAGAAACTAAGGCGGCCTGCACGAGTTCTTCTGTGCAAAGCTCTTTGGCCTGAGTAAGTTTCTCCTGGCAACATAGGAAGATATGTCGGCCCTGACTTGCGGGCCTTGAAGGCCCTACCGTCGCCCCGGCCTCAGCCTCTGTCAGACGACCCTCGTCAATGAGCGCGCACGCGGCATTGAAGCAAAGTTCGTACGACGACTCCAGCGCTTCCTGTGGTTCAGCAAGTTGCACGTGCAAGAAGCATACTTGTTGGAGGGTCTGGCCTTGTTCTTGGCGATCAGACTCATGGCCTGACGGGCACACAAGTAACCGGATTTGGTGCAAACACGCAAGTTGATGTGCTGTGCCTGCCGCGGCTTCTCCCCCGACACGTAGGATGCTACGGCGTTCACTATCAAGCCATGGTCCTCAGCTTGACAGCACCAGTGTCACAGCCATCTTTGCTTCATGCCGGACCTCGGCATCCTCCGCATGGAGCTTCTCATACAATTCCGCACCTTGCATCACTGGAGCTGCAACGGGTGCACCCTGCACCGGGGTTACTAAGATCTGGACAAGCACCATAATCTGCCAATCTGTACTGAATCTGCCAGGCACAAAACCATACAATTTTCAGACCGCCACACTCACAAGATGATTGGGCCTGTGCTTGCAAGCGCAATCTGTTGGACAACTCATCCTTGTCGGTAGTTTTCCTGCGTTACGATCCGCAGCTGTCTCACATCTCTGCTCGCAAGAATGCAAGAAATGCTCGAAGCTTCGAACCTGGAATCCAACACATCCAGGGCTTCCTGGAACCGATTCAGGCGATACCTCAAACCACACAAAGACTTTTCAAAATAACAAAATCTATCGCTCAAAATTGCGATGTGCTGAGGGCACAAGGCGTACGCGTGCTCGAGGGTCAGGTCCTGGCTGGCTTGCGCGTAACCACCCCCCTCGCAGCCCCCTCCTCCTGTCACTCCCAATCCCGCGCTGGCGACCCTTCAAAACCCCCAACATGTCCAACCTTAAACTCTAAAACCTTAGCCCTTCGCCTGAAGCCCCCAAAAAAAACAAACACTAAGCCCTGATCCAAAACCTTTACCTTAAACCCGAAAGTCTAAGAATCCTAGGCCACGGGGAGCCTGCCAAGCCACCAGCAATAACAGCCGACAGGCTGCGACAATCTAGCAGCTGGTCAGACCCTTCACCCTCAAACCTGAACCCAATACCTAGGGCTTCCCAGAAAGCTTCCCAAGCCTCCTGGCCATGACTCAAAGATTAGACACCACCTCGTTGCCCCCGTTCATGGGCTGACGATAGCTACATCCCCCCACGTTAACAAGCACGTCCGATAGCCCCAACAGCAAAATTCGCTCATGCACGCTCAAATGTTGCACTGGGTGCGTTTCTGTCATTTGGAATTGCTTTGTGTTTCGAACCTGATTCAAGGCAACTATTCGAGACGGACTAAGCATTGAGTCTTTGGCTTCTTGGTGTCTCTCATCTGTTCTGGCTCGGGGCAGCAGTAACAGCAGCCTTTAGACAAGCTTGGCTTTCGAGCGCCACAGTGTCAAATGTGTTTTTTCGGAAAAGAGGAAAGGCATCTGACTAGGCTTTGGAAGAATCAGGAAGGCTTGCCTTCTGGCCAAAGCGCTGCGGAAAATGGCACGAAACCGTGCCAAAGGCATTTTCGGAAGTGCGGAAGCTACCTCTGGCTAGGTTTCGGACGAACAATCAGGCCAACCCTGCTTGTCGAAGAGTTCGGGTCACCAAATCAATGTAGGTGCATTTGGAGGGGTTCGTGCCAAGCCTGCTGTTCAAAGCCTTTGAGTAAGAACTTGGCGCCAAACCGTGCCAAATACACTTTTGAAAGCCTGGAACATGCTTTCAGCCAAACTCCGGAATGACATTCGAGCAAAGCTTGCTTTTTGAGTAAAGCCAAGCTGCGAACATGCTTCTGGCTGGTTTCAACTAAAGTAACTAAAGCTTCAAGCCAACCTTGCTTTTCCAATAAAGCTTCTGCTGGAAACCGACACCTTAGCATGTCCAATGCATTTTTCAGTGCTCCCAAAACCTCATGGAGCCACAACCTAATCAACCTGTAAAAGACCACATGAAGGATGTATTGGTGAAGAAAAAGGAGGTGATGATGAGATCGAGGTAGAGATGCCAGAGTGGGACGCACGTTCATTCGGATACGGAGCGCCATCCAGCCGATCTTTTCCCAATTGATGATACTCCCGAAAGCTCTGGAATCCACCTAGGTGAAATCAAGGGGGGCAGGGGGGGCCGTGGGGAGATGCGGGGGTTTTGGGGGGGGGGGGGGGGAGACGGGTGCACCTCCCTTCCTGCCCTTGAAGATTGGAAACTTGACCTCCACCACCCCGCAGCAAGCAACCCCCTGCCACACCCCTGGCAACAATCCACCATACAGAGGCGAATGCCTAGATGAAGTTCTGTTTGAGCATCACGCCACTTCAGTGCACCACTGTGATTACCCAGCCATGGTGAGCGTAGCAGTGATTTGACGATTTGACGACGCGAGTAGGCACTTCTTCCTTACATGCCAGAATGCACGCACCATCGAGTACTACTTGCAGTGTCCCCCCGGCAGGAAGGTTTTTGAGCGACAAAAGGCGCTTGGAGTGGGTCTTTGATTTGGAAGCGGGCGCCTCCAGAGCAGCATGCTTCTCACAGGCCTGAACAGTCACAAATCGCGCAGTCTTCCACACTCCAAGCAGCTTGCAAGGCCTTGAGCACGCTCTCCCACTGAGAGACATTGACGAGAGTGTAGATATAGCTCCTGCAAGCGTTCTGGTACGTGGCAGTGTTCACGCAAAAGACGGATCAAAAGCAAGCCTTGCTCCTTTTTTGCTCGCTTGCTCTTGCTCTGATTTAAAGCGTTGCAACTGATCCAGATTTGCTCGGGCCTGGTCATCGCCTTGCTCAGCTGCCTGGGTCCACAGTTCTGCACATTTCGCGAGATCCTGCGGCACCCTGTCACCACGATAGTACGCCAAACCCAGATTGAATTGTGCAGCAGCATCTCCTGCTGCAGCAGCCCGAGCCCAAACCTCCAACTCTGGAGGTAGACAGACCTCTGCCTTCAGGTGCTCCACCATTGCTATGGATGCACTATCACCTTTCGTCGCAGCTTGCTGGAACAATTCCAAAGCTTTGGCTTTGTCTTGCCCAATGCTGTTCCCCTTGAGTAGAGCCAGGGCAAGAAGGTATGTAGAAGGCACATCCCCAGCATCTGCCCACTCCCTCCAAATGTGCAGATTCTCGCCCAGTAGCTTTGACAAAGCGGCGCCTCCAGCTTCCCAAGCCAAGCGCAAGCCTTGGCGCAGCAATTCTGCTGCCTGGCGTCGTTCCTCTTGCTCATCAAGCTGTAGAGCGGCAGAGACGCCGCGCCAGTATGCTTTGGCATTCTCAAAGTCTACCTCTGCAGCCTGGCGGCAGTCTTGCAGGGCAAGTTTCGGCAAGTTTTGGCAGAGACGGACGTGGCCCCTGTTTGAGCAGAGTTGGCTTACAGCCTTCTTCAAAGGCTCAAAATCTTCTGCCAACCCTTGAAAACTTGAGATGGCCCTGACACCAATCTCTATACCACGGGAGTAGCACTCCACAGCAGCATCTTTGTCATTGGCCTGCAGCTTGGCATTGCCCTGCTCCTTCCACTGCAAAACATCATCAAGACTCATAGCTCGCGTCGCTCGCGTGGGCAGATCTGATCTATGGATGATGGAGCCAAATCAAAATCAGATCGAAGGCCCATGTTTCAAGCTGCTTTGCGAGAGTTTCGGTCGCCCGGCATTTGCATTGATGGACACGGGACAGACAACAACGTTTTGCGGCAACGTGCATGTCTCTGATGTCTGCTTCTGTACGAGCCAGACAGCTAGAGTGCTAGAGCATCTTCGCCTGCCATGCCACTTTCAGCACGGCAGCTCAGCGGTGAGACGGATGGCTGGGGGGTCATCTCACGGTCTGAGATTCAACGTGATGAAGCAGCACCTGACTTTGGAATTCTACAGACAACGCCGCAAGGACCAAGACTTAGAGATTTCGCAGCCTCAATCTTTGCGAGGGCATCAAACAGTGCCGACCCTTTCTGCTTCATGTAGTCAGGGTCAACAGCCTAAGCCCACCATGTGATACAAGGCGCTGCAGCATGGGCGCAGAACTTCGTCGGTAAGCTCTCTGCCCAAGAATCGCCCTGGTCTCTGAAGCCACAAGCCTGTAGAATTTCCACCGCGCCCTGACGAAAAGAAAAATGGTATGCTTGTGGGCGATGACCTGCTGCACCTTCCTGAACTGTCTTATTCCACGTAGCTGCAGCTAACAGATCAGAAATTGGTTGTGAGCGCCTGCACAGTGGACACGCGAGAGCAGAAGGCTTTGTTGTCCTTGTTGATGCGCTGGTACTTTAACTCCTGGCTGGCTTTGGACAATACTAAGGCCATACCACAGGCCACTGCAGATGCACCACAGCTGTTGCAATCAAACTGTCCTGCGGGCTGGAGGCCTTAGAATAAAGCAGAGCTGCGAAACACGGAGCTGTTAGAGAACACTTTAGCCAAAACCTTTGGTGAGCCTGGACAACTCACCTGCGCTCGAAAAACTCAAGAGACTTCTGAGTGTTGCGCAAGATTTCCCACATAGGCTTTCAGTGCTTTCAAGCAACTCAGCAGCTGCATGGGATTTGCCTTCATTGCACGTGTTTATTGCATCTGTCAAGCTTGCAATGGGCCGGCCAACCTGAAAGTGCTGCCGATGCAAGGACGTCAGTGCACCCGAGAGAACCTCGCGCGATGCCTCTCCAAGCGTGGACGTGCCCACACACAAAGTTGTGGACTTATGACTTCGGCAGGCTTTTGGCATCTGCTGCCTGTGCTTTGGACTCCCCTGGCTGGATTTGGGCGTTCGGCACTCCCTCGGCCTGCATGTGCACATCACCACAAGCTGTTACAATCTATCGGCAGTCATAGGACAATGTAGGAAATGCCAGGAAAAGGGATGAAAAACAGTGCTTGTAGGTTCGATGTTCCGTTGCAGCCGACCTCCACACGCTCGGCATACTCGGCATGCTCGCCATGCTCACTCGAGGAGATCTGCGCTGCACGTCGGCCTGAGGGCTGTGGGTTGTTGACTGAGAGTTGCATCTCAAGGCATCTCGCAGGGATTCGCAAGGCATCTCAATTTTGGCCAAGCCGAAGACTCTCCGCAGCTTTGGCGGCCTGTGAGGGCGTTCCCTTCACGCTGATAGCCAGCACAAGCAAGCAAGCACAAGCAAGCCTTGCTGGAGTCGCGATCTTTTGCCGATCCATCTTGTCCTGTAGCTTGGGCATCTTAGGCCAATTTTACCGTGACGGGAACGGAAAAGCAGTGAAAAGCACATCGAAGCTGGCCTGGGAGAGGCCGATGCTCTTCATGGCATGCGGCAGCTGCAGTGGTCGGGACTGCCGCGGGCACCGCCGGGGCCACTGCGGGGGTCGCTACCGGAGCAGCTGCTGGGGGCGTCGTCGGGGCCGCTGCCGGGGGCACTGCTGGGGGAGCTGGGGGTGCTGGCGGTCGCGCCGCCCGGGACATTGTCGGGTTTGACGCCGGCACCGGAGCGGCTACAGCCGTCCTCGAATTACCCACGGGGCCCGCAGAGCCACCTTTGAAAGTCAACGCAGACCCCGACTCCGCAGAACGTTGTGGGCGGGCACCGCTCGCAGAGCTGCCACCTTTGCCTCCTGACAATTAACAGATAGCAACGCGTGCACAGACATACGAAACGGAAGCCTTTCGAAACTGAGGTTCTGTCCCACCCGTGGTTTGTCTGGTCGCTGTGGCATGGTCTTGGGCTCCTGCAGCACGACTCTGCGAAACGAGTTTGCTAAGACCAAGCTACGAGAGATCTTACATTTCCAAGTGGGCTCGCCGCAAGACCCCCTTATGCCTCAGGAGCCTAAAACTTTTATCTGTGGTCTATGACGTTGTCTAAATCTTTTTTCACGATTTACACTCCAACGAACACGGGGGGAGGCCCCCCCCCCCCCCCCCACACGCCCGGCCGGCAAGCCCGCGGAGTTCTTGGTGGCTCCCACAACGCCGTCGTCACTGGCAGTGGGAGCCCCGAATCCGCAGCAGAAGGGTTCCTGTCTTTAAAACATTGGGGTTCCAGGCGTCCAGGAGGTGACTCAACATCTTGCGTCTCGTGTTCGCATGCGTCCGCAAGCGTTCGTGAAGCGTCCACAATTGCGAGAATGAGACACGTGGGGTGCATCATCCTCAACTGCCATCACTTTCGGACTTCGTTTGCAAAAGGGAGGATGCACCATGCATACCATGCACTAGCTGTCGTTTTGGAGCTTGGTCAAGTATTCATGATATCAGAGAGGAAGACAGTGAGAAGTTTGGCAGAAGAGATAAATAGACAGGCAGAGAGGCAGGGAAAGAGAGAGAGAGAGAGTGCACTTTGGATGGAAAGAAAATTTTCCAGGACAGCCTCCTGTACGTAGACTCCAGAGGTGGTTGTGTGATTGTCTTGCATGTGTGTTTCTGCTGTTTTCTCGGCCCGAGATCTGCTGGGCCATCCCCGAGAAACAAGGGTGAACTCAGAGGACGGGTGGCTTGTATGCATCATGCATCCGATTAAAGTATTATGTGGTATGGGTACTTTGCTGAGGCCGCGAGGACCTGGTGTCGACAGGAATACAGCTGGTGTCGACTCGAAGACAGGGTTTCGTCCATTACGTGGGAGGCGAGGGGCCAGTGCCGCGGCGATGCGCTGACTTCCTTGCGTGACTGTCGAGCCACGCATGCACGGGGACAAAAACGAATGATCAAAATCCGGGAGGAGAAGCCAGTTAGCCAAGCACTGGGGTGATCCGCCAGTCAAGGAAGGGCGTGAATTGGAGCGTTCCTTCCTGCGCGTACACCTTGACTTCTCGAATGGCCCGAGGTCAGCTTCAAACCCCGGGAAGCCCACTGCACCACGGCAGGCTCACCAGCATAAAACCAACACTTCCAAGCAGGGCTGTGTCTGTGGTTGCATCGCGTGGGGAAAATCAAGCTTGTCTGAGAACACGGGATCTTTCCAGAAAAGCGCCGCCTTGGTGAACGCAGCGGGGGAAGCCGGCCTCAAGGCTTTCTGTCAGCTGTCTGGCGGCTGGGTCCAAAGTCGGCAGGAGGCTTGTTATGACTTCCTGGAGGTAGGCTTGTATGATTTTGGCCAAGGAAGGACCAGAGGAGGCACGCATAGGCGTGCCAGAGGGGCCGCCCCCAGGCCCCAGGAACCCAAAAAACTAGAAGAAGGCACCGAACCACGACAAAAGAGGCCACCAAACCCGAAAGGGAAGCCATTTTGTTGTATTGCTCGAGGGAAAGTCCATCACAGCTTGAGCGATGGCGGTTCGAGATGAAGCTGTCGGCTTACAGAGCAGTGAGCAAGAGGTGCCTCACACATTACGTTAAGGTCCTCGCCACAAATTCCCTGTGTGTCATCGGACAACCATTATTGCCTCTGTATGCTAAGAAGGAAACCGAATTTCCTCCAAATTATCGATTTCCTTTCGATTTTAGCAGCAGAAAAGAGGTGCAAGTGTTCTTCGGAGCACTACTCACTGGCTGAGCTTCCTTGATTCCTGGAGATGATGCCATGGCTCCACCAGCCTTAACATACTTCGCAGGCCGGCAAAAGAAAGAATCCCACGCATGGCCCACACAAGTCTTACATTGCAGCACCGATGCTCGCTTGAGCAAACTGCTCCCCTTCACCTGCAGCCAACTGAAACCATGAGATGAGTGCATATCAGAGCCTCAGAAAAACCCCACAGGTAGACCACGTCTTCTGCACGAGGCGGGGACTGCCCCGTGACTTGCAGCTGGCGGGCTTCTGGTGCTGGCAGAACCTAGCATGGAGAGCTTGATGCGGACCTGATACGCGGGCCCGGCTCCATGTGACAAGGCCTGGAGGAGGCTGCCGAGAGGGCTCCGAACGCCTTGAGATTCATGAATCGCTTCTGCAGCTCGACCCGTAAGACCCTCACGCTGCACTGCACTCACTGCACCTGGGCCCTGCTTGCCGGTGAGAACTCGTACCTGTGTCTCTCGGACTGGAAGATGCTACGAGGGCTAAAGGAATGCCATCCCATGCCGCCTTTGGAGTCTTTTCCTGTCTCTTCAACTGCTGACTGCAGTAAGGCTTTCTCCAGCTCCTCCCTAAAGCTGGCATCCTTGGCACTGCGGCGATGGCTCACGCTCGGTGGCGGCAAGGGAGGACTAAGGCCAAGTCCCCGCGGCTTTGCTCCCTGTACGAGGCCTTCAAGACTACAGAGCCATTGCGCATGATTCCTTGAAACTGCATTCGGCGTAACTTCTGAGATTCTGAACGCTCCGCTGCCCCCGCTGCCTCAATGGCCTTCACCAGCAAGCCCTCTTCCTCTTGGTGGGCACTTGCGTGGGCCTGCCTTCGGGCCTCCTCACAGCATTCGTCCGAGCGTGCCAGATAGAAGCACCCCCTCTTTGGATCTAGCCTCCTCCTGTTCCAACTCCGTCCATGAGGCCTCGATGGCAGAGGCCAAAGCGCCCTGCTCCTGAAAAACGTGCGATTTGCACACCGCGAATTCTAAAATCTGTCAGCCGAGGCAGTATCTCTAGACAAGTTGCCCTAAATTGGCAGAATGCGGTCGAAAGAGGCGCGCCTGCATACTTGAAGTGCACTATCGCAGGCTTCCTCCCGTTTCTTATGGAATCCTGCTGTCTGATCGGGGGAAAATAGCTCTGGTCCATGTAACCCTCCACCTCAAGCATCCATCGAAGCATCTGTGCACTATGTACAACACCAAACCGAATCAAACCTTGCCACCACCAGTCTCAGCCAAAAAACAATGCGTCCTACCCAAAGCCTTTCATGAGTAAGCAGGAGTCCTGCATGTCTTCTAGGCGATGGTGCTCATCACGCGATGCCATGAGAACCCGCCTTTGGCAGGCCAAGTCTTGTGCGGATCCAGAACAAACTCAGAGCAGAACGACGGCCAAGAACCGTAAGCAGCCGACTGCATCTCGTCGTCATGGGTAACAGCATGGGAGCCACTCGAATTCTGAACACCTGGACGGGGCACTTGTGTCGTAGCTACGCTAGCTATAGTATTGCTGCTAAGAATTTGGTCAACAATGGCTGCCCGCCGCCTGCACTTGCATTCAACGCGTCGAAGGCAAGTCCCCATGGTGTCTGGGGAGGGCCACCTGCTCACAAGGGCGTCTGCTCTGTCATGTATATATATATATATATAGAAGTTACAATTGCCGTTGCTGGCACTGAGGCTGCATGGTTTTCCGTTTGAAGGGAAACTTGACTTAGTTTATGAATCAAGTGGAACATAACCAGCAAGCCGCGGCATGTTGATGGTGAAAGCGGAGGGCGTTAATACCGGTCATGGAGGATGAACATGGTAGGTGTGTACAGTGTTCGACCGTGCCATCAACAGCCATTTTTTGAGACGCAACGTACAGGGATTGAATTGATATTGCAAGCCTATGAGATGAGTCGGCTGTCCACATCCAGGGTCCACATGAGGTCAACGAAAGCAGTAAAACAATAGAATCCGCTGCTTGATGTGTGGGACTGCGCGAGCAAAACTGGCTCCCCTGCACAGGTGACTAATCACCTTCTTGCCGGAATACGCGCCAAACAGCAGTTAAAACAGAAACAAGCCGAAAAGCGCAGAAGCCGGACGGGAAAACGTGCAGAGGCCTCCAGCAAGAACTGGAGCGATGGGATATAGACGAGGCGAGAGCCGTGGAATGCCGTGTAAAAGGGCACGCCGGAAATATTTTATCCTTTTTTATCTCCTCCCCAGCCCCGCTGAGCTCGCGTGACATGCAAGGATGAAAGTCGAAGGCACGCGGTTGATGCTTAGAGGAAGAGCAGCAATAAGAACAGTGAAGATCGTCCACGCGCGATCCAAATCATGATAGGCAAATGCCAAAATTGCTGGTTCTGCTGGATTCCTCACATACGTCACCACATGATGGCTTGGCATTCACGACTTGAGCTTAGACCGTTGCAAGGCGTCGCCCTGTATGCCATTGTATCCCCATCTTGGTTACGAGAAATACAATCACCACTTCCGCGGAGACATGAAATATGTATCAATTATGTTGCGCAATCTTGGATCAACATGCAGTGTCAAGTGCTGGTTGGCTGTGTCGAGGCCAATGCCTTTCGGCAACAATTTTGAGCACATGGCAGTGTGCTGAGCTTCCAGCCTAGCAGCGTGTCCCTGCACCATACGACAAGATATCGGACCGCTTCGCTGATAAAATGCTCCAACATATGCGCCTGTATCCAGTTCGCATCGGAGCGCGATAGCCCTCCGCATCCCTGTCGTCCCTGTCATTGCTCATCGTCACTCAACCAAGTGAGATGGAAATCAAAAACATTTCAGGATGCCGCCGCCTCGAAGATGGTGGACACTCGGTGGTCAGCACATTGAGCGCTTCCTGGGCACAACTGCCAGCACTTTGCTAGTGCCCTGGTCAATGCCTGGCGACTCAGTACTGACTTGGTGACTTCAACTGGCTTGGCCTCCAAGTTCCATGCATTAGCTGCAAGCACCTTAGCACCATGACTCTACAATTTCTTTACACCAAGCCTTGAGAGGCACGACCAGCTTGGGCCTCGCGGGCAACTTCCAAGTCAGCAGTCTCACCAAGGGAGTCCAGGAGCCTGGCACAGACTCAAGCTCTGCGCCGCGCCACGAACGGCTGTGCATAGCTGGGGCAGTGCACAAGAAACACACCACGTTCGGCTTTTCGAGTGTCTTCTGAGGAATTGAGGAACTGAAAAAGATTGAGAATGTTCTCTTCTGGTTCACAACTTATCTTTCAGTGCTGCATGCTTCTGCAACGGCACAAGGCATTCAGGGTAAATTACGGGAGTGCCAACAAAGCTTCACAGAAGAAAATACAAAGCTGCACCCAACCCAAGGTCCTGCCAGACAGGACAACGAAGACGTGGTATCATGCAGACGCAGGCAAGATTGCGCACTGACATGGGTTGGCTACAGCGCGAGACGGAAGGCGGTTCATCTTTTTGCGAAGCCACACTCGAGTCCCGAACGAGCCCTCGGCAGCTGCCATTCGGCAGACAGCCAAAGGCTCGACTAGAAATAACTTGCATCTTGCACGCTTGCAGACCTAAACATATGTCCCTGTGTGCACAATGAAACTGAAGACGCAGAGAGTGTCCTACGGCCTTTTGACTGGACACAGAGGGGCGCACAGCACATCCTGCCAAAAGCCACTACTCTGTGAGTGTGCCTTGCTGCATGGAGTCACATGGAAGAGCTCATGTCCTTAAATGCAGCAGTCGTCGAGGCAGCAGTGGAATCGGCCTCGCTTGCCTTAGAAGCCACTTCCACGATGTGACAAGTCAGATAAGTGGCATTCAGCAATGGCTCACTGACGATTGAATGATTTGATGGCGCCTGGGGTCAACTTGGGTTCAAGCTTCCAGGCTGGCAGATTTCCACTGGGAGGTGGATTTGACAAGGTGCACAATGGCCTTCCAAGGCAACAGCTTTACCGGCGTGCATCCTGATCAGCATACGTAATCCACTCACTGTGCCGGGTCCTCTTCAAGATGAACTTGGGTGGATGCCATGTTCTGCTGCAAATCTCGAAACACGTTGCCTCGTCTTCAAGAACAGGCACTGCACAGCCTATGCGACTTGATCTGCAGCTGAGACTGCAGCGAGCGTCGCTGAGCTGGATCTTATCCTTGCGGCCGAGAACGACATGAACTCACGCCCATGTCTCCGAATCAGGAGAAAACAAAGCTACATGGCCTCCTTCATCTGTTGTTGGAACTTCTCAAGCACTTCCTCGTCTTCTTCTGATCCCCGCAGCGCCTCTCCAGCACAAACAGCAAGCAGCCCTTTGAGCTTCTGTGAAAGCAAACTGAGCCTCTTTCATTTGACACAACTGAGTTTCTTGCTACAGCAGCCCTGCTCAAGATAAACAGTGATCCATCTTTCTTCTGCATGCAGCGGCCTTGCTGGACAATCCAGCTTCGGCTTTAATTTTGGCCTTGTTTGGTGCACTTTGCCCTCAAGTCATCCTAAACTAGATCCAGCATGCTCCAACACAAAACTATCCTACGTGTGGTTTCCTTGGAAAAAATTCAGCTTCCAAAAAGTCCTCACAACAGAATGCTCAGCTTGCACTATGGCCGAGTGACTGTATACAGCTGCTCCAGCTCCATCACTTTGACGTGTTGTGCATCATGCCTCCAAACACAACTGATATGGCTTCAAACCCAAGGAAAGCTCCATCTGAAGGAAATCAAGCTGCACCACCTCGGCAACAAATCATCCAGCGTGCTCGAAGCTTTAGCTACAGCTCCGATGGCTCCCAACAGTCTCCTCCTGGCCTGGTCAAAACAATAAACTCTTTCACACCTCTGGCAAACTTCATGGCTGCGTGTTCTCAAGAAATGCTCAGCATACCGCATGCGCAAGGACTGCCGCGCTGTGCTCGGAGGCGTGGCAGGCTCTCTGGCAGCGCTCCGGAAAGGCGACCACCTGCCGACAATGAGATGAAGCTGCCGGCTTCGCTAAAACTATGCTAAAGCTCATGATTCGCCTGTTTCAGGGCATCCACCCCGGGCCGCCACCTTAGCTTCAAAGATTTTGAAAGCATGCAACAGACCCCAACAGAACCCAACAGAACAGAGCTGGCAAACAACAGATGTCATCGAGGCTTCAGCCAGGCAGCCGCTGCAACTCGCCAAGCGGCATCTTTTTGTCGACAACAGCTCCAGCACCAATTGCATCGACAGCACTTTGGGCACTGGGATGTCCCCACGCTGTCTGCAATCCGATGCGCAAACCCCCGTTGCTCAGGAGCTCAATGCTTAGGAAGCTCGCTTCCTCCTCATCAAGCATCAGCCGTTTGCAGAGCTCATGGACGGCACGTTGTGTTTGAGGCAAGGTGGTCATCGTCTCCACATCCGTGGCTGCTTTTGCAAGCTGAGCACAAGCCTTCGGTTGAATAATGACAACTTCAAGCAGAAGTGCTGATAACAATGCACAGAGAGCTCGGTTGTCACCAAGACCTGCAGCAGTGTCCAGGCTTGTCCTGCCCTTAATGAAACGAAGCAAAGCATGCTCGAGCCATTGACTTTCCAGAACTCCAAGTGCCGACGCCAGAGAGCGGATTTCTCTATGCACCGACGGCAGGTGGAGCTCTTGAAGCGAATCACCCATGGATTTTGCCAGCAAGGATCCTGCATCTGGGAGTTTCAGCAGCTCATTGGTCATCGCTCGATTGAATGCCCGCAGTAACTTTGGCTCGGCATTCAAGACTGTCTTGACCCAGGCGTTACAGTATTCCGAAGGGTTGCTGAGCATGTTCACGAGCAGCTTCAGCGCAGGCTGTTCAACTCGCCACACGGCCTCTGCATCACGAGCCCAAGAAAGGAAAGGATCCTCCCAAACTCCTAGTCCTAGTGGAAGCTGTTGCAAGTCGTACAATTTGCCGATCATCTCATCCATGTTACTCGGTAAGCGCTGCATGGACAGCTGCACGTACGTATTCATACAGTACTGCCGCAGGGCTGATGCCTTGGACACCACTTTGTTGGTGCGTTTGATGAGCGGATCCGTTTCTCCCAGGTGATGACTAGCAGCACGCACTCGAGCTTGCAATGTCTCAAGCTCGCCCCATCTGCTTGACCGAGCCAGCATGCTTTGCTGACTTGCACAATCCGCTCTGTGGGCAACCGGGTGTGCTGATGCATGTGAGAGCATGCTTCGAACTGTTTTCGCAACCTTACCCTTTTGGACTAACAAAGGTTGCAGTTGTGCCTCCCGCGATCGCTGTGACCCTGCACGTATTGCAAGCGGTTCTGCACAATAGCATTCCTCCAACCATGGGCAGTAGTGCAAGCACAGACAGGAGCCCGGAAGCACGTCCCGGAACTCCTCAAAACCAACCGTTCTTGTGGGCATGAGGATTGGAGCAAGATGGAGCAAGGCTGTTCCGATGGGCTAGCTCAGCCCCATGGCGGCACTAGGCGGTACTCGGCTGCACAAGTTGGTTTACAAGTTAGTTTACAACAGGTTGACACTTTGAAACGTCTAAGCACACTTGCAAAGCATTGAGGCGGAGGAACAAGCTCTCACGTCTATATTAGGTCCCAGGTTGTCACGTAGCTGTGGTCAACAAATTCTTGTGGGATGTAAGTGGTCGAGCAAAAGTGCTGCAGCTTATAAAAAGAACCATACAGATAAAGACAATTGTGTTTCCCTAGTCGGTGTGTATCATCGGCAACAGCATGGCTCTCTGACGGCGTGCAAGCATGCGAGAACAGGCCACGCTGACACGCACAGTTTCTGGTCATTGTCCATGGCAGGAAAGCTGTGTGATAGACGACAGAAAGAACAAAAATCTCTAGGCAAGAAATGTCATGATCATTCGAATTAGCTCCTTCCATGCTGCATCCTCAACCATTGGATGAGACTCATGACTTCTGCAGTCTTCTGTCAAGTTGCGCGAATAAGTGCTGCGAGCCATCAGTGACGAAGTGTGCATGAACAAGCCTGCCTTGCGTGAGCACATCGAAAGGTCGCAACATCGCAGTCCTAACCACCAGTGGATCGTCAGGCTTCATCTCATACGCCTGTAAGTCGGAGGACGAACTCTAGCCCTAGCATGCAATCAAGATTGCTCCGCTCCGTGGCCTTTGTGATGACTTTGAGTGCAGGTTCAAACCTGACAACTGGTTGACCCCTTGCATTTGGACGTTGCTGAGCTTCTCAAGAGCACAGGGAGCAAAGAAAAGCGGGGGCCAATCGAAAGTTTCTGCAAAGCCTCTACAGGCACTTGGAGTCTGAGGCTGCAACTCCTCTGCATCAAAGTGCCTCTTTACCGCGGCCATTGCCGCCTGCGAAGACACATGTCTCATCTCATCTCATTTCGAACCACTTTTGCCTCGAGTTTTGGCCTCAAAAATCTCATCGCCCTCCTGCATGGCTGCCTGCCTGAACTTGGGCAGGCTCGAGGTTCTTCACAGTCTGACTGACTTTCGAGGCGTTCATAAGTTTCTCGAGTACGTCACAACGTCACAAGGCCTGTCTTCCTGGCTGGCAGCATGGGCAGGGGAAGGGCGGTGCTTCTCGGGCCAACACAACGAAGCATCAGGCATTCACAGGCACCCACCAACAGTGTGCATGAGGTGGCAAGCATCACTCTGCCCTGTATATGTAGGTGGTTGCATTGAAAGCTGGACTGTCGCATTTCTGGCAATGAGGAGGCCTAGCCTGGCAAATGTTCATACTTGGACGTCTCAGCATGCCGCCAGAAGTGAACCCCTAGCTGAACTCCTGCAAAGCTCGAGCGGTTTTCAACCTCCATCAACGGACTCATCCTAATCTTCCGGCTCCCAGACGTCCCACACATCTGAGCTCACCTCAAACACATAAAAAACGTCTCACCAGCTTTGGAGCCAAGGCATCATTTTGTTACTTGGGGGCTGGACGAAGTCCGCTGCAGCAACGGAGAGGGCCTGGCCACGTCGAATTGTGTTTTTTGAGCGAATGACAACCCCCCACTGAGCAAACGGTTCCTTTGGAGGCCTCGGAGGCCGATGGCTCAAGAGGCGCTGCTTCCGGAGGTGGAACATGCCTTGTGACATGACTTGACATGTCCACCATCCGAGAAGATGCCAGATGACCTCTATGACTCTATGGCACTGGGGCGCAAGCAGGATTGCGGGTGGTGGCAAGCACACCAGGACAGGAGCACACCCTCACATTGACTGCTGAAAGACTCGTCGTCCTCATGACTTCCGCAGAGCCAACATGCTATGCTGCCTGGATCTTTCAGCAGTGGAGCTGGAGCTGGAGGAACTCAATGCGACAGGCAAGTTTGCTGCGACTCACAGGCACCTTTGCCATGCCCTGCCTGGCAAAGGGCTGCCGCGAGGCACGTCTAAAGCAGAAGAGCCTCAGCCAGATAACTGTCACTTTGGTGATGTGATCAACAGCCAAATTCGAAGACGACCGCAACGATGGCCCCACCTCAGACACGACCTGACCATGAGACAGACAAGAAACATACTTTGCAACGAAAGGGCGAGGGCGAAGGACAGAAAGGGTAAATGACCTTGACACAGTCTAGGGAATGCCGGTACATTGTCTTGGGGTGTGGAGGTAAGTTTCGGCACCCAGCCTCACTTCACACCCTTTCTGCCCCAGATGGTACCCGACACCCTCTGTGCCCTGGACAGCTCACTGTCAGAAGTTCAAACGCAACCAAGGCAAACACTTCCTCCTGGTTGTCTGGAGTGGTCTTCCTCAGATGCTCTGACGTGTGCTCGTACTCATGACCTGCTCGTGGTTCATTGACAATATGTGACATCACATATTTTCACGTACAATGCTCCATTTGGGGAATGGCAATGGTGCGGGCAAGATTCAGCTCCATACCACAGCAGCAGACATAACAAGTGCAAGGTGTGCTGGGGTGTGCGTACCTTTCGTGCTCAAGTGAGAGATTTGCATGGGCTGCGCAGCCGACCTGCCTCTACCGAGCCTCTACCAGGTGTTGCGGGTGCATGTGGAGAACGGCCGACCCCTGTTCGACAATGTTGGGTTCGCCAGCAACCTGCATGACAGACCCTGTCAGCAGCAGCGCGTGCTGACTGAAAATGCAATGCAAGGCCACCTTCACCCGAAAATCTTGCAGAACTTAATACCCACATCTAAAAAACTAAAATTGAATCAAGTCTGAAAATGCCAACATCCCAACCCCCCCCCCCTCCCGCCCCCCCTGCAAACAAACTGAGACAAAAATGGTGTAAAACAAAAAACCACAAGAAAATAATCTTTCATCATGTGGGCACGCGTGCAAGTCTGACATGCCCTGGCCCTCTTCCTTTGTCGCATGCTTCGTGTTCACATGTGAAGTCAATCGGGGGAGGGGGCGGGGGGGAGAAGCACTACAGCGCAACTGTCAAAGGGCTGCCAGACTGTACATGCCATTCCGCGCTTGCTAGAGAAAACGAAGTAGACTGGTACTCGTGACACTGGTCGACATACCTCTTCTGTGCCAAGAGATGCAATGCAACGTTACAGCAAGCAGCAGTGTCTCAAAGCCTTGCGGTCATGCAGAGCGACTTTGACATTCAGCTCTGCCCCTGCAGCTGCATTCAGCGGAAGGAGAACCTCAGCAAGTCTTTGAGGCGATGGTCGCCGCAGTCCGATGTGACGAACACATCCCACTTTGTCCACGCCTATGAAGCTGATAACTGCTGATGTACGCATGCTGCCTATGCTCGCTGAGGGGCCGACGCGGACACCGATGCCGGCTCCTGGAAAGAATGTCGCACCGGAAAGTCCCCCAGCCTTGTGCATGTCAAGCTATGCTACCCAGCCTCTGTCCTCGGAGATTCTGTTGCTTATGCAAAGCGATCCACCAGGTCTCAGCTTTGGAGCTTGGAAAAAGCAATTGTTCAAAGCTTGTCGTTGTGTTGCCGAAGCATGAATCGAGTCAGCAGCTGGAGCTTCTCAAACGTCCACTGGCTCGCCTCAGGCATTTTCTGTGCTGGTCTCGCATCTGGCTGAGCTGCAGCAGCTGCATCACAGAATCTTGAGCAGCCGACCAGGCCCCAAAAGCGTTTGCCCAAGCATTCCTGCTCCAAGGCCAAGCCGTGCCCCAAACCCTGTTCCTGCAAAGCAGAAGGTTGGTCCTCAGGAATCCACGGCCTCGGCAAAAAATCCAAGAGAAGCTGGCGACTACTCTGCCACTGCTACTCTCTGCTACTCTATATGGCTCTGCTCTCCTCCGAGCTACCTGAGTCGGAGCAACATCTGCTCGACCAGGAAGTTGCTTGCCAAGATGGTGGAACCTGTGAGCTTGACTGCGACCATCTTCATACAAAGAAAATGGCCAAATCTCGGCCACGTGCGCTCTGTTCGGGTTTCAGCTTGGCAGTGCCACCCTGCAGCCTGAGGGAGAGGAGTGTCAGAATACAATTCAGTGCACAGACCTTGCAAGCCGTTACTACAGTTTACATAAGTTTAAACTATGGCCTCTGCTGCGAGAAGAAGCTGCCCACACTCGCCAGGGCTGCAAACAGACCTTGGTAGCGGGGCACCAAACTTCTGCCGCCACTGTCAGCATGAAGGAATGCCCATCCTGCTGTAGCTGCTGCGGTTTGCTGCAGCTTGCTCATCCTAAGCTTCTTGCCGCAATAGGAGGGTGCCAGATGCCTCCATTGCACATCCACAGTCAGGCTGTCCGATTCCTAGCCCTAGCATCCCTAGCCATTCGTGGGTTGAAAACTGTTGCAACCCCCGATGCCTGGCACTGGCTGGTTGTCGGTCTCACGGGCCGCCTGATTGTTGCCGATTGCTTCCTTTGTTTACGGAAGCCACATGCTTTGAAAGGCGGATGAGCCTGGAAAGCACCACATCTGAGGGATCACGATTCCTCGACAACGCGACTGCAGTGAAGTGAAAGGGGTGCTGCGATGAGGGGACGAGCAATCCCACAGGAAAGCACAAGAAGCTGAAACGCATCATTCCCCATCCATGGATGGGCACAGCCTCTACAACTCGGACAGCGAAGCACAGCCAAAGTACATTTGACGAGCTCACGCGGGTGCCTCGACTTCCAGCTCACTCAACGAGACCACAGCAACATCCACACCACCAACCAAAACTGTGAACTCTCCATCTTCCACAGATAAAACTTGGCCACTCTGTCCAGCACTCTCTCCAGCTGTAATTTGTACCTTATCTCCGACTTTGGGAGTTTGCAGTAGCTTGCTCGGCTCCGGCTTGGCATTCGTCAAAGCAGCTTCACCAGCCTGTCTTCGCTGCTCAATTTGCGTTGCGAGCCAGCCAGCGGCACGTAAATCTGGCAATGCCCGGCCGTTCTTTCGACGTAACTGCAGCGTTTTCCCGTCTGCAGCAGACAGCCACTGCGTTTCAAGTTCCGACTCAGCAAGTGCCTCTTCAATGTCAGCTTCGTCTGAGATCTCCAGCTTCTTGACACGATTGCAGCCAAGAACCAGCGTAGCATCAAGCCAACCCTGCGGATGCTGAGAGATCTTCTGATGAAAGAAAGTGTCACCGATCAAATTCCCATCACTGAGATAGTACTCCACCTGGCGGCGCAGTGCACGCAGTCTCTCCTCACGCGTCATACTTCTCTTTTCTCTTCGACGCTTGCGCTTGCGGTCGGCTGCAGGTTCCGAGCCAACTGTATGACGCGACCCAGGCTCAATCCTGCCATCCTTATCGTCAAGAGCTTGTTCGCGAATCTCACCGCTCAAGGCATTTGAGTCAGCATCACCGGCATCACCTGCAGCGCCGGCATCGCCGTCCTCACTAGCTGCCTCGTCAGAGACAGTGTCCTGCACTGCTTCGGCCGACTGAGTTGCTTCTTCTGCATGCTCGTCCTCAAAGACACCGGCCATCACATCATCGTAAACAGTTGATACACTCATGTCGAGCTCTGTTGGGGGCAAGGGCTGCTTGAGAGCAAGGGCATATCAGCTGCGGCGGATCTCTCCAGACTTAAGCCACGGCAAATTTTGAGGGACAAGTCTTCGAGTGTCTTCTACTACTGTCCTGAGGCGGCAGCACAATCATCAATGGCTTCCGCGAGTGTGCCCATGGCGGCAAGCCCTGTGCCCGAGGAGGCTGTGAACGGCGAGTGGAGGAGGTCCGGACAAAGCTGGAGTCCATTGGTTCACCTGGCACTTTGTTGATGCCGATCTTCCTCACTACCTGACCTTGAATATCGCAGACAATGAGAACCAGCTCTGCGAATGATGTGCCTGATGAGCACAGTACGGAGCAGTACGGGTGCAATCGGCTGCATCAAGGTCTCTTTTGGATCTTCAGTGGCACTTTGGCTGGTCAACTTTGGACAGCAACAGAGCACCAACAGAGCCTCAAGGCGGCTCAGCCACTGTGAATACCAAGAGTGGGGTAGTTGTAGTACCTGAAAAGACAGCTTGCAAGCATCTTGAAGGAGGCGCACTCACAGCATGTTCCGGCATGGGCACAGATGAGGCCGCAAAGTTTTGGTGTCGTCGTCCTCGCTGCATGCCTGGCTCAGCTTTCAACTACTCAGAACCCTCCCCATCTTTTGTACACAGCATGACTTTCATGTATATAATCGCGTAAATGAGTGGAAGCTTGCGAGGTATATGACCTGGTATACCGTGTGTACTCACAGCCAAGCTAGACAGTGAGGATGCTGTGCTGAGGCTGCGTCCAGCAACTTCTCCGAACCCTCAGAGGCTACACAGTGCTACACGCAGGCGCAGCACACACCCACCAAGTGCAGCTGTGAGAAAGTAAACGGCAGAGTCGGAAATTAAGAAAAACGAAACGACAGCACAACCACCTCATACTGCGCCAGGCCATGTAAATCCACGTGCTACTCCGAGTCCTCTGGCAACGAAAGACATGCTAGTGCGACAAAACTATCATCCTGCTGATGTATCAATATCTCAACAAACCATGTTGGACGTTCTTGCTGCTGTGGAGAGTCTACGGCGCAATCGATTTGGACGAAGAGGCGTTCGCAACAATAGCATCTGGGCAGACCTGACCTGTGACCTGGTTGTCCGCAATGTTATCTCAGCTCAACCTCTACGATGTTCACAACGTGGTCCAGTATATATACATTGGCTGAACTCCTTCAACACCTGTGCAAAGCCATCTGTATGAAGGTCTGCGATCAGGCATTGCTCAACCTCAATCACTGCAGTTTCCGGAAAGAAGTGCTGAACATATGGAGACCTAGCACCTTGCATGCCACGCGGAGTTTCGTCAGGAATTTGCACCTCGCAAGGATACCGTCTGCATATTGTTGGGTCCGCGCTCCGACTACCCACATGCATCTCAATATCCTAGCCAGTGGACGTGGAGCTTCGTCAGGCATTCTGTCTTGATCCTTCATATCCCGTTCACGCTTCTCAGACAACAAAGGTCGGTCGATTGGACGAACAAGGCACTCAGGACAAGGCACATGTTGCTCTCGGCACGTTGTAGCATCTAAGGGTAGTTTCATGGTCACTTAGCATGGCCCCTTAAACGGGGACCCCTTACATACCCCTGATATACCCTATACGGCTATACGACCCAAGGGCCCATACATCAGAACCCTTTAAATGACGGATCATATTTAGGGCCCATACAACTGCCCATAGAAGCAGATCTCCAGCATGAAATTTACAATATGTCGTGTCTCTCGGTCTTCATCGATCGTCAGTCTGTTCCGGCAGAGTACAGTCTGTTGCAGCAGAGACGACCAATGAAGTAAAACACAGCAGCTCGGCGGACAAACGTTGAGGCGTGACTTGTTGCTGCAGTTGCTGCTTCTGCTGTTTTTGCTTTTTTTTTTCCTACGTGCAGACTGTCAGTCTGAGCACAGAATCGGTGCTTCTGCTGTTTTTGCTTTTTATGGTTGGATTCCATATTGATTGGTCACTATTGACCGCCCACCGTCCCCTGACAGAATCGATATCGACACACCCCTCCAAAAGCTCAGATTCAATATTGGACCCCCATTGATTCAATAGCTCGCAGCTTTCTGGACCTTGTCCAACCCTTCGTGAATCGAGTTCCAATTCCTAGGTCAGGCAGCTTCCTGAGTTGGCTACGAGTAGTTTCCTGAATCGATTCCCTGAATCTCATGAAAACAGTTTACGGAATCGATCAGTTTGCAGAATCGCCTGTTCCAAAACCGCCACTTCCTAAAAGGAGCAAACTGTGGGCTTCTGACTCGCACTGTTTCCTTCATCCTGGCTTCTTGAGCCGTGGCTATGAGTGGTTTCTGAATCAGGGCTGCAGCCTTCGGCCAACATTCTTGTAGGAAAATTTAACATGAGTTCAGCAGCTTTGAACATCTGAGGACCACGCCAGGTTACAGTCTTGTTGATTGTGTGAGCTAAGGGGAGATGGCCTCACAGGACAGGTTGAGAAACCTCCCGATCTCCCAGATTGATGAACGGCAGTGAGGAGAAGGTTTCACGGCACACTCTGCCAACGCATCTACCCCCGCCTTTGTCCGGTCGGTGCACGGTCCTTTCTTGGATCCTTCTCCTGCCGCAATACTTCACAAATACGTGTCTTCATATGTCTTCCCTCCAAGAGGGGACTCGTCAATGTGCAGCACGGCTCTCCTCCTAGAAAGAAGCTTTGCTTATAATACATTGCGAACATAGGTTGGGCCACACTTTGATGACACTTTGGTGCCAACTTTTGCTTATCACGTGAGGATGGCCACACCGCAAGGAGCTCATTCCAAATGATGCGCCTGTGCAACAAGCTGTGCCATGAACGAGTTTTGACATTCCAACCTCTGTACACAACACACTGTGCATTCATACAAAACCGGCAGAAGAAAGAACGGAAAAAGGAGCAGGTGACGAAAAATCGAGACTCCATAGACTCCGCAGACACTTGCGCGGCACCTCGGAGGCCAGCACCAAAGCCACCGGAGGCTGGCACAGGGTGTTACTGGCACCACGGCGAGCTTCGCCTTCGCACGTTGCCGCTTAGAGGGCGTTACAAAGCTTTCGCAAATGGAGTAACGCTGTTACAAAGCTTTCACAAACGGAGTAATGCTGAAAATATGCTGAAGTGAGCCACTGAGATGCACAAGCGATCGGAGCAACAACACCGAGCATCACAAGATGCATGAGACATAACCGTCATAAACGCTCTCTTGAACCTTCCTGGAAAATGTTGCGCCAAATGTCTGTTGACGTGCTTGGGGAGCTAGAGAACAAAGGCAAGAAGGCACAAAAAAGACAAGACCCAAATTGTGCCTGGGCTTGCAGAAACCCCAGCGGCCTGACGATCGCCCACCACAACAAGAGCGCTAGCTGTTACTTTCACTCTCGACATCCGTCAATGTGATACTTCTGAGGTTCCGACATGAGCAACAGGGCTTTGTGCAGTTTGCGGAGACGGGCTTCCAGGAGATCTATCCAGGCCATCTCTCCATGAAAATGTCACAAAATTCCCCTGGGGAGATGTGCCGACAGCTTGCTGGCCTACGCCATGTTGCGATCGCGGGCACCTGTGTCCGAATCTAAAGCTGCAAACAGCACGGGCATCTCCGCGGTACATGGAACTACAGCCATAGGGTTGCATGTTTTGTCATAGTTTCATACAAGCTCCATGAATTGCTGTGGCATTGGTGTTTGCTTCATCTGAAAAAAGACAGATTGTGGACAGGTGGGCGCAGCAGGATGGCCCACATGTTGCTGTGAATTTTGGCGGGGTGCAGGTCGATAATCATTATTGGCTTACGGATGCCACTACCTTCCTACCTTGGTTCCTGGTTTGCACGCTGCTCTGAGGAACCAGCCTGGCTCACCTCGTCTATTTTGGTCTTTGCAGCACCTGCAAATAGGTGAACTCACGGTGGGTTGGTTCCATTCGTTTCAAGTGCTCTTGCACGAACGGTAAGCTCTCAACGCATTTTTAGCTTCTGCGTCTGCTTTGAACTATTTGAAGCTTGGACCGACATTTTGTCTGTACGAGCAGTAAGCTACAGCAAGCGCACGCAGCTGCATAATCATGGTCGTGTGTGGACGGAAGGTGACCTGCAGTAGCTCACTGCTTCGCGGAGGTGTCTCACGACATGTAGCTATCTCCAAGGCGTGCCCTGAACAAACTCCGTCGCCAAGATCGGGGTGATGGCATCCTGCACACCCATCCACTCCACGCGCGGCGCATGGTGCAGCGTGTAGGAGGGCTACCAGCAGCTCGGAGACGATGTCTATTCGACCAATTCTGGCGCGACATACTCCTGAGATGTGCCTCAGATCGTGGAAACGCGAAAACGTCACATGCTCTTGACATCTCATATTTTTTCCACTGTGAAAATCGCTCTTACACGCCTTCATCATTTACAGGTCCACAAAAAAACCGAATGAGACTTTGTACGAGTTTTCTGGGGGCTGTGTAAACATGTTTGCAATGCAGGACGACCCTGTTGAACCAGTGCATTCCTCGATCCTACTAGGGTGGAGCTGACATGAGCCCTGAAACTCCTGGCATGGGAGGGGATCTTGAAAGAGTGGTGTGTACAATGTGTACAAGCAGTGAACCCTTTCTTCGTTTCACCTCGGCCAAAGATGAACCTGCCAATCAGCACTTGGTCAACCTACTTTTTTGGAGCCCGACACAGGTCCGTACGAGTGGAGCTTTAGTCGGTTCCGCGAACAAGGCTGGAGGGACAAATGACTCTTAGAGTGCAATCGCAAAATCTGCCAAATATTTGTTGGAGCAAGGAGTTTGTCGGCTAGTAACTCGATCTTAGAAAGAAGATTCAACCGCCTGAACACGCCGCAGGGTTTTGTCGTGTAGCAAGACAAGGTGCATAGCTGATAAAGCAGGAAAAAGTTACACTTTCCGTTGCATACCCAGGATATGACGGTTGACTCATAGACATTGGCCTAAACCCTAAACCCTAAACCCTGAACCCTGAACCCTGAACCCTAAACCCTAAACCCTGAACCCTAAACCCTAAACCCTAAACCTTAACCCTAAACCCTAAACCCTAAACCCTAAAACCCGAAACCCTAAAACCAACCCACAACCACACCACAGGGGGGGGAACCCTACACCCTAAACCCCAAACCTTAAACCTAAACCCTAAACCCTAACCCTAAACTCTAAACCCCAAACCCTAAACCTAAACCCTAAAACCAACCCACACCCACACCACAGAGAGGTGCGCGGGAGGGGTACCTTTGGGAGGGGGAGGGGGAGGGGGCAGCCCGCACCGGCATCATATATGAACTATCCTGCCCTTCTGCAGCTGCCGGCACTCAATGGGTCCCATGAACCCATGGAGCAAGATGCTGACCCAAATTTAACACTACTGGCTCGGCCGACGTAATCACACTGACAAGCCGACGTGCACCGAGAAGGCACCAGGAGCGAGATGGCACATGTACTGACAGAGACCCACGAAGCCATCATCTATCAGCGTTGGCTACAGCCCAGCTAGCCGTTCCGTACGCATGCGCTGCCAACCTTCTCACGCTCGCACTCATGCGCTCCCGCATGGCCGTATTCCACAGACTTGGACCTATGAATCGATCGAATTGGATGCTTTGGCCTCTCGAAGCTGCCATGGCCCCGATCATGTCGTGCACGTTCTGTGCGACCCAAGTCCATCTGACTTAGAGACATACGTCCCTTCGAAAAACTGTACATGCAAGTGGTGATGACATGGGTCTCGGGGTGGACACACCCCCCCCAAGCAGCCCCTCCCCTCAGCCCAGCCAGCCCCCTGCGTCAGCCCTAGCCCCACCTACCAGCCCCAGCCCCAGCCCCAGCCCCAGCCCCAGCCCCAGCCCCAGCCCCAGCCCCAAGCAGCCCCAACCACCCCAACAAAAACAATCCCAGCAGGTATCCCCAACAGCAGCAGAACGCGCAAAGGCAAGCGCACTTAATGCGCATGGGGCCTTGCCAGGTGAACTCGCGACAAAACAGGTCGTGAGACACAGGTTGGGGCCTTGCCATTACAGACTCGCGACAAACACAGGGCGTGACACTAAACTCACGAACAGGGTGTGAAACACAGGCTGGGGCTCACACGTCCATGAAAATATTTCTATTCATGAAAAGCATGAATGTAGCGAACACATGGGCTTGCGATTGCGAGAACGACATGAATTCCGCAAAAGACCATACAAATTTATTAGTAAATTTGGACAAGGAAATAATATTGTATAAGCCCCGTAATCTACTTCTTTCATAACACCCGCGCGTACACAGACTTATTTTGAGCGGATAAATGAAGACGAAAACGCCCGCATTTCGTTCGTTCACTCATTCAGTCACTCACTCACTGACTTGCAAACACAATTTTATGTTAATCTTGCAAGCTCGCGCACGAAGACAAAAAATGTGTGTAAGCCAGTGTAAGCGAGCACAGAGTCCTTCATCGCGACCAACACAAGGCGTGACATACAGGTTGGGGCCTTGCCATTTGAACTCACGAAAAACACAGGGCGTGACATACAGGTGGAGCTTGACACGTGAACTCACGAAAAACATAAGGCACGACATACAGACTGGGGCCTTGCCATGTGAACTCACGACAAACACGGCGTCACATGCGGACTGAGGCCGTGCCATTATGTGAACTCACGACAAGCACAGTGCGTCACATACAGGCTGGCGCCTTTGCCATGTGAACTGCCGACAAACACAGTGCGTAACATGCAGGCTGGGGCCTTGCCATGTGAACTCACGACAAACACAGGGCGTGACATACAGGCTGGGGTCCGGCCATGTGAACTCACAAAAAAAGACACAGGGCCTTGCCATGTGAACCACGAAAACACAGACATGACATAAGGCTAGGGCTTGCCATGTGCACTCACCAACATCACAGGGGCATCACACGCAGGCTGGGGTCTTGCCGCGTGAACTCGTGAGAAACACAAGGCGTGACATACAAGCTTCTTTCAGCTCTATCGGCTTCACGGCTTCAAGAGCGACTCTAGGCTCATCCCAGGCTTTGCATTTGTGTGCCGAAGGCGCTTGATTGCAGCGGCGCGTACTCCAGCAGATGCCTCCCTGGCGCTGGCTTTCGGAGAAGCCTCCAAAGGCACTGAGTCGACAGTCGAAGGCATGACATATCATCACAATCTTGGTCGACAGCACCTTACCATCCTAGACTTTCCTTGTTTGCACCTTCCTGGGCTTCCTGATTCGTTGCTTCCCCTTTGCGCAGATTCTTGTACATCACTCAGACTACAGGTGGTGTTGGGAAAGCCCTCCCTGCCTGGCCACGTAACTCATGCGGCTGTGATGGTGCTCGGGCCAATCCTATCGCACTTCCGGTCAGGAAGAACGAAAAATGCTTGAACTCGCTTGAAAGATCTGCCGAATCCAACTGAAGCTTAGCGACATTCCATGCTATGTGATGCACTTGCCACCCTTGCTTTGTAAGCAAGCGATGCTTCAAAGAGCTCTTCATGTCATAGCGCTGGCTGTTGCCAACAAAATGCAAAGGACCTCGGAAGCCAAAAGCAAGCGGAACCACTATGCACATAGCTATGTGGGAATTCCAAAAATCACACGCACTCTGGAATAAACTCGCAACTCAGCGCACTCTGCCATCAACGGAGCAAAGTGGCCATCGATTTCGATGAGACTTTGATTTGTAGTTAGCCGCACATCCGCTATGTATGGATCCAGCCGCTCCTGCTCCGAAGACGCGTGCATTCAGTGGTCAGACACATGTCTCAAGAAATTGCGCCTCGGTACGATGTTGCACACCCAGTTCATGCAGGGCGCCGGAAACCTGCATGCTTATGGACTCACGGGTTCTGATTTTGCATCGATTCAACATGATGATGGGCATGTCCTGGACATGCCTGAAGGTGCTGCTGAGAAGAACTCTTCGGTAGCGGTCCAAAGAAGGATTGCTCCAAGTGCCGCACTCCTGACACCACAACTTTAACCCGCAATGCACCACATACCAAGACCAGCTAGATGAGCTGCGTAGTGACTACTCTCAGTGGTTTTTCCATGCTGGAGAATACTTTTCCGTCATCTCACAGCGGCTGCAGGATGCCAGCACGCTCAACCGGAAGCAGCAAAGCCCTGCCTTCCAGAAAGCCACTGAGGCCCCTGATCTCCTTCCAAGATTCTTCAGGCCCCAACTTCCTACTGAAAAAGTATCTGCGATCGTGATCTATCGACATCTATCGCGCGATTGATTTTGATTCTTGGTCTTACTGTATAGCATACCGTTGTCTGGTACTCAACATTGGAGTCAGCAGGCACTCGGGGACCTAGTCTGCAGCACTACGAGTAACTGTGGCATAAAAAACCCTTCCTCGCACGACGCACAAGTGCCCAGGAGTTTGAATCGATTTGTAGGCCGATGGTGTGAGACTCAGCTGAACCGGGCTATGCTCGATTCGGCCTTGCAAAAATCCTGACTCTTAAACCTTTGGGAGCTCCAGCATCTGCATGGTGCCAGGTCTTTCCAGCCGACATGCAAGTTCCGTGACCTGTCAGGGCGTGGGAGAGGGCGAGTAGGTGACTCCTTCAAATTGCAGCGAGACCATGCTGGTAGCGACTTGGAAGGGCCCACATCGACGCCTGCCTGCAACTGCTGTGCGAGCTGCTCGTCCAGAGAGTTGAGCGCACAACCGAAAGAAGAATTCACAGCACTGATGGCAGCAACCAAAGCGCGGTCTCGAGTGTTGCAGGCTGATTCGTCGAAAATCAGTGCCAGCAACAGCTGTCCGGTAATGGCTTGGGATGCATAGCCTCGGTGCGTCAATGAAGCGAGCAAAGTGTTTGCTCAAAATACGAACCGATCCTTCGAAACACGAGACCGTCAAACCATGCTCTGCAACGTTGCAGCAAACAAAAGTGACACGGTGCCTCTGCTTGGGGTGGCTCCTTCAAAGGCTGTGCACACAACCGCCAGAATGCAGCTGGCCTTGGGAAGGTCTGAAAAGACTTCTTACTTGCCGAGGCCCAAGGCCTGAGGAGCATCATGAAGCGTCTCGAGGATTCACCAACCTAGTCATCCTCCCAACACCCGGCGCACTGCCCCGTTTTCAGTTTGGCCCTAGGGACGACCCCTTCGTCGGGGTCTTTAGAAATGACCTTTCCTGAAAGCTCTGCACCGCAGCCGTACCCACTCGAAATGGCTGGCCCTCCTTGATGCCTCGGGGGTTTTGTAGCATTTTCCACCTTCTACGGACGAAGCCTTCACTAGTTCAGTTCTTGCTTGGGTGCTCCTCGGGCCAGCACCCTGGCCGAGGCGGTCTACGTCGTTCCAGAACTAGGACCTGCTTCATGTTGGAAATCTGTGCACATCCTGACCTCGGGGAACCTCACTTGACTTTTCTACATACTAAAGAAGCCTCCGGCTCAGCTGAGCCAGCGACTTCACCTGTGTCAGCCAGGCCAAACTTGGCAGCAAGCTGCGCCAATGCCTCGACATGAAGAAAGAAGCAAGCGCTGGGATTCTGCGTTTCTAGACCTTCTAAACATTTGTCACGGTCTGTTTGTGCAACTCTGTGCAAAGACCTCCTGGCATACTAGGTTTCATCGAGAAGATCAAAGTGAAAATATGTACAATCTATTGAGTCCAGTGGCGACCAGCCGCGGAACATCGTGTCTAGCACGAGCTGAAGGGCCAACGTGGTTGAAGAACTCATGGGCCTTCTGTCAGTCGTTGTTCTGATTGAAGACTTCAGACTGTTCGTTTGCTTAGGCTTTACCCGAGTGCGTACTGCAGCTTGACAAAAGTGGAGGGGAAAAGGAAGGCGGAGTTCACATTTCTTCTCAGGTCTGCAAGTCTCTGCGAAGCGTGTGGTGTCATTCTTTGGGCCTGGGATCTGTGGAACCTCACTGCCTCAACGCCTCTGATGTCTCACGACAGCCGATCTCGTCTGAACACTCCGTCAACAGGTCGTGCCTAACTTTCAAAGGGCAAGAATGTATTTTCGAGCCTCCAGTTGCTTCTAAGAGCTCTGCTTAGAAATCCTTTCAAGGTTCTTTCGGGACTTTTTCGTGCAAATTGAATGGGAGCCGTGTTGGCATCTTGCTATCTTCCTGTCTCGCTTCTGCTTGCGGTTCAAGGACAACATTCGTCCAGCAGGGTCTTCTGGCAAATGGAAGGTCTGTGTCCATGCACAACTTTGTGCTAGTGTTACTTCGAAAACCCCGTTAAGTGTCCCAGGCCCGGCACGGTCATGGAAACTTGGCGGGCTTGACAGGGTAAGAGTGTTAATTTCGTTTCCGGCGTGGCAGGGGCACGTTTAGTTTTGCGGTGGTTGCGGAGGCGGTATGTTTTTGGCTGTCGTGGCGGGGGCACATTTTCGCTGTCGTGGTGGGGTGTGTGCTTTATTTGCTGTCGTGGCGCGGGCGTGTTCTTTTTTGTTGTCGTGGCGGGGGCCCATTTTGGTTTTGACTGTCGTGGGCGGGAGGGGGGGGGGAGGGGGGTGCCGTTGTTTTTTGCTCTCGCTCGTGGTGGGGGGCGTGTTCTTTTCTTTGCTGTCGTGGCGGAGGGAAAGGGGGTGCTTCACCTTTACGTTATTATTACTAATATCGCGCAATAAGGGACTTAGTGAGCGCCGTCTTCGCTTTCGCCTTGTCAACACTACGTGCTTCACTTCGTTCATTACCAGTATTACAAACTTGCTCTCTACGTAGTACTATTAATGCTAAGAAATGTAGTAAGGAGTGAATGAATGAACGACCCGTGCTCTTTTCCCACGGGCCAGTTGATGCCAGGTGATTCGCAGATTTAGTTAACTCCTGATAAGCCCTAACCTTCCGGAATCACACCATCATTGCGTTGTGTGTTTTGGTGTCGTGGTGAGGGGGTACTATTAGCAAATAAAACCAAAAAACTAAGAATAGTCACAATATAGAAAATATGAACAATATGAGTAAAGTGAATAATGTGAACAATATGAATAACATGGACAATACGAAACATGAATAATCTGAACAATATGAATGATATGAACAACAAGAAGGATATGAATAATATGAACACGATGAGCATTAATTATACCCATAAGGTATTACGAACATTAAACTCTTGAAAACATGAATAGGATTAAAAATATTGAGAAAATTTCTACTAGTCGTCAAATGGTACTATTAACCGTAACAAATTAGCAGTTTTCATGATATTCATGGGATGAAACACGAATGATGACTAATCATATGAATAATACTCGCTCTAAATTTTCGGAATATTCTAAGTATAACAGTATAACTATCAAAAATCAACATGTTCATAGTATTTTGAAAGCCATAAAACTATACTGAGAGTAAAAGTCATCATAATCAAAACAGAACGTAAATAACATTAACGTTATTCCTATTCATAAGATTGAGAATATTCGCCTCGCTTCCTGCCGAGAAGCGTCTGGAACAAGCAGTCCGACAGTCCTTCCCCCCAAACCCAACCCTCCGCAAGTTTTGTGACACCGCCCCCTCCCCCCGACCCATTTGCGGGACCCCACCCGATCGCTTGGGGCAGCTGCAAACCGATGCGGCGGAGGGTCCCGCCTGTCGGTCGACATCCCGCCCTACAGTTGCTGTCAAACTCGACCTCCCCTGCTGTGAGGGACTTTCCGCGCGCAGCGAGCTTTACGCTAGCGAAAATTCCTATACGAAGCCCCGACCGCTGCCCGCACCACGAAGAAGGATATTGACAGCTGGCCGCGCGCGCCGATCCACGACCCCTGCCTCTTGGCACTCACCTTCTGCAGCCGTTTCGGCCGCGATCACTTGACAGCAAGCGATACCCACATCAGCTCTTCGCAACTCAAAAAGTACTGTGCTTCTGCGTCCTCGACCACTCCGACGCACGTGCGCCATACCATTTCCAACAATGCCGCCGGCGCTTGCTCGCGGTCCCCCGCTGCAAACTCTGCGCGCATTCTCTCGGGCAGCGATGCCCAGAAAACGCTCGCTTCGTGCGACAATGCTGCGGCGGCTGGGTTGGCTGCGGCCTCCAGCGCCGGAACGATATGGAACGATGAACTCGCGCCACATCATCATGGTCATGGTCAGTGCTTCCTGCGCTGTACTGCCTGCTGCCACATCCCCTCTTGCCCATATGAATGCATTCAGCACTTGTGCCAACTGCACGCGAGCTTCATCCAGGAACAGTTCGCCCATGCCTCCAAATAACGCACGCACGCCGCAAACACCTTCTGCACGAGTTCGTAGCGCTACAAACTCCTCCACCGCGTCGGCGTCGGGCACCCGGATCTGGTGGACATCGCCGGCGCATAGGCTGACTTCTGCCGCGGACAGTGACGCCGGCTCCAGATACCTACACTGCTGGCTTGTCAAACTTACATTGAGCTTCAAACGCTGTACACTCGCGCCACCTTTGCAGTCGTGTTCACGCAGCAGGAGCAACCAACAAGCGCACAAGCCCTCTTTCTTTTCCGCGTCTGCCCGGCTGCCCTCGCGCGCACTGGCCGGCGCGGGGCTACCAACCTGCGTCAACATGCACGGGGCTCTCCTTCCACTCAAGCGGCGCAGGCCCTAGACTCCCGGCAGCACGCGCGCTTCTCCTGCGCACACTTCAAACTTCCGACGCCAGCCACCGAGCACTACATACCCAGTGAGCTTTTTTCGTCCTGCACTGCCTGCGCTGACCTAAGCAAGGGCCTGTACGAAACACTCATCAAACGCTAACACCTTCATCGGGGTCGTCCCCTCCTCGGCTTCGTCGTCGCCCTCCTCGTCTGCAGCCACCTGCAGGTTGAAACATGCATAGACGCCCTCCCGGCACAATGCGTCTGCGTTGTCCCCGACCGAAATCCCGCGCACGGACTGTGTCCCCAAGTTGAACATGAATGTCCGCATTGGCAACCCGCCTGACGATATCTTCATTGCCGACAAAGCACCGTCAAGGTCGAATCCTTGTTGGAATGCAGCACATTGACGCACGTCAAGTTCGCGATGTGTTCGCGTGACCTGGCAGTGTACCATATCAATACCTTGGCAGGGTAGACGCTGACTGACAGGTGTTGCGCTCCACCCACCCTTACGCGAATCTTGCGCGAGGTGTTTCTGCCATTGTTGGGTTGATGGCATAGCAGTAAAAGGCACGCGGCCCCACTTCCTGCGAGACCCCTTGTGGACTCCCGCTATGCGCCTGCACAGCTTCCAGACCTCCGCCAACCTTCGTTTCCTCCACGCCGTTTGCAACTCAAGCCGAAGATGCTAGCCGACGAACATTGAAGACACACCAGCTTTGCCTCCTGAGTGGCTTTGTCAAGGCGAATTTGGGCCTACCAGGCCGAGAAAATCGGAACCATCACAGGCAATTGCAAGTTGCAAGCGCTTTCAAGATTATAATGCTTGTATGCCAGAAAAGCATCGTGTTACACACCAGCATAAAAATTGCATGAACCACCACGCGCAGTACGTCTTTGAGCAAGAGCTGTTCGTCGCAGTTCACGACAGCGATGAACAATCGCAGCCTCTTAAAAGACCTGTAAAACAGCGCGGTGAAGGGTACTACGAAGAACCTCGTACATATCAGTAGGGTCGTCGCACTGCACAGCCTCTTGCCAATGGTCCCAGTTGCTCGTACACTGTTGTTGCACTGCCTCCGCGAAGCTGTCACGAGAATCACCTGCAGTGATACATCTGACAATAGCATCGCGATCCAAATTGGCTTGGTCACGAGCTTCGTATTGCAGATTTCTAGCGCGCAACCAGACCCCAGTGGCCGGTGATCAACTCGCTTCACACAGTTGACGAGTTGAAACCGATCACCTCTGTGATGATACGAGAAGTTGTGTGAAACGTGCCAGACTAGTATGTTGGACCAGCATTGACCATTGTATTGCATGCCACAAGGTGGTACTGCTCCAGGAACTGTTGAAAAACTGGCCCATTGCCGGTTTTTGTTTCTGCATCACACGAACCGATGCTCTCTGATGTGATGTGGCCTCCTCCACGCTGGGCGCCAACACGCGCTTTTGCGTCCAGACAAAGCACTGGGGTGGTCCGAGCAGGGAGCTTGTTGAGAACATGGGAAATCATTGCTCAACTTGATGGCTTGCGTTAAACATGGCAGCACAAAAGCAGAATCAGCACGCGCCTCTCTTGTTTTGAGCCATTGACCCGGCATTTTGGCTGCGCAGTCTTTGACATATGTCACACCGCATCAAACAAGCAATAATTTGCAATCTCAACCCCGGCCAATAACCTACCATTCAGATTGTGAGCAGCCATCTAAAGTTTTTGCGAAATCAAGAGCTCGTTCAGTGTCGCGGGTGGAACATATGCACTCGCTGCATGGGCGACGCGACCTGACAGCTAAACCACGACCAGAAAGGCAGGGATCTGTTGGCCAAGCCACCTGGGTGAGGTGTTTGCGATGATGCCTAGATGCATAAAAGAAATGGCACACACCTGCATGCTTGTTGGAGCGGGGCCCGTATCCAGCCTCAAAGAAATGTCTCCCATCAGCCTTCATGTAATTTACAGGCTGTGACCCAGCGATTGTCCGTGTGCCTTCAAGGCATATAATAGAAGCACAGCGAAGTTCAGCATGAATGTCTGCAAGTCTGCCAGATTGTTTCAAGGACATACAGTTGTATGAAATGCAAAGCTCACTATTGCTACGTTATCGGGGGATTTGAGCATAGTATATAGCTCCCAACGTTGTGCCTCTAAACACACGCAGGAGGATCCTCACATAGTGGAGACCTCTGCTGTCATGCGACAGTACAACGTAAAGCCCGCAACCAGCCGCAGGAGCACCGCCGGCAACCCCCGTCCACAGCAATCCTTACCCGAAGGAACCTCCCGCGAAGCCCCACCTCCGAAAACCGACCGGCCCTGCAACGGGGCGCCTGGACTCCAGGCCGACGTCCTCCACATACTGCATGCTCTGGGCCGGCCCGGGTGCCGAGGCGGCGCACGCAAGCGTTTACAATAAATATTATTACAAACATTCATACAAACAAGAATAATGTTTGAAATATTCACAATACTGACAGCCTTAAGACAATTAATCTTCTTGATTCTTAATATTCATGACATTTACAGCATTAATAGTAATAATATGTGCAATATTAATACTATTCATAATATTTACAATATCTTGATTAACAATGATGAAAGAAAATACGCTTCTTTCAAAATATACATGACATTTTTATTATTCAGAACATTCATGATATTTATAAATAGTCTGAAAATATGAATGATGTATATTTATATACATATATATATACACATATATATATATATATACGCACATACAAATTACAGACTTACATGGTTTGAGGCAAATTTTAATTAAAAGTAAAAACGGGGGGGCTTAGGGGGGCGCAGCTCGCCCTCATTTGCAAAGACCATGCTCGCACGATGAGCTTCAAAAGACCTATGGCATAGCAAGCTTGCACGGCTTTAAAAAAAGAGGTGGTTGGGATGAGCTCGCATGATAGATTTCAAAGGGCACTTTTTTTTTGCTGTCGTGGCGGGGACGGGGGGCTCACTCACTGACTGGCCTTCCGGGGGCGCCTCTACAGCAAAAAAGCCACTACAGCAAAAAAACACACACGGGTCTCGGCTTGTCAAAATAACCAGCTTGCTCTAAGGAAGATTCCTTGCTTTAGCGAAAAGGTGCCTGATGAGGTCGTATGTTCAGTCGGCCGCATGCACTGAGATAGGCCATCACGGCGCCTTCTGCTTCACCTCTCCAAAATGGTCTGGGCAATGACAAGATGCCACCATAAGCTGCAAAGGCCCTGTTGTCGAGGGTTCTGCCCTCGTGCCTCGGCTCGATCGTTTCCTTGGCCTCGTCAATGCATCCTGCCCCGCCGCAGACCCAAGTCTCCGGTCGGACTGCCTTGATTCTGAGTCGAAAGAGTGACTTGATCCTGTGCATTCCTGTGCGCACAACTTCAATGCCCAGAAGCAACGGCCGCAATGGCCCACTCGACACCTCAGAAAGCCCGAGCACATCCGCTTCCAGACAGCTTGCAAAGTAGTCTTGCGATGTCTTGCCTCCAGAATCTCAGCCAATCTGGCCCCAAAGGTTTGGAACAGCACTTCCTGCAGGGCTCTGTCACGTTGCACATCTCACAGCTAGTGGTACAATGCAGGTTCAGCAGGCAAGGCGGTCATCTCTGATGTTGAGCTGCTTGTACATAACAGCGGCTCGCCTCGGCTCACAGCGTCACTGAAACTGAAGAGAAACATGCTGCAATCATGCTACGCTGGGTTTGCCCACCGCAGTTCTTTTAAGTGAAGGCTCTCCACCTGACAAGCGTGTGGGTCTTGGTCTGAGAACCCAATTAGGGAACCCGTCCTCTTCCTGCAGGCGCGCAGCCGACAGAACAAAAAAGTCCGGCCGCCTCATGGTTTCGGAGATTCCGAATTTCTGCAAACGACGGATCTTTCGCCGCATGGCTGAAAAGCTGTGCCTCGGGTCATGCTCTCGGATCTGTCGTACGGCAAAGGCCTGGCCACATGATCACGGTCTTTGACTCTAGGCCTCCTTTTCCAATCAGCCTCCATGAGGCTCAGAAGCTCACGGCCCTGCAGCTGTTGCACCAGGCGCTCAGCTCCTCAGCAAAATTGAAATGCCATGACCAGTCCTGCACAAGTGTGCGCATGTGTGCATGATTGCTGCAGTACGTTGTTACGCACTGCTTTTCTGGGCTTGCCCTTGGCTGATGCCTCACCTATCAACGAGTAAAGGTCTGAGGGCGTTGCTCCACAACACGCATCTCAATATTCGATCCTCCAGTGACACAGCGATTGTAAACATCATGGGCCACGGCACTACTGGGCAGTAGTCCGTGAAGCTGAGCCTTGGACGGTGGCTTCATGCCCTGCCGGACGAAGCCGGCAAAGCTCAACACAGAAAGCGGCAAGTTGACGAGGCTGCCTAGGGATTGCTTTCTGTACTCCGCCCAAGCACATGAGGCACAAGGCTATCTCATGCTATCTCAGATCTGGGCCATTGATGGTACTCCCTCACAATTTGCGCCTCCAAGTCGTCACAGCGAGAAGAGTTTTGCAATTGAATATCGCATCAGCAGGCAGGCTGGAAAGCCTCGCATCCCGCGAAGAAATCATCCTGCCGGGACCTCTGCCGAATAGCCTTGAAACTTTCCCACGATGCTTCACGAACCTCGGGTATCTCGGGTGCTCCTGTTCTACGCCAAACAGTCGATTTCATGAAGTGCTTCCCAGGGCCAATGCGGGGCATCTACTTCCACTGGAACTGCCTCCATTCATGGAAGTGTCAGCCAAAGTAGTCAAGCCCAGTAAAGCGAAAGGCCTTTGCCAGGCAGCAAACAGCCTGCAGCTTGAAAGAAATGATGCCAAATCCGGCAAATGCCACAAGCACTGGTCCTAGCTTCTTGGCACGAGTACACTCGGAGCCGGACATGCGCTTCTCCTGAACCATGATTGGCCATCAATGGGCTGAAAGCTTCGAGTCTTTTCGAATCAGATGAAATTGTCAGGTCAATCAGACGTAACCAGGCCTTGCTGAGACCTGCTGACCCAGCTGCCACAAAGCCGACTGCCTACAGCAGATGAAACGAAAAGCTTACACCTGCCTCACCTTCCACTCTTGCGCACCCGTTTCAAAGTCTGAGACAAGAGCCTGGCCGATTGGCGCCGAAACCATGCAGACTGGCCCCATTGCACACACATACGGCATGTAAATATTGGTCTGTGCAGTTGGAGCCTGGTTCGCCACGAACAATGTTTGCAAAATGTGGTCTGGATTGACAGCGAACATTCCGTGAACATTCCTCAAATCAACAGTTAAAGTTCAGCTGCCTCGAAGCAGAACAGCTGCAAGAATAACCCACGACGTTTGAAGAGTGACAGGACCAGCACGAAGCAATGCAGCAGTATCTGATCCATAGCCTGCACTTTGGCTGCTTAAAGTGCTTGCAGTCGGTGCGATGCTGGGAATGGCCTGCAACTTCGCTTCCCGATGCAACTGCCACACGAAGCATCACGAAGTCCCATAACATGCGCCTGAATAGCAACTGGCCCTCGAGCAGCCGCGAAGCTCATGGCACCAAGCGGTGCAGGAGTACTGTGTCGAGCCACCGTGCAAACCACCTTGCATACATTTCCGTGAACAACATTTCACTGCTCACAACTACTGACTGACACCGGCCTGCCGGCTCGGCGTCAAACAGCCAGGAGCTGGGGAGTCAGCCTTGACATGATGTGTTACTTGCATGTGCACTTGCGTTTGCACTTGCGCTTGCACTTGCACTGCCCGCAACTAAGCACCGAGCATCACCGGTGCTGGATGATGGCGGCGTATGCACCTATCAAGCCGCAACATTTCTGGATTGAGACTAAATACACGCGCTACAAATACATGACGTGAGTGTAGCATCGGCAAGATCAACCTGTTTGATTCACAGCTTGCGAACTTGCTCGGTCAAGTACAACGACGGATTTGTGGCACACATGGTCCATGCACTGAGCACTGCAAAAACCCGCCAGGGCGGCCAAGACCCTACCGCTGGAGAGTGAAGCTGGAGACATTGCACAAGGCCATGGATAACTTCGGGGCTGCGGTGGTGTGAATGCGAGCCTTGTTGCCTCAAAGCACAAAGATGCATGAAACAGAAGGGTGACCTGAGGCAATTGTGGCAATCGTAGCAAAAGCTGAGCTTTCCGCATTTCCCGGCCATCCGACAACTGAGCATGAGGTGACTCATTTGTGCGTCTGCTGCGTTGTCTGAGAACCAGTCTAAGAACCAATCTCAACGCAAGCAACTTGCAAAAGTTCAAATACATGTGCGCCTCCGGGCCTATGCTCCAGCTGCATCGGGGTTTGGGGCAAGCTCCCCACCTTACGCGTGCACTCCAAAACGCTGCAACTATCCGTCCTTTCGTCTGACACGGTACTGGCGAAGCCGTCGGAGAAAATGAAGTCCATGCAGCAACGGGACATCCTGAAAAACATCATATAACTGGCTACACCTAGCGGACCTAGCGCTTATTCCATCACAACAGTGGCCTCTGCAAGCTGCGATTGTCGCACCAGTCCTTTGCTGGTCAAGTGTGCGAAGCAAATGCGCACATGAGACGCACCGCGATGAGTGCCTTTGCTGGTGGTGATGGGGCTCCATGGCTACGTCTCCCTCATGAAAGGTGCTCCGACTGTGTTTGTGACCCACTTGAATACACAGAATACTCTCAACACAAGCAGTTGCGCAAACCTTAATATCTGACGCAAAGCGCGCTGGAGCCGAAATCCACCTTGGAAGTCACAAAAGCACAACGCAAGTGCACTTCTGCAACCGGCTGTGCCCGAGTCTACAGATCCCTGCCTCATAAAAAAATAGCAGCAACATGTTATCCGAAGCTTCGGAAGGTCCTTGTTCCTTCTTGTGTTGCACTCATCGACCCCCTAAGCACTGCCCCAAATGCTGAGAAACGTTTGCCACGTTTCATCCTTGCAGCTTACTTGGCCAATGCCACTCGAAGTAAGCCCCAATGTCTAGGTGTACAATGCATATTATATCTAGAGGATACAAATAGCAACACCCAAACAGACAAAACTTGTAGCCGTTTCCATACGGAGGGACATTGGAATGAGCTCCTCTTGCAAGGTTGGAGCTTACAAGGAAAGCCTGGATGCTAACACTATGGACTTGAAGCTGAAAATACAAGGTTTGGCGACTGCGGGCTTCCATGCCCAAAACTCCAGAAATACAAGGCTTCCCACAACCATTGCTTGCTGCATGAAAAAATTCATTTGCCCCGGCCTAACAAAAGACTTTGCTCATCACTTTTGGAACCGATGCCACTTTGTCAGCCTCTGTCAGCCTAGAGAAACCATCGTAGCCCCATATGATGAAGCTGAGAGGAAGGTGCCTAGGCTTCACAAATTGGCGCCACAGCTTGCTTGCTGCTGACATCCATGTCCCTGCAGAAAGCGTTCAGCGCATCCTGCATCACCGGAGGAATGACGAAGTGGGCACCCCTCAGATCTCGACATGCATTGCGGCATGCAAGAGGTCTTGTCCAATCAAAGGAGGCTGGACGGCCCGGTGGTCTACGGAACGTGAGAACCGCGCGACGGCTAATCTCTCTAGAAGCTCATTGACGTTGACGGTTGAGAGGGTTGACAGGGTTGACACTGTTGAGTCGGTTGGGACCAACCCGTGTGCAACATGAGTTGAAGATCACTCTCTTCCGAGTCACCGCTTCTCCACCACCATGGTGGCCACCGCCCCGGCAGCGTCAGCGCCTGAGACCTCCTCGTCAGGGTTGCGGCGGAGTGTCGAGATGGCCTCCCGGGCCCCACGTGTCGCCGCGAAGCCCACATTGATCTTGATCAGCCGGCCGCCCACCTGCAGACTCAGAGACGCGTTTGCTCGCTGTTGGCTCGAGTGTATTGGGAGCAAGGTCGATGACGCTGACATCACAGTTGCAGTACCAGCACTAGAGTCACTAGAGTCTGGGAACCTTGGAGAGTGCTTTTGGTTTCAAAACGTTCTCAATCGCATCAGCTGCGGAGGCCGGAATGCTGTCCAGAACATGGTCCTTCACAAAAACGGTAAAGCATCTTGAAGCGGCTTGGAACAGCTTGAAGGGAGAATTGCCGAGTCCTTGTTAACAAGGAAGGGCATGTAGGCACTGGGCAGGCCCAGGAAATACTGCCTCAGCGAAGGTGCTTGGCAGAAACGCGGCGGGTTGCCGACCGCTACAGAGCACATGTGCAGTGGCCAGTGGGGTAAACGCCCAGCTGCTCTACCTCGCTGATCTGCGCATCGGTGGGCGGAGGTTCGCAGGCCTCAAAAATGGGCTTGTGGAGAGCGCAACTTGTTTTGACCCGGCTGAAGAGCATTCGAAAACAACGGTTGAACATCTGAGCAAGGCCTAGCAAGCAGCATGCCACTGATCTGCCGATCGTTCAGAATCATTGAGCTCCCTATCTCATGTCACCAAAGTCCGAGGGTTCCCAATGTGAGGTGTTCGTGTCACATTCGTGTCCCCTTTAGGAGATCCCAGAAGCCGAGAGAATTCCACGGATCATGGCTTCCTCGACTGCAGGGCTGTAGGGCTGGCTGAACTCGATCCAGGCCGACGTTCCAGGACCAGGGTAACCCAGAGGGGCCAGCAGCTCGTGCACCTGCAACGCAAGTCTCAGACTCACTATCACACTTCCTTCGTATCTGCTCATCCCTCTTGTCCTCTTTCTTTTCCTTCTTCTCCTCCTTGACCTTCTCCTTCTCCCTTCTGCTCCTTCAACCCGACGGCCTGCTAGTGCTCAGTATCCTCATCCGCTGCTGGACCTGTCCTCTGCGGAGACTGACCTGACTGTGATTCCTGGGCTCCCCATGGCTCGATTGCTCTTGGAGCTACATCGGACCTGATGCGCATCTTCAATGCCGATCTATTCCTTGCAGGTCTTAAATCTCAAGACTCCTGCAGTTTGTTGGCAGCTTGCCATTGCTTCCGGGTTCATGCGCAAGGCGTACCTGCTCATAACTTCCCTGAGATCTATTGCAGTCAATGCAAAGCAGCCTTCCTTTGCCGCCTGGATGCCCTCTCCCTGACGGTCCCTCAGTGAATCTTCCAAGACAAGAAGCCAAGCAGTTGCAACCCCTCATCTCTGTTCCTGAAATGGGGTATGGCTCCCTCCCTCCCTCCCTCGCGTCTCTCAAGCTTCTTCCCTCCATCTCTCAATCTTCCGCTCTCTGTGGAATGTACCGTGCTTGTCACATACATGTCTATCTCATAAATGGCACAGCAGGCACATCTATCAGATCTCCGAATGTCCTTTGTGCAACTGCCTCGCCTCAGGCTGCACCGAAGCCAAGGGATGCAGCACTACAATCTTCGTCTTCTCGGGCGCCACTTCGTTGCCCCATTTCAGCAAGATCTGCAGGCATGAAGGAAGCTCACGGCCAGGCTTGCGCAAGGTCTAGAGGATTCAGATTCTGGTCCGCTTGGTCACCTCCTATTTGAGCTTACACTTACGCAACAATGATGCAGCAAAGAAGTAGCAGGTGAGCAGAAACCATCCGGCCTTCATGGCTTCCAGCTCATCAGCATTCATGAGGCCCTGGCTCAGGTCTACCTGGCAAATGCAGCTGCCGGTCCCAAAACCTTTAACCTTTATTTCCGCAGACGAAGGCCTCATCGAAAAAAAGCACGTCTGCTGATTTGCCCGCAATCTCCCCCTTCACTTCCGACTCGCCTTGGGCACAGGCGAAACGGCGAAACCGTCCCTCATCCCTACCGTTTGCTTAAAGGAGAGTGGGGGAGTGAATCCCTATACGGATCGTATTCCCATATATACCGATGTGAATGGCTTGCATCCGAATGGCTGGACTTCAGGAGTGCCAGCTGATCGGCCTCGAGTCCGGATTCGTACCATTTCTGCTTGGCCATTTAGCTGCTATAGCTGGATATGTCATCATGCCAAGCCATTTCCGGCTTCTGCCGGGTTGTCATCAAATGTTCATGTGCATTTCATGTGGCCGACAATCCTTGACAGTTCACGGGGTCTTTTGGTCATGGGAAGGCGGACCGCGCTTGATGCTCGGCTTTATGCTGTGCATCACATTGAGAAGTCTGGCGACAACAGCAACTCCGTAACTACACCTGAAACACAAGACTTTCGGGAGCACCACTTCAAGGAGACGTTCTACAACAGGGCTCTGTGTTGGGATATGAACATGAGTGGGACCACGTGTAATTGCGCTACTGCCTGTCTGCCCTCCAAGCCTTCCCGTAGGTATCAGGCTTTGTCTTCAGGCCGGCTTGGATGCTCTCGTACATGGATTGCGTTTGCTTTCCAATTTGTGCTTCCCTCCGTCTGCGAAATTTCTGGTGCGTGCAGTGACACCTGCTAGGAAGGAACGTCCGCGATACGAAGGGCGTGCACCGCGTACCAGCTGCACAATCGTGTACAAGGCGCTCGACAATAGTCGCTATTCCTTGTATCAGTCTCGGAAGCCCAGGCCTTGACGGCGGTGGTGTAAGCCTTCTTGTCCATCTGCTTCTTCGCCAAGTACCAGCCACGCAGATCGAAGCTCGCCTGGCTCAAATCAAAGCACGCAAGGTGTTGGATCGCATGCCATCACCCCAGTCGGCCTTAGATTTCTGAGTATTTGCCATGGCTAAGAGGATGGTCTCAGTCTTGCCCGCGCCGCCAGCACCCACGACTACCATGTTGGAGCCTGTCACTATCTCACACACGCACCAGGCAAGATGGCCAAGATGGCATCACTGCCGCAGCTCTCACTCACATTCACTCACCCTCTACATGCGCCTGCTTCAAAGCCAGCCTCCAAACGACTCAGTACACTGCTGGGATCCTGCGTCAGGAGCTGAGCTGCAGTGGCGAATCGGCCTCACTTCGATCAGCCATCGACTTTGCGAACTTTCCACATGATGATGCTGCATGCACAGGCTAGTGGGTGCTGTCCTTCTGAATGGTTTTGCGCCAGCGACAATGATAAATGAGTCAGCTTGGGGCTATATTCGAGAAGTGGACCCTGGGTAGAAAGCAAACCTCCCAAAGCTGCACAGCCTGTTTGCTCGCTGAAGAACAGCGGCGTGTCAGAAAGCTTCTCCAACCTCAGTCAGTTGAACGCTAACTGCTGAAAATACTGGCTTGTGCATGACTCCTTGTGTCAGAACGGATGACTGACATGTAATTGCAATCTCAACCTGTGCACATGTCCGGAGGACAAGAAGCTCGTCCAACTCCACCTGATAATTGATGAACTGGGACACGTCTTCAAGGGCGTCTTCCTCAACCTTGCGAAGGCCCGTCAGTGCGAGGACAGCGGAGAGGCGCAAAGAGTTGTCAAGCTCGCAGGGTCTTCGTCAGACTACAAGAGATTTCTGACCTTTGACGGAGCGCAGTTATGTAATGAAATAAGGATGTTCTTATTGCTGAGCTAGCATGTCCCGGATCATTGCCTCCAGCTGTTGTCTTGTTTTTTCGTCACGCATAGCCGCGGCTGCGGCCGCCAGCAGCAGCATGCGAAAAGCCATCAATCCGATGCAGAGAAGTGAATATCACAAACAACGTCGGGAAAGCTATTGTTGAAAAACTGCTGCGGGACAATCACAACAGGCTCAGCTCATCGATGTCACATGGGTCAAGGCCTGATCCCTGCTGACAAAATGATCCTACAAGGCACCCAATGTCAACCTTCGACCAGGAAAGAGGAACCTTGACTTCTTGGAGATACTTCGGGTCAGTAGCACCGTGAATACGGAGCATAGACGGAGCATAGACGTTGCCACGACCCCGGAGGGGTCGGCACACCATATTTGACCGGCTAAAAAAGTGTATGCCGAGGGTAAGAAGGGTCGTTCTCCTGACGCCTATGACATCCAAAGCTGAAAAGGGCACCTGCCAACCTTTCTGACACTAGAGGTTAACCCACCCTCGTGTCTGGCAGGCTAAAATGGGGTTGTGCCAGTCTTGGCTTGCAAGTAAGCAAGCACCAGCCCTAAGCAGCTATGCGATACCAACGATTCCCAACGTGTGATCGACCCCTTCTCACCCGCAGCAGAACCTTCCCCCTACACCACCCGCCTGACCCCTTCTTTGACGTCTTTCATAGGTTCCAATGCCCACCACCCTCCACTTGTTTAAAAAGGCTACAACCCACCCTGACCACCCCCCCACCATCCCCCGCCTTCTATTCACCCCTCCCCTACCCCTTCTGATCCTACTGTACTGCTGACTGCTTCAAGATCGTCAAGCAGGTGTTTTTTAGCTCTCGGAAGCCATTCTGCAGAATTGGAACGCTATGAAGACAAGATCGAGCTGACTCTTGACGTGCATGGAAGCATGTCTAGCGGCTTAGGAAGTGCAAGACAAGATGGAACTGACCTTAGACGTTCAAGAAAGTATGATATTGGGGGGGGGGGGGGGGAAGGCCCGTGGGGTCAGCTACCTTCTTAGGTCAGTTCCATCTTGTCTTGCACGACCTAAGCCACTGGACATGCTTGCATGATCTTGCACGCACGTCAAGAGTCAGCTCGATCTTGTCTTCATAGCGTTCCAATTCGCTCCAATTAGTTCCAACGCGTTCTTGTGCAAATTTGACTTTAATTTCACGCATATCTTCGCTGTAATTTTCGAACACATTTCCGAAAGTTGTGTGTAAGCTCACGTCTTTGCTCGGGTCTGTGTTGTTGTTTGTTGTCTTTCCGCCCACTGGATTGCTGACGCATAAAGGGGCTCACCACCGAAAAAAGAGAGCAAATTTCCGAAAGTTTTTTGGTTCATTCAGCGCGTTTTGCGGTTAATCATTCAAAAACTGTACGAGTTAACTTCGAGCCTACTTCGTGTTGATTTCGCGTCAGTTTCAAGCAAACTCACGCGATTTTGGGTTTTCTCGTACAAGCTGTTGGTTTGAAAGTGCTCTTTTCTGAAGTATAAGTATCCCCACACTCCAAACAGCATCAGTTTCAACCAGCTGTTTGTGTCTATCATGTCCATCTGGGCGGCAAGACACAGAGAAAGGAATGCGCAAGATGCGTGGTAAAAAGACGTCGGCTTAGCTGGGCAACGCGACTGGGCAGGTCAGCTGAGATGGGTGTGCCAACCCTTCGGCAGCTAAAAAGAGCCCGTCCAACCCAGCCCTGTTCCAGACCCTGCTCAGCGATTCTGAATATTCATCCTTCGCAGTCTCGTGGAATAAAAAACACGCAATTCCAAAAGCTAGGGGGCTGGTACACTTGCTTCAACTTGCTTCCATCAACTGCTTTGCGGCCTGACGGGTTTGGCACGCTGCCTGCATGAGAGCTGGTATCGGATGGATGCGTTGCCTACGCCCCTCGAACTGTAAGCTGCCGCCGCTGATGCTGCTGCGGCTACTCACAGAAAACAACAACAATTCACATGATGGTTGGCATCCGTGTACCTGTAGCCAATTTGATACGCTTGTAAGCCTGCCAGCAACGCAGCATGCTGTTTGGCAGATCGGTGCGCAAGCACAGCCTTTCGTGTTGCATATTGACCCTGTTCAAAGGGGCCCTCGCCCCATGAGTGCATTCCTGGGACCGCTTTGGTCGCCTCTGATGAAAGGTGCGCGCCGCATGCCTCTGCCTCCTCAGGGCGTCGCACGCCTCTGGGCGCAGCCCCTTAAAATACTACATACATACATACATACATACATACATACATACATACATACATACATACATACATGTTATAATATGTATATATATACATAAATTTCATCCTACTTCATGTATGAGTTCTTGCGGGCGCCTGTAGCAGACTGGATGTACAGTTACAACAAAATCTGCCGTCGGGATGTATACGGCCATCATTTGAAAAGATGACTGCGATGCTTGCATTGTGATTGAGAAGTGCAAACGGTGGGAAGCGTGGGGACTCGACCTGAGCACTGAAAGCAGTGGGAGTGCTGCGTACACGGCCGTGCTGCGAGACTACGACTATGATCCGAGGCGACTGCTATGTGGGCAATGGGCCGACGCGCTTTTTCAAACCTTCTTTGGCGACCGGGCCAGAAGCTGCGCAGCCGCTCGGTATGGCAGCTTGCGCTGGAGGCCCTGCGCGAAGTTCACCAGGTGGTCCTGTAAAAGGTGCAGATGTACCAGATGTAGCAAATGTGGTGCGTGTGCCATGGAGCGACTGGAACCTGATTCCTCCAGCCACGCGGCCCCCCGAATTCGAAAATTGCGCCAGGCGGCTGCGGTCTTTGGGTCGCGATTGAACTGCTGGCGGTACAAGGTCAGGAGCTCCTTGCCCAAGGATAATTCTCTGGCTGCCAAAGTGCTCCCGTTTGCACATTTGCAGGCTACAACACAAAATCTTGTTGGCACCCACTTGCCTCTGCCAGACCTCCGCTTTGCCGAGCATTTTCCTCGGCCTGCGCCAGAGTCCACGATTCAAGCCACAGACCCAGGATGCCATAAGGGCATCTTTGATCCACAAACTGCCCGCTCTCCCTTGCATTCCAAAGGGTTCCATGCTCGCCTGGCGGTTGCTGGCCCGGAGCTCAGCCCGCGCCTCGGAGCTGAGGCCGTAGCCTTCGCAGGTCGCCTAGCAAGCGCCACCACAAACACCGCAAGCGATAACCCCCGACGAGGCACAACTCCTATTATGACCCCTATCTGCCCTATCTCCGACCTCAGGCCACAAGCTCTTGGGGCCATCAGCACCAGCCTAGCACCCGTGCCCAAGTTGCACGCAGCAACCACGGAATTTTAGATGAATTGGCACTCTGGCCTCTGGTTTGGGTATCTCGCGGAAGAGGCGGCCGCGCTGGCCGCAGTCCTTCAGCACCTGAGACCTGAAGTGGAAACGCCACTGGATGCACGAGTAGCCCAGCATCTGGAGGTATCATGAGGTCCACGCGGCCGGCGGACCTGCTCATCCCCAGGCGACCCAGTCCTTGAATCAAGTTTCGCAGGCCGTCCGGACCCGGTCAAGGGCCAGGGAAGGTGAGCTTGAGGATTAGCTCTGGTTTACGATCGCAACCTTCAAGGCAAAGCCGGACCAATCCTTAAGTGGCACAACTTGACTAGAGGAATCACAAGTACCTCACAAGAAGCAAAAGGAAAAGAATATATAAGAAAACCAGCAAGGAAGCATGCAACCTCGGGGGAGAGCAGGGGAATCCTCTCCGACAGTGAATTCCACATCCTGAACCGTTTGCCTCGCGGCTTGCCTGACTGAGGTCTCAGCAGCAGGGTCGGCAGCATGGCTGCGGCAGATTGCCCTGATGACGCCGGGGATTCGGACCTGAACCCAATCTACTGCAGCAATGGAAATTTTGGTGGCCAGTGACAATTTTGAGGCTTCCGCACTCGCAGCTCGTCCCTGTCCTGCGCCACTTGCGCTGGGCTGGCCTCCAGAACAACCAAAAAACAGATATCAAGATCAGGGACAAACGCCAAAAAGGAAAGAAACGCCTGCATGGATGCTAGCTTCTGCTGCAACTGAGCCACGCTGGCCTGTCTCAAATCAGATTTCAACTAGTACAAGTGCTGGGTCGGAGACGTCTGCGCTAACATCCCCATCCTCAGCTTCGTTTCTCTCCAGCTCTGCCGCACGCAGAGCCGTCTCGGCCACCTTGCGCACGGTTTGCAAAAGGACAAGAAGGACAACGCAACCCAGCTGTGGCCGCGTGATGCTACGGCGCCAAAACAAGCACCGGGCACCTGCTGCGCACTGTGTGCCTCTTTCAGCTCCGACCTGCCGAGAATCATGGTGCTGCCACGCTGCGCTGCGCTTGTCCGCAAGCTCTGCGAGGATGTGCTGAGCTCCGATCTTCAGAAGCCGAAGTTCCTGAAACAAAGCAGGCTGATCAGAAAGAGCCGCAGATGCGCGTTTTATCACTTGCCCAGTGTGTGGCATATCAACATTTCGTACAAGGGTATTTCCAGACGTATCGAACATACTCCTGGCTACGGTCTTCTCGGTCTTCTTTACTACTTTTCTATCAGCCTGGAGGATGTCCGGGATTTGCTGCGTATTCGGCATGTGAGCGGTCGCTGCATGATTTGCTTATGGAGAAGTGTGGCACATCCACACGTCGTAAAATAGTCCTGACCTTGCTCCGCCACATCAACTACAGCACCAACAGCAGAGTTCACCTGAACAACCTCCCGAATTCCATCGTCCTCGTCACGCTTCTCAAGACACGCCGCCATGTCTTTCGAGGCAACGCCTGCCTCTTCCAACCTGGGAGTCGGGACAAAGAGCTGCCTAACTAGCACTACTTCCACAATGATACCCTGTCAGCATAAGCTGCAAGCTGGCGTTTGAGTTGCCACGTTAGCGCCTTCAACACGAAATATTCCAAATGCTAGAAACTTTCACGCGCAAGTGTTACGCTCTGGCCTGCTCTTGCTGCCCAGACCTCACGAGCCAGGTATAACCAGATGAACATCCGTTCCCGTCCTATCCCTAGCGCCATCTGAGACTCTCGCGCTAGCAGCTCGTCCTTCTCCTGCGCCAGCTGCACTGAGCTGGCCTCCGAACAACCCAAGGAAGAGCTCAAGAGCAAGCAGACGCCTCAAAGGACACCAACGCCTGCAAAGTTGCTAGCTTCTGCTGCAGCTGGAATTCGGCGTCCAACTACGCGCCCAAGAAGGTCCGCGCAGCCACTACGAGTCGCAGCAAAGAAAAGGACAACGGCACCAGCGTAGGGGAGCACTGAAAGATAAGTGCAAGCCCTCGCGGGCCACCAACTATAGACATACGGGCCCCAGACCATGAGTCCAGTGCAACCAAACGTTGATTGGCAACATGCCGGGAAGCAGGGAAGTCCAACCGGCAGAGGTTGCTCGCGTAAGACGCAAACAGACTGCATGCTCTTCGGAACAAAACTGGACAAGTGCTCCGAAGGTGCACTCCAAGCATCCGCCTCAAAAGAGGCGGCCACCTCGAAAAGAGGCAGCCGCAATCAGAACAGAAGCCGCCGTGTACAGCAGAACTATACAAGCAACAACAGCTTCATTCAGGCGCTGAGCTTCTGCTGCAGCTGAGCCACGCTGGCCTGCCGTCCATCAGGTTTCAACCGGCACTTTACAAAAGTGCTGGCCCGCAGACTGTACTCATGCACCCATCCTCAGCTTCGTTCCCGGCTGTCTCGGCCACCTTCTGCATAGGTTGCAAGGAAAAGAAGTACAATGGAACCAGTTGTGGCTGCGCGATGCTACCGCAGCGGCTGCAACTAGCCCCGGGCGCCTGCCGTGCAGTTTGTGCCTCTTTCAGCTCCGACCTGTGGAGAATGATGGTGATGCCATGCTGCGCTGCGCTTCTCCGCAAGCCCTGCGAGGATATGCTGAGCTCCGATCTTCAGAAGCTGAAGCTCCTGGAGGAACTCCCTAGCTTGCAGCGGTATGTCAACAGCAGTTACAGCACCAGCAGTTGCAGAGTTCACCCTCACAACGGCCCGAATTCCTTCACCCAGTGTCCTGGCTTTGCTGTTTAAGCAAAGCAATCATCTCTTTCGAGGCGACGCCTGCCTCTTCCAGCCTGGGGTGGTGCAACAAAGAGCTACAAACTTCCGCTTGACATGATACTTTGTCAGCATAAGCTGCAAGCTGGCGTTTGAGTTGCCACGTTAGCGCCTTCAAAACGAAATATTCCAAACGCTAGAAACTTTCATGCGCAAGTGTTACGCTCTGGCCTGCTCTTGCTGCCCAGACCTCACGAGCCAGGTATAACCAGATGAACATCCGTTCCCGTCCTATCCCTAGCGCCATCTGAGACTCTCGCGCTAGCAGCTCGTCCCTCTCCTGCGCCAGCTGCACTGAGCTGGCCTCCGCACAGCCCAAGGAAGAGCTCAAGAGCAAGCAGACGCCTCAAAGGACACCAGCGCCTGCAAAGTTGCTAGCTTCTGCTGCAGCTGAGCCACGCTGGCCTGCCGTCCATCAGGTTTCAACCGGCACTTTACAAAAGTGCTGGCCCGCAGACTGTACTCATGCACCCATCCTCAGCTTCGTTCCCGGCTGTCTCGGCCACCTTCTGCATAGGTTGCTAGGACAAGAAGTACAATGGAGCCAGTTGTGGCTACGTGATGCTACCGTAGCTGCTGCAATGCCCAAGCTAGCCCCGGACGCCTGCCGTGCAGTTTGTGCCTCTTTCAGCTCCGACCTGTGGAGAATCATGGTGATGCCATGCTGCGCTGCGCTTCTCCGCAAGCCCTGCGAGGATATGCTGAGCTCCGATCTTCAGAAGCTGAAGCTCCTAGGGGAACAGAGCAGGCTGACCAGAAAGAGCAAGGGCATAGGTGCACTTGCACAATGTCCTCATCCCGCTGCTTAAGCGAAGCCGCCATATCATCAAACGCAACGCCCGCCTCTTCCAGCCTGTGGGGGGGGGGGGGCGGCGGAACAAAGAGGTATGAACGTCTGCTTGACATGATACTCTGTCAGTGTAGGCTGCAAGCTGGTGTTTGAGGTGGCACGTCAGTGCCTGCAAAAGGCATGAGCCAAGTGCTTGGAAAGCGCATGCGCAAGTATTACTCCCTGGCCTGATCTTGCTGACCAGACCTCACAAGCCAACCAGGTATAACTAAACGAACATCCGCCCCAGCCGGATCCCTAAAGTCATCTGAGACCCCCGCGCTAGCAGCTCGTCCCTTTCCCGCGCAACCTGTGCTGAGCTGGCCTCCAGAACGGGTGAAGGAAGAGCTCAAGAGTGCTTTCCTGCATAGGCTTTGATGTGCTGTGCCTGAGGAGCGTAGTCAGTGCGCAGAATGACACACACACACACACACACACACACACACACACACACACACACACACACACACACACACACACACACACACACACACACACACACACACACACCCACGCACGCACGCACGCACGCACGCACGCACGCACGCACGCACGCACGCACGAACGAACGCACGCACGCACGCACGCACGCACGCACGCACGCACGCACGCACGCACGCACGCACGCACGCACGCACGCACGCACGCACGCACGCACGCACGCACGCACGCACGCACGCACGCACGCACGCACGCACGCACGCACGCACGCACGCACTGCACGCACGCGCACGCACGCACGCACGCACGCACGCACGCACGCACGCACGCACGCACGCACGCACGCACGCACGCACTCACGCACGCCACAGACGCAGCACACACTCACTCACGCACTTCGCACGCACCGCACGCACGCACGCACTCACTCAGCACACGCAACCACTGCACGCACGCACGCACTCCACGCCCGAACGCACGCACGCACGCACGACTCACTCACGCACGCAACGCACGCCACACGCAACTGCACTCACGCACGCACGCACTCACGCACGCACTCACGCACTGCATCACGCCTCACATCACGCAAGCACAACATCACGCACGCAACTCACTGCACGCACCACTCACGCACGCACTCACGCACGCACCCTCGCACCGCACCAACACTCAGCCACCACTCACTCACGCCGCCCGCCCGCCCGCCCGCCCGCCCGCGCGCGCGCGCGCGCGCGCGCGCGCGAGTGAGAGAACGTGCAGGATGAATTACGCCATCGATTTGGCTCCAGTACCCGAATTGCACAAAGGGCGTTCATGATGGCATGATCTGTGGCGGTTGGGGTTTGAGGCCTAGGTCCAGGTTCCGAGCTGGTGGCCTTTGGTTTGGATTCCAAAGTCCAGCGTCTTTCGGATGGCATGGATGTTTAGGGCCTACTCATCACTGGCTAGACGAAACATCTCCCCTACTTCGTCCCAGTACAGAGTCTGGAGTGAATAGTGCCAAGCAGCATCAGCAGGAGAACAAGCTCATCAGCAACAGTAGGGACGCAGTCTGAACAGGACATCAACGCCTGCAACGATGCCAGCTCTTGCTGGAGCAGCGCCACATTGACCTGCTTTCCATCAGCTGGCAGCCAACGCTTTGGAAGTGCCGGTACTTGCACCCAACCTCAGCTTCGCGGTTCCTCTGCATCGCAGGCAAGACTTGGTGGCCTTGCAGCTCCTGGACGTTGCTACCAGGGGCCCCGGGCACTCGGAGAAAGACGGCTCGGAAGTCACGGGACGCTGTGCCTCGCAAAGTCGCAGGGGGCCACCGGTTGAAGCTAAACGAACCCCACTACGAACTCGTCCTCCACGAAAAATAAGACAACAAAGACAACAGAAGCAGCCATGCCTCTTTCGCTGGCGTCTGGAATCCATCAACCTAAGCCCACATCCTGTTGCCTACGCGGCTCCGTGCTTGGCGCTCGCATGCCCCCGCCCTCTCTTGAGAGCTCCGCCACAGCATCTTCGTTGCCTTGCCCGATGCGGACCTGAACACAAGCAAAGGCTGAGCAGCATAACAGGGGGATGCGGGTTCACCGGCTCCAGATAGCTGCACATCTAGCTGCACATCTGCCGGCATGTTCGGCAGCTCAACAGTTCACAAGATCCGGAGCGGAGTGGGATCCCTGCTGGTCGTGGCCGTGGCGTCACGCAGGCTGGAGCAGCACAGCTTGCCTGGTAAGTGACAAAAATTGCACTATTCTGAACCAAAGCACAAAGAAGCACTGCTTCAGGTTCAGACATGTTCAGGACTCAGACCGCAGCGGCAGAAGGAACGGATGGCAGCATTGGCGGGCTTGCAGGAGGAGCCTGATGGAATCTGATGACCTCAGGTCAGAGCTCCCGAAAGAGAGGGGGGGTGGCGCAAAAGCATTCGGATCTGACATCGGATCTTCGGGCGGGCGGCACCGGCGCGGAACTTCGGCGGTGTGCGCGTCCGAAGGTAAATGGAAGGCCTCAGAAGCAACATCGGAAATCAGCAATTGACGCAGGAAGTGGCCCAGGAATCTCGGGACTGCACAGATGGCGGGCTGGACCTCAGACGAAGCACGTCTAGAGACACGATGCGACGCAAGCCTACGCAAGGCTGCGAAAAGCACCATGAACCGCCACAACACCATCACCCCGAAAGCAGGATCTTTTTCAACAGGATGATTCCAAGCTTCGGACTGATGCTTCGCAAGACCTGAGCTGTGCTAGTGTAACCCTCCGCCCTTCAGGCGCCCGAATTCGGCCCAATCCTGCCATCACAGCTCAGAAGACGTCAAGATCGTTCATGCCTTGAGGCCTTTAGAATATCACGGACTACTCCAACCGAAGCACGCATGATAAACCTAGCCCGGGGGTCTCTGAAGACTGCGGATGACTGT